TGAGCAAATGTCTGTTTGTTACATCACAAGAGAAATTAGTCTGTTATTAGTAACTGGATTCATGTTTGACCCAGATTCAGTTGAGAACTGTAGAAGTTCATCACAGCAAAAAGTTTAAATGAAGCCTGCTAATCTATTTAAAAAATCATATTGGAAATAACAGCCTTTATCTTGGTGGGCAAATAAACTCCATGGAGACATTAGGAGATTGAAGCTTATTTTTTTTGTCCTCGTGAGACAGCAGAAATATGCAGCTTGTCTCCTGTTTTGAAGCCCCGGGCTATTCAGATTCTTTCTAATCTTGAAAAGCATGTTGCGCTTGGCAACTGAGTCAGTGACTAGTACTTCAAGTTTCCGTTCTGTGGAAAGCAGTATTTGAAATTCTTCATACTTTGTGGTGACTGTTTTCCCCCTTTTATGTTAAAGCAACCAGAACTGCAGGATCCCATTAAGATCTGCCCAAATTCCGCTTACATTTATAGCTCAAGCTGCAGCAGCTCTGACTGCTCTCAGCCTCATTTGAGAAGCACCAGACTTGCCCTGAGAGCTACACACAACTGAATGACATGCATCCTCATTGACCCAACTGTTTTTCCATAAGTACCTCTCCAAGAAAATAGAAAAATCAATCATGATGGACGACTGAAGATGGCGACATACACACTGCAGTAGTCATACTATATCTGTAACCTAAATGTGTTCTGTTTTATGGTCACAATAAATCCTGATTCCTTTAACCATCTGGCTCTTATTGCCTTTTATTTAAACAGAGGTTCTTGATAGTGACCTGACAGTTTATTTAAAATACCATGAAAGTTTAAAAGCAGTGACACACCTTTAGATAACGGTTCACACTGAGCAGCTCTGGACGAGCTTGGTATTAAATCAGTACATTTACAACAGGAAAGGATGCATACACAAACTGTTACAAGACATAAGAAATTATGTGTAATCTTAAATTCCCCATAGAATGATCTATTGAGTACTTCTCGCTTCCCAATTTCCATCCCAGAGTGTTTTGTTGAACAAGTTTCTTGTCCAGATGTTTTAAATTAGAACAATTTATTCAATCTTGATTTTCAAATGCTAAATCTTGATTTACACATTACATTATATTGTATTTTCTTCAAGATTTTTACTAATCTTATAAGTTACCCTTTGGAGATGAACAACATGTTTAAGATGACAAGGTCAGTATTTGTCAAAAGAGTTCATTAGAATGTAATGCCACCAAGATAACTTTTTTTTTTTGGTTTGTCTCATTACTCCCAGAGGAAAGATCCTCAGACCTGAGTAAGGTGTCTATGTACTTTGTTTGCGCCCTTGCATAGAAGTTGGGGATTAGATTATGAAGGGATCAAATTTGCATGAAGAAGGTCATTTCACCGCATTATGACGTAATTATGGCATTAGCAGAAACTAAAAGTAAGTGTCTTTAAATATGTGGCTCAGAAAATGTTCTGCTCTGTATCAATAAATGTTTTTTTTTATGATTCTCAGATTTCTGAGGCACATTTCAACACATGGCAGGCAAGATTATGGCATAAATGTAACGGTAATGTTAAGGCCAGAACCCAAAACGCAGCCAAGATGAGGAGACGGTACAAAAAGGTTTATTTAAAGGTGGAGAGGGATCTTGAATAGCAGTTCAGCCAAACTGTGTCCTCAGACGAGGGTCTAGGCTCCGTAGTCTCTCGATCCAAAACTAAACAGCTTTGCAATGGATCTAGATTACTGCGGTCAATCTGTGATCTTCTGCTGTTAGATCTGTTAAAGAAGATTGGGGTTGAACCACAGCCAAACCACATCACATGGAACTCATCCAGCATACAACCAAATTCCAAGCAGTGTCCAAGCCAAGCACAAAAGCAAAAGTCTCTGGTGGCCCTGTACTGGGAAATAGCTTACGTCAGCTGTCTCAGCAGGCTGCCCGCTGTTAGACAGCTCTTTCTCCACTGGAGATAGATGAAAAGCTAAGTCGGCAGAGATGACAAGTGAGAACGAGCAAACAAGAGGGAGTATGTCAAGTGGCAGATTTAGAAGTGGAGGAGGAGAAGAAAAATGGGTGGATAGAGTTGGGAAGCAAAGAAAGATGTGAGTTAATTTGAAAGGAAGAGAAGATTAAAAAGAGGCACGTCAGGTCATGTGCCTTCCAGAGACGGGACACAAATCCCCTTCATTTTACTACTGCAGCTTAACTTTGCAGACAAACAGTTCAGCCACTCTCACACAAATCAACATTGCTATGCAGAAGATTATGTGCAGGTAATGGTGCAATGTAAATTTCAGATGACGGCTATGGAAATGTATTAAGACACTTGGAGCTGCAGCCAAAAAGTCTGAGGGGACAAGGATAAAGTAAAGTATGACCTATTTTAATTTCCGTTTTACAGTGTTTATGTATCTGAAAAATAAAGACTGAACTTTAGGGAACTTTTTGGGATGCCAATAGTTAAGAACTTATAGTGAAGTATGTCCAGTACTGCCTTTCAAAGACACTCAGCTACGATATGTTCCTTAAGTCTAAGTGTGTGTTTGATGTGCATTTCAGTGTATTTGGAAAGGTAAATGAGTGAGCGGATGAAGGGTAGTGAGGCGTAAGTAAAGAGAAACGAGGCCCCCTTCCAAGCACTTAATAAAAGACGATGCTGCAAAATGGATGCCAGCAAGAGCTCTGGAGACTAAAAAGATATTCATGATTCAACAGTCTGTATAATTACCATTCAAATCACAAGATTGTGCAACACATTTGGGCATTACAGATGTGGCCCTTTAAGGCCACTCAAAAGAAAATTCAGATCTGACAGTGATTGAATAAAAAAGTAACGATGAAGGTTCATGTGTTTGTGTTTAGGGTGACTAGTTTCTATATCATATTATGTCTCGTGTGCTAGTTCTGTTCTGTTCAACAATTATTTTTACTTTGGACATCAGTTTCCTTAATTCATGTTTTGTTTTGTTGAACTTTCACCCATGTTGTTTAACACCTTTACTCTTTGAGCAGACTGCTGTATAATTGTAGGCTGTTTCAGGTCTCCAGTGCTAATGTTTTTCTTTTTTTCAGGTTTATCTCTTAGTTCTGTGTTTATTATATGTTACAGTTCTCGCTCCTACCTAAGGAGCACCTGTAGTTTGTTTTTTTCCCATTAAACCCTTTTTGTTCTTAGGACACGAGTCATTTCCCGTCCCCGATAACGGCATCTGGGTCCTCAACGTCATGCGATGGTTTAGTACAAACATATTTCAGTTTGTATTTGCATTATATCTTTTGAAAACGGTAGGAAGCAACAGTTAACCCATATTTACTGTGTTTTACAGATGGTATCATCTGTAAGCCTAATGAGCACAGGGGTGTGAATTACATTCAGCGGCAGACCAAGAGGCACTTTAGAGCCCTCGGCTAATGTCTAGCATATTTATGATGAAAATTTCATTCCCTTGATTTATATGATTGCTTGCCTCGTCACAACAGGACATTGTTTCAGCGATGCAAAAAGCGCAGGGGCTGGTTGCTGCTTAAGTCACTAATGAATTGGGATATGTTGTATAATTTGCTACTCCGTCATAAATGGAATATTTTTACCTGACAGAAAAAGATAGGTATAACAATATTTTTCTAGTCCTCATTGTGCAATTCTAATTGGAAAAATGCATGAATTCTCACATCCTCACATGTCTGCTTGCACTAGAGGCAGAAATAATTAGTACTTAGTGCCATGGCTTTGTTCTGAGCTGATTCTATTTTTAACTCTGTGTGATGGAATACGCTCCAGACTGCACACATGCTGGTAATACAAAAAACACAACGGCATTTGCCAGATAAGATCAATTCAGTCACAGAAAGACATAAAAGTGAGTAAGTATAAGACCATGTGGTCCGATGGTTAGTGAGCCACTCCCTGAGAGCAGCAGGCAGGAGGAGCTGTCTCTGGTGCTGAATCAGCCACCCCGGCTTGACTCCGGCTGCTCTGTGGACTGACTGGTCTCCTACACGTGTAGTACTTTTTCACCTCATACATCCATTATTGTCTCTCACTACAAACAAGGTCACTTAAAGAAGCTAACAAATTACTTTCATGTTTATTTTGAACATTTACTACCATGCACCCATTCCCACAATTAATAAACATATCCTTATCATGTCATTAATATAGCCATTTAAGTCTAAGACTGTTAAATTGTCCTGGCTTTAGAAGAGGTGTAACTTTATTGCCTGTGTTTTTAAACCACTCTTGACATGATTAAAGCAGATTTTCTGAATGGTTGCAGTCTTGTTCTAAGAGTATAGTTGAATATATATGAGATTAAAAAGCAAAACATCAACAATTACAGATCGGGGAGGTTGTTGGAAGTGCAGGTGGTGTGAAATTAAAGAGCTGTTGAATTTACTGACCGAACTGTATTTGATAGTTCTCCTTGAGCTAATCAAGGCAGTTTCTAATTCTCCAATCTTTGATCATAATAGCCCTAACTTAATAGCCCTTAACTTAATTGTGTTATGTTAAAGGTCAAAGTAATACACCATCACAATCTACAAAAGTATCTAGCCTCCACAAAGCAGCACAGAATGGTGGGGGGGCTGAAAACCAATGTCTAAAACTGCAGTACCTCAGCCCCCAAACGTGTCAGCTGTAGACCTGGAGAAGGAAAGGACAGACATGCAAACGAGTTATGGTTTTTTAAATTGACCACAAAGTGGGCGAAAATCTATATTTCTCACATAAATTGACATTGATGCATTTTGCAGACGCTATTATCCACATACTTCCAAGGGTAATCGAGTACATTTCAGAGAACAATTTACAATAAAGACTTAACAGTAATCCCATTTAGATTTAATACAGAGAAGTCAAGATATTTTCCACAGATCGAGCTCTAATGTAAATCTCGTTTTCATCATCTCTGAGCGTCACCACACTCAGCCAGTCTGGGAGAGCTCCTCTGGTTCTTCTCGCGTACGCATTTTGGCGTAGACCAATCAGAAAGGCAGGACAGCTTTGCCACGGCGAAATCAAAGTTGTTGTAAGAGCGTGTGTGTGCGCGCGCGAGGGGGGCAGAAAGTGGCCGGTGGACCGAGAGGCGCGAGGCGACAAAGCGACAAGTCGTTACCGGATATTTTTCTTTAACAAAACATATTTGTTTTTTGTTTTTTTTAAACCCTCCTCCAGATTCTCGAATCTGAAAGGAAGCAGCTCGTTTTGACGGAGTATTTTCTTGTGTTTAGAAGCGAATTCCCACATGGATGCTGCCCGTAACAGCTGAGTTTACAGTCTTGATTGGTCCTGCTTGTCAGTACACCGGACTGGAGCGATGCTCACACCTCTGTGCGAATAGTTTCCACTGTCCTCTGTCGCCGTGGACGTCGGTTTAGCTGCTTCGGGAATATTTGATGTTGGGAGATGACGGAAATCAGCGAGAAAGAGAACGAGCCTCAGAACAGGGACTTCCACCGGCAGGCCACCGTGCCCAGCCAGCCAGAGACCAAGGTACCCGCACACCTCCGGGAGGGAGCCCTCTGTTGTGTTTAAGATGGTCTAATGCAGTAACATCATTCTAATGGGGGTGGGGGTGTTTTGTTTCTTAATTCAAATTTGTTTTATTTCCGGTTTTCGTAGTTGTGTGTCAACTTTAGAAATGTTTATTAGTAATCAGAGGTTCTCTAATTGGTCAAGAGTCACCCATGTGTGTTTTGTGTCTTACGAAGCTAATTCTGTAGAGGCTCCGGGATTACGTAACAACTGTAAGCAGATTTACGTGTACCTGGTTTGACCTCTGAGTTGGAGTTCAGAGATTTACACGATGGGTTTGCTCTCTGTTGCGTGTGTGGTGGATTAGCAAAGCAATCAGAAACACCAGTGGAGACCAGCAGCCATTACACCTTTATGATAGCATATCAGTTTTAGGAGGGTTGAAAGGATGCTGATGAATTTATCATTGAGGTTCTGTAGGCGTTTTTGTAAAACTTTGTCAAATTCTTGTTTCCCCCTAAAGACTCCACCTCTTGTATTACTTTGTGTGCTAAAAAAACTGGGTTATTCAACTTAATACAAACTGAAATTGAATCAAAGCTACTGCCTATAAACTCCCTTTTAATGGTTGATAGAAGAGAAACCCATAACGTTTGCTTTAGCCTCTTAAATCGGTCTGCTAGAGGCACATTATGCCTTAAACACCAAATTATCCTCCTGTTTTCATTGAAGTGGCCCTTCATTGTTGAAACCTTTTGTGTAAACTCTGACAAGTTCCTACCCAAATCCTAGTTCCTAACTCCATAATGTAACACATAATGTTATGTTATTAGCATTGTGAAGGTGAAAACCGGACCCTGACGCAGACAAAACAACAGATGGAGTCCAAATAAATTCACTTTGGAAAGAACAAAATATTCTGCTACGGCAGGACATCCAGAAAACTCACAGAGCTGATGTTGCAAAAACAAGAATAATCTAAAACAAAAAAAAAACTAAACAAAACAAAAAAACACTGGCACAAAAAAGGATGTGCACAGCAATGGAGGGAAGATCTTACATGTACCAAAGAAAACTTTTTTTTTCTTCTTCTTTTTTTGTTTCTTACAAAGGGAGCTAATGACTGATTAAGAGCAGGTGTGGTAATTGGCAAACTGAGTGCAGGTGTGCAGGGAGAGCAGCGTGCAGCTCTCACAGTCCTCAGCATGTACACAGAGTCAAGGCTTTTAAACAGCATAACAGCCACCGCCTACACCAGCATATACACCAGCATATACACCCGTCGTGCCAGTTAGAAACAGCCACACCTTTAGGGTATACACTCACCTTGATGAAACGGTTAATACAAACACAAAACTGTTGTTTTACTGTCCGAAACAAATTCATAATAAATGGAGAAATGAAGCCTTTGACAAAGCTGAATATTTTTTTTTACCAGCAGATGATTCCTTATGGTTATTATTTATTTTGCCCCTGTGGTTTGGTTCTAAAAATGATTAAAAGTAGATAATCAAACTAAATTATGATATTTAAGATGGAAACTTAGGATGAGAAAGCAGAGCAGAATGGACAGCAGCTTCACACACGTCATGCTGACCTTTAGCGGTTGATATTCCTACACAGTTTTAGTAGAATTGACACAAAAAAAGAGCAGAGAAGTGAAGCTCTGGAGTTGTTGGACCTCAGGCTGTTTCTGCTCTGCTTGTCCACAGGTGTGCAGCCTTAGCATTTCTCACTTTTAAAGGACCTGCTACATTGTGACGTTTAAAAAAGTGGGCACAATAAATTTCCAATGCTTTTCACTTAACTACAATAACAACTCTAATTGCCAATGGAGTCACATCAGTAATTGACATTGTGGTGGCCTTTTGTTGGTTATCACCAGAGACCTGGAGTAGACCTGTCAAGACAGGACTCTTGCTGTTTCTATTCGTCTACAGACAGCACAATGGATGGAGGGCAGTAGGGTGCTGCGTGAATTTATGAGCCAATCAACTAGCAGATGTTTGCTGTGTCTAGCTAGGGGCTGGGTCATAATTCACCCAAATGCTTGTCCAAACAAAATCGAGCAGAGAGGAGCCCATAGTTGCGTCAGCCATATATAATAAATGCGTTTTTGATCTGGGGTCTCATTGAGCAGTGTGCTTGAGGGTATCGCTGGATTTTCAATTCTTTCTGTCTGTGTCAATCTTCTCTCCTCACTAATAATCTGACGTCTCTTCTGTCTTCTTTCCTGTATCTGCGTCTTTCTCGATGCCCTTAACTGCCTCTCTTTACCATCTTTCTCATCACTTCAACAGCTCTCTTCTCTCCTTTTAGGTCTCTCCAGTGCCCATCAGCCCTCAAAGTATTTATTATAACGCAAAGTATATATGCCCACCAGCTTCCTAGAGTGTTTTCTTATGGAGGTAGTGAAAGAGGATGAGTAGTTCTTCCACCCCCACCACCTACAACGTAGTTAATAACTACTAAATCTGATCGTTCCACTGTGATCACTTGCAGCATATAAAGTGCATCATGTTTAAGAATTTATTCATTTTAGTTTTTTTTCCACAACTTATACAAAGTTGTGGAAGAGTTTGTAAACTGTATGTCGTTGTATAGTAGATCAAAACGGTTTATAGAAATACACAGCTTAGTGGCTCTGTTGCCAAACAATTACCACCACATTTCAGGGTCAAGTCAATGAAGTTGGTTTGATACTTTCTTGGTGTTTTTTTTCTTATTCTTTCCGACTTCTTTAAGTTAAGCAATGAATGCATTGTGCATTAGTGACATTAATTACAGCTGTGCATTTGTTTGAGTCTATGTGCTGCAGGTGTGTTTGGAGACAGAGGGATGGATGCAGTCAGTGTGTAACTTCTGGTTAGAGACAATTCATCAGAAACGTAAAGGTCAGCATTAAGTAATCATATTGCTGGTCATTTTGGTCCCCGAAGCACCAATAAATATCAAATCAAGTTCATTTGTATAGCCCATTTTATCATAGACCAAAGTGCTGAACACAGCAAATTCTAGTGGCAGCTGCTCAAATATGAAATGAAAAGTAAAATATATAACAAAATAAAAGAAAAATGTGTATATGAATTATATCAAATACCAAGAAATAAATAACATTTCAAAACAGGGCTGGAAATGTTGGAGTGAAATCAACAGATGTTTATGATTTCAGGGAGGTACCCAGTTATGAGACCATCAGCAGGGACACTCAGAATTTAGTGGTTATCCCCATGAAATATTATGCTTACCAACAATTCCTTCTTGGGAGATTGACATGCTTACATCACAGCCCAATTTAGAACTTAGTCAAGTTGCTGTTTCCCCATTTTATATGTTATGCTAAACAAAAGCCTTTAAGGCTCTAACATTTACCTTATTTTCATAATAGGCACAATTGAATTAATCTACTGTCAGCCAACGAAATAGTGTGCACATTCTCTAGAATGTCAAATAGCTACTTTAATCTCCACTTTGTGTAGTAGAGGATGAAATGAGGGCTGTATGCTACATAAAGTTTGATATAGAGTGGGTGTAAATGCTTATAATGCAGGGTGTTGGTGTGCTGCGCTCCGCAGGACCCTCACACAGCTGACAGCATATTCAGCAAACACAAAGACATATTTAATGGGAGAGAAATGATGGCTATGCTCCCTCTTCAGCCTTTCACCTTCACTTCGCATTTAACTCTTTCTCAGCTTTTTCTCCTTTCTATACCCCCCCACTTTGATAATGCCCCATCTGTCTCTTTCCTTTTTATTCTATCCAATGACCTTTTCTACTTCCCCATCTTTCTCTTTATGTTCATTCTCTTCCACCAGTTTCTTCTTTTTTACTGTTATGGTTACTTCTCTTCATGCCTTTGAGGCATGAGTTGTGGAGCCTCAAAGAATAAAGGAAATTTAGGAATTGAGACGTAACCACAAGAAAGTCAGTTAGCTAAATTTAACTACAGTCCTACGTATAGATTTAATGGTTCCAATAGATTTTCAGCCTATTATACCATCCATTATACAGCAATGTGCTGTTGCCAGTAGAAAACACTGAGATTTTACATTTTAATAAATGTTTACAGTTTAATAAATCAGTATTTGCATTTATACTGCATTTTTTATGTATAAACGCAATTAAACTTCTCTTAATTATCAAGTTTAGCTACAGAGCATTTCTGATGCAATGAAAACTGCATCTGTTCTCTTAGATGGCTTTTCTAAACAAAGCCTTCTTGAATTTATTGGTTCCATATAACTTTTTGAAGGAGGACACATTTCTGTCACGGAGCATACATGTGTGTTTTCTCCAGCCAGAATGATCGACTTCTGCTAATTGCTTTTAGTTAGTCTGTACAGAAATAGGTGAGGGTTTGAGGGACCGACAGCAATAGAAAATCAAAAAACAAAAACAAAAGTAGACGACAATCTGGCAAAAGGTAATCTTTTTCTTCTATACTGTGGTACTGCTCTGCTTATGCATCAACTGACCTGGCTTTTTCTGATGAAAGCACAGAGTTGTTGTCCTTGATTGAGTTCATAAATGCTGATCCAGCAGAGTTTGGCTTGCAGTGTCAGGGTTAGAATGTCAGTGAAAGTATGGGCTTTGTTTGGTAACAACCTTAGTACTAAATTATTTACTGAAGTTATATGTTGACCTCCTTATCTAGGATCTGGTTTGAATATGGATTCTATTCAGATCATTATAAGTGTGTATCTGCTGAGAAGGATCATTCTTAAGCCGAAGAATGGGATTTCTTTAAGGGAATTACTAAATTAAGCATCTTGCTATAATAGTACTTCTTTAACCTTATCTGCATATCTAAGTGCCACTGTAATCTTCTCTGCTTTCCAACTCCAAAAGCTTCTTGTGCAGTTAAATCCTTTTAATGTCTGGAGTCGAAATGAAAGCTTCTTCAGCTGCACACTTTGACAGGTATCTTGTGAGCTGGTGAAATTTGCTAGCAAGTTGATCACAAATAAAAAGCTTACCAAACAGCAACAAAAGATTTTGGAGCCACACGCAGAGGTGTAAAGGAGAGAGAATTAATTGTGGTTCATCTATCACTTAAGCTAGTGACATTTAATATAATATTAATGCTGTCTTTATCATTCAGAAAACTAACAAATATCCATGTTTTAAATTACCTTCATATCCAAGTTATACATTTCATTTTGAATACGTTAGAACAGTTCAGTGTCAGACATTAGACAACAAAAGCTATGGAGACCAACAATGTCAGCGCTCATTCTGTTCTCTGAATGGTTAATGTATGACAAAGTGCTCATCACACATTTAATAATAGATAAAAGCAAAACTGACATTTTCATCAACAAAAAATGTTAAAGAAGTGGTTAAGGAAGTTGTAAGGTTCTTGTAAGTCCCTGAGCTCCGAGTATACTAGATTGCTCAGTGAGGCATACTTTGCAACTGCACAAAAAGGTCAATTGCGTTCATTTTTTCTAAATAAGGTCCAGCTGGAGAAGAGCCTAATCAGGTCATTTCTAATCTGCAGTTCAGGTCACTTCAAGAAGAATGATAGCCCTTAATCAGGCTCCTTTGTGTTGTGATTTTGAAAACGTGGACAACATGAGATGACCTGAGACACTGCAGTGAGGAAACTTCTCAGATTTTTCATCACTTCAAAGTCACATGCATACAACCTAAATACTTTTCCACAAATAAGAAAATGTCACCCATAAGTGCATGATGGCACATACACACTGTTACTTGTTTAGTTATTAATTAAATAAACAGTTATCTGATAAATGCTTTATACTGTCACATTTCTCAGAAGAAAAAAATGCAAATCTGTGACATGATTCCTTCATTGTAATAATACAGTGATGCCTGGGCTTTATCTTTTAATAAATCTAATTTTGTTATCTCAGGGAACGGGCATCTGGCGCATATCTACCATAACCTTTGAAGCCACACATGAAATGTTTCAGCTTGAGGTATAAAATTATGACTGTAAACACATTTAAGTGCTGCTGTTAATAGTATTTAAATTATTTAGATATTGATTTACAATTATTATTTTTTCTTACCTAAACACAAATCTTTAAAAAGATGTAATATGATGAATAAAGTGAAATCTACATTTCTGCATACATAAGTAAATACCTACGCATACGTATATATAAAAGGGACCAGCTTGTATGTATTGAAGATGGTTGTTTTTTTAACAATGTACCAATTATCACCACATCAAAGTTATTCATAGGTAAATTCTGATCCAGGCTCTCAGAAATGTCCTCACTATGCTAATTCTAAGTTGTAAAAAATAGAAACAAGAACATGAAAGTTACAGCCTTACTTCAGTGGTAGTAGGACGACTTTCTGCCTTTCTATAAATTGTATCTGAACTCCTACATTATTCCCCTTAATTATTAATCCGTCCAAGCGCTTTTACACAACAGCCTATTTACAGAAGCCTTCATCAAGCATCTCCAACTAGGGTGTGACAGGTTGATAGTATGGTATTTTTATTTCCTCTTTAACAATGCCCTTTTGCAACCTCTAGCATGTGCTTTACATATTTTCCATTTTCCCCATCCCCTATTGAATCCTCACATACTGCACTTGTATTCTTTGCCTCATATCCTTCCTGTGAACACTGTTTCTAGTGCACACTGTGATGAGCTAATTGCTGTCAGTCATTCACTGTGTGATGGGACTCTCGTTCTGTGTTCCATAAATAGACTTTTCAAAACCTTACAGAGAGAAATGTCATGGAGAAATGCAGAAATTTGCAATCATTTGAATTCAGTTCTTGGTTTTTGCTGTTTTCAGGCAGCATTGTTACAGGATAAAACACAACGCATTCAAGCAATAAGCCAGATGTTAAACTAAGAAATTGTCCATCACAATGCTTAGTATTTCTAATGACTGAAATTACAAAGCCTTGTTAATAGATTAAGTCAGGCTGTGTCATATTCTGAAGGCTGAGGCAGCTGTTGTTTTCTTTTTGTTGAAATTGCTGTATGAACATAAGTGAAATATAAAATATGACTTTAAGCCATTGGTTATTTGTGTTCTTATGATTGCTAAAAACAAAACAAACCTCTTTGTTGAAAATATAATTGGCGCAGGTCATACAAACAGCTGTGAACATTCAGTTCACTTGGTCAAGTTTAATGATTTCAGAACAGATTGTCTTTGTAACTGAACAGATGTGGGTTGCAGGTGAAACCCTCATACAAGCTTTACCCAAATTTAGGGCCTTGTTGTTTTTTTTAGTGACTATGTGGTTTGTGCCTTTGGGTCTCAGTGGATTGAGGAATTCAAAGGAATAAGTTACATGAACGTCAGCAAAGACCTGAGCCTCATGTAATTGTGGATATAGATTCATCCACATTGTACAGCTTGTTAGAGGACAGAACCCAAGTGAGACGGACCTGATATGAGTGTGAGTCGAAATTCACAAACAACACGTTGCTGGTTTTGATATAATTATAAGATAAAATAGTGCTTTTATTTGGAAAAAAGGGAATACAGTGATTAGAAGATTTTACAGGTTGGTCACATTCAGCTGAATACATTACAATAGTAGAAGATATTCCTTGAAACTATTCATGCTTTTAGCCTCTTAAGTTTGAGCAGGAAAGAGAGCGAAGGCGCAAAGAGAAGAACCAGTGCTAACTGCTAACATAACACATTATCAGTAGATATTCAGATTTACATGACACACTTTTTAGCATCTTGTGAATACAATATGAAAAAAGTTTGCATTGTAAGGAGTGCAACAAATTTGGGTTTTCCATTAGCAATCAATTCAGCCCAATACACCTGGCCAAGATTGAAAGCGGGCTGGACGGCCTGTGATGTTATTTATGTGACACAAACATGAGACAACAATGAATGACATTGCAGAAACGTCATACTGACTTAACCTGAGTGCTGGTTGGTGTGTTAGGCATTTACAGCATTGATGATCACAGAAATAATATCCATATAACTGGAAGGTACTTTAGATACATACAGTAAATTAATTTCATTTAATTCTTTTTAAAATTGTAAAGCCACGTATAAATTATGTTTGGCGTTAACTTTTTTTTTTCTACTAATAGCTTGGCTTTAAATTCAGGTTTCACTATTTTTAATCTTGTTAAAAGCACAGGCATATATTAGGTCATTGATTATCAGCCATTTGTTTTGTAGTTTGTGCTTAAAGAAGATGTTCCTGTTCCCGCAGAACTGGAGCGAGCGCAGGCCGTCACCACAGAGAAGATTAACAAAGTCAAAGAAGTTAAAAATCTAATTGAGAGGAACATCCATTACTGAATGGGCCACCAGTCGAGCCAAGAAAAGGCCATTAGGGAAAGCATGAACTCAGCTCCCTGTAGAAAACATTTAAGGGAGGAACTCACTAATGGGTCAACAGAGAAGACTCTTTTCATCACTCAGCCTAATTGGCATCTGTGAATCTGTAACCTGATCAATGCCATTGATTTATTTCTGTGATGTGAGTGGAGATGAGTAATATCGTGAATTTATACACTGAGGAATATAATAATCCTCTGATCATAAGAACTGTTGAATTATCCATCTTAATATTAAGATGCTGTGTTTTTGTTCTTGCTAAAATGTTTCTGCTTTTGCTTCATCTCTCCACGCAGAAATGGAGAATAAAAAAAAAAACTCATAACATGATGGGAAGACTAAGGTGGTGTCTTCAGCCCCGTTACAGACACAAACAGCTAATGAGCTCTGTGCAAATTGAAGAGCTGTTCCTCAGTCTCAGAGACCTATTAAATCCTTGCCCTCATTCCCAAGGCCATTCCCTTGATGTATGAGTCCACCGCAGTTATTATTTCCATTTATTGGGTCCCATCATTCGCGAGTCCACGTAATTGTTTGTCATTATCAGTTCCAAGTTTTTGTGGCCAAGAGCAGTGGGCTGCAAGCATGGTGGGCAGTGGAGGCAGGCAGAGTAAAAGATAAGGCCAGTGTTCGCTGTGCTCCACTGACTGCATCTGGCAAAGGTGCAGACCGCTCAATATCACTAATCCAACATGAATTTTAAGGTGTATTGACTTTTGTGGTTTCCCTTAGGCTTCAAATATGCTGTCTAAGGGAAAGGGATGGAAAGCTGAGGGGGGAAGTTAAGTAGTTATGCTCACAGGGCAAGGACAGTCAGAGGGCAAAGCTAAAAGACTGTTTTCATCAGCTTCAGCCCTCAAGCTGAACCTCTATTTGTTATATCAGAGGCATCTTCTAATGTTCATATGGTATCATTTTTAGACATACAGTATGCAATCCTAAAAAAGAATGGGTGGAGTTGTTCAGTTACAATATTCTATAAAACGGAACTTACTAAGAATAAATCAATATTTATGATCAGATCTTTTTGAAAATAAAGATGTTTTTTTTTTTTTAAACACAACTTTCCAAGGAGTTGTAAGTAAAATTTTCGTCACTTCTTGTTCCAGTTGCAGCGGCTGAAGCGTTCCCTATCTCTCAAATCCGTCATACGTAGCAAGAGTGTGGACAACTTTTTCCGGAGCAACGGCGAATCGCGCCCTACCTCAACCCTGATCACTGCACCCCCACCTCTGCCATCTCCTCCCCCACTCTCAGAGTCCCCACTAGCCTATGAGCACTCTCCATCCCTGTCTCCATCCATCAGTCCCAATCCCTCTGTGTCGTCTCATTCCCCTTCTATCAGTCCTTCACAGTCAAAACCTCAGGCCCAGCCAGTCAAGACTCACTGTTTCCAGGAGCATGTCTTTCGGAGGCCTACCAGCTGCCAGCAATGTAAACACATGATTCAAGGTACATCAGCTACTTAAAATCCTTCCTATGGAGATAATACATTTGTCTCAAGCATCAAATTGAGATAAAGATAACTTAAAAATTAAACTATGGATTGAGTTTATAATGATTCAAACAAATAGCTACCATTATGTCCCCCTGAATAGCATTCAAAGGGGCCTTAACCAAGCTAAAAGAAAGTCTTCCCTGTTTACGTATTGCTTTGTGTTCAAGTGTATTTGTTTTGTTTTAATGCAGGAAATTCAAAGCAGGGCTTGCGCTGTAAGGCCTGTAAGCTGGCAACTCACCTCTGGTGTTCCTCTGAGCTCTCTCAGCAGGCCTGCAATGGCAAGGTAAGGAGACTTCTGATCAGACCTACTTTTAAATCCATTTTGCAGCTTTAAATACATTTAAATCATACATTTATGTAATGTATATAAATCAAACTTATTGACAACATTCTTAAAAAAACAAAAAATATATATTTTTGTGTAACTTTGAGGTACCAAGCTTTTTCTGAAAGTGAGGCATTTAGAATGTTTTGTTGTTGGTTTGAAGGGAAAATGCCTCCTTCATGGAGGTGGCTTGCTTGAAAAAAAGCACCTAACTGGCCAAGTTGTTTTGTACTAATTAATAATATTAAGGTCAGCGGGTCTCAGTGGCTCAGTCAGGCTTAATATAAGTCAAATGCGTGACACATAATTAATTACATTTTTACACTCACTGTCACCAATTCTGAAATGTAATGGGAACGTGCATGATCCCTGCAGAGAGGAAACCAGCACAGAATACACTGTGTCAGCAGAATGAAAAAGCATCTGGATGCTGTAATTGTGTGTCTCAGTCATTTGGCATAGCCTTTAGTCCCGCTAATATGCTTAGCTGCAAACCCCTGCCTAGTTGAAAGAGGATAAAGCTCTTTTCAAACCAGCAAAGATAAAAAAGGGCTATAATTGGAAAAAGGATTGACCATGGCTTTGGAAAGTATACCAAGACTGTAAATGTATTAAATGGTAACAGTTAAGTTCCGTTGTCAGAGCCCAAGGTTTTGTCTTTTTGCCCTTTCTCCCGCACATGCTGCTCTACAAACACAATCCTTCCTTTTCTTCATCCTTCTTGTCCGGGTGCTACATTTCCTTCCTCTCCTCTTAACTCTATTGGAAAATCAATATCTTTCTGTACCAGCTGGTCTTGCTAATTCAGTGTGAAATTCAGTGTGTTTGAAGCGGTCACTTTCCCGTGAGGATGTGACACGGCAAGCTCTCGCCAAGCCTTCAGCAGTGTCCTTTTCCATCAGTGCCCCCGCCTGAAATTTTTATGGAGTCTTGTGCAGTGTGTCTGCACACATCAGCCAAAGCTCTTGCATGCAAATAGTTTGATTTGAAGTGTCATTTAGAGCATAATCTAAATAATTGCTCAGGTGCTTTTTTCTTTTTTACTTGAGGCTTTGTGAAAAGGAACATCTGAAACAAAATTGGGTTGAGTTTGGAAACAAATGAATTGCAAAGGCAATGCAGAAAGTTCATTTTTAGAATGAAAATGGCAGCCGCACTCATGGGATGTCTTGAGGCTGAACAGAGACTTTTTGATGTAGGAATTGAAAATGAGGTTGGCCATTAGCAGCAGAGTGCTGGAGAAGCAGACCAGCGTAGTGTGACTAATCTTGAATTTATTAGTGCAAGCTCTGTATATGCTGTAAGTAACTCAGAGTAATGAAAAGTAACTAAGTACAACTCAGAACTGCACCATGAACTCCTGTGTTGTAAATGCTTGAAATGCAATTGTTTTATGTTATACACATAACAGCTCCCCTTTATTTTAGTCTTATATACTTTGTTAATGCACAAAAATAAAATTGTTTTCTGCAGGACCCCACTGTATATACTAAAATAACAACATTAAGATAAAGTAAATATTTGACTGGCCTTTTACCAATTGTAATCCTTTACTGAAAAAACACAAACGTAAGCAGACAAAATTTGCACAACTGAGTACAAATTAGCTTGAGTGAAATTTACAAATGGTAATTGCTTTTCTTTCCTTGGCTTCTTTTCAACCCATTTCCTAAGTGCACTGATATATGTCCAATTGCTTGAAACATCTCTAGAATAAAGCCGTTTTAAATTACTTTTGAATCATGGTGACCATTTTCTAATCATTGCTAATTCAACTGAAAGAGGTGTTATAATGTTTGAGAAGAGGGCATGCTGAGCCAGAACAGCAACGCTTTACATTCCTTAAATGTTTGTGTATGTCAATTCTGCTGTATTATTCCGAGTCAAGTGGGAACTTTTTGTCAGTGACAGCCCGGTCAGGCTGTACATTTACCTCCTGTGGTATGTAATGAAGCATGGTGCTCAGCTGATTTATATGAAGGAAAACTCATAATAAACAATGCTGCTGTGTTAATTACTCTGACCCCAGTTCCGAGTGAGTTTGTTTATTTTATTTGTAGACCTTTGTTCCTGAAGCACTGTGTGACAAGGATATGACAACAAAAAGAATCAACGCAATATTTAGTAGAAAAGCATCAAAGGCACACTGGGGCTAATTTAAAAGCAATTTGTGTCCACGAAATGCAATTTAAAGTGTACAAGTCTTCTCCTGCAGAAGCTAATATCTATAGCAACTCATTCAAACATGGAATGTCGGATCCAGATTGGACACTGATGCAAACAAATTGAGGATATGGAAAAACTGGTAACTGGGTTCACTTCAAACAGCATAGAGGAGGCCAAAGGTGCGAGGTCAGATGTGGAGCTGCGGCCACTGAAATGTAGAGGGACTCAGGACAGGGTGTCTTGGCCAGCATCTTTTTGTGCATTTGAAAGATTTTTTAAAAAAAGTATTCAACCATGATTAAATAAGATAAAGGTTTTGCTCCAAATTATGACCATTTGCTAATAGTTGCTCCATAAACACACACAATGCCACTGAATTGTTTCTGTAATACACTGAACTGTGTACACTGAACTGTGTATTAGAGCAGCTTAATTTTCGCACAGACCTATTTACAGAATATATACAGAACATTTACAGGAACTATAAAAAAGATAAAGTTGTGTGAAGGAGTTTATAACATGAAGCATGTTGTTGCATCCAGAATTATTAATATTCTTTAAAAAGCCTCTCTAAAAGTACTTTACATTTAACTGACAAATGTATTTCATATTTTATTTCATGGTGATATTTTTTTAGAATGCATTTCCTGACTGACATAAATCTGAGATACTATGTTTAGACAAGGATAGAGCACATTCATCACAGTGTCTGTCAAAAACAGGTCTTTGTGATATTATTTCATGCAGTGGAGCTAAATATATTTTCTCTGGATATGAATAGAAACACAACCAGATATCAAAGCTGTACCAGATGTGTCCTGGTTGAAACGTTTTCAGCTGCTCAAGTTGAATTACATTTACCCTAAGACCATTTTTTTTATGGATAAAACCACATAGACATTAAGTTACCAATACAGTATTAAATCTGTTATTTATTTTCTTTCATTTCTCTTCTTACTTTCACTTTTGTTCTCCCTACATTGATTCTGATATTTCAGACAGGAGCGTTTAAGAGAAACTTCAGCTCTCCTCTCCTGACCATCGATCCACTGAGTGTTGTCAAAGAAGCTCCTGCAGCCCAGGGTGAGTGGTGGAACCAGTGGCTGATTTATTTCAAGAAACTGAATTCAGGCATCATAAGATGAGTATTTATCTTGGAAACTGCACAAAGTGTAAGCTGTTGTGTTCTGTGTTTGCCTGGCTGTGCGTAGAAGCAGAACATGTCGTTGACCCCGTGTATGAGGCCCTGCGCTATGGCACCTCGCTGGCTCAGATGAGTCGCTCCAGCTTTGGTAGCATATCTGAATCCCCCTGCCACCACGAGGTATGAATATCATTGTTAGATATTCATGCTGATATTAAGCAGAAATGTTACATACTTTGCTGTTTGTTTGTTTTTTGTAGGCAGAAAAACTGCAAGACAAACTAGAAAACCAGCCTATCGCTGAGGAAGAAGATATCCCTGGAAGTAAGCTGAATCATTTACCTTTCAAGTTTCTGAGTAAACAGTAAAAAAGGCACACCTATAGGCAGTTTTAACTGTTGTGTAAATTGAGGTGTTATATCTAAGCAAACACATAAACACAAATACAAAAATCTTTTCTACTCATGTCTGACATAACTATTATAAGGAGTCATTCTTTCCTTTTTTATAAGCTTTGAAAAACTCAGTGTTTAATCATAGTCAAGCATAACATATGCATAGCAGTTGATCAACTCACTAATTGAGTGAGTTATTGGTAAATGACTTTATATTTTACAGTAGCATAAAGATCTCCCTAACGCTCAGTGAGAAATAAAATATTTAGACAATAAAGAATATAGTGTGAGTCCTACAGAAAACGCTTTTCTTTAAACACACATCTATTTTTCCCAGTTTAGTCATTAAAGTACAAATGTTGAGCTTGTTTATACAAGCTGACAGGCCTCTGGCAAAGGAGAACTGAAAGCTAAATGTCAAAGAGTTAAAGGACTGCATTAACGTAATATTCTGTTGAATGCAGAGGTGAAGTTTGCGTGTCTGTACTCAGTACTTTTCCCTTTCTGTCTTAAGTCCCAGGAGAGGGGATTGTCTCTGTTTGCAATGCTGCCACTTACTGTACATGACCTTCCATTTTGCCTAGCTTCTGCTGGTCACAAAGTAACATGAGCTCTCTCTCTTTATCTTCTTTGTTCTCTTTCCCCTGTCTCCCTTTCAAATCTGACCTTTCTTTGTCTCTGTCATATTGTCTTTCCCGCTCTGTGTCTTTCCCCTTTCCCCCTTTAATGTGTTCATGTGTGTCCAGTGCTCACCCCTCCTGAGAGCGAGAAGGCTGATTCAGAAGACAGGGTCAGCCTGAAGGTGTGTAGTCAGCTATTTTCTCATGTTTCACCCTCCTTTGCTTGGTATTCTAATGCTCAATTCCTCTGCTTACTGTTTACTTCTTTTTTTCAATTAGTTGTGTGCTTCCATGTGAGTTTAAATCCTATTTTGAGGTAACTCATTTTTGTTTTGGCCAGACTCCGAAGCGAGTGGAGGTTCATTCCATTCATACGTATGTGGCCCTCTACAAGTTTCTGCCTCAAGAGAAGAATGACTTGGAACTACAGTTAGTTATATTTCATTATGTTCTGTATTCGGTGCATTCAAATGGATAAGAGTATTCAGGTGAGAAAGGACATAAGAAAAAGGACACCATCTGTGTCCCCAGCAGGTTGATCGTAGGGGTTTGCTAGCTTCAGGCTGAGATAGGATTCCAGCTGGGAGGCCAGAAAGGATAGAACAGCTGCCCTGAATGGGTGACAGAACAGGAACCTTTGTTTGTTCAATGCGACAAACTGCTGAATTCTGTACAGCACCTTCAACAATTCCAGAGGAAACCATCCATCTGTACAGGACAACAGCATGTGCCTTTTCTTAACGTTCTTTAGGAAACCTCATGTCATAAGAGTTATTGATTCCACTGTGACATTTGCATTACTATAAGTGAAGGTTATCGATCATACAATATAACAATATATCACCATGCAGCAGTGAGTGCAATCTGCCAAAAAGAAATCACTTAACACATGTAATTCTTTTGGTAAAAAAGACATTAATTAGTGCATTCTTAAGGGTGAAAATTAAGTAGTAATTTATAGTGTAGTGTAGTAATATATCAAATCCATTGTTTTGGTCATAGATTTTTGCTTCGGCTAAACTTACTCTGACCAACCAGCAGTGGTAGTTTCATACCTTTTCTGTAATTTATTAGAAGCATACACATGTATAATTTCGCCTTCAAAAATTGATCTAATCATAGTAATGCTACCAACACTTATTCAGGGTGTACCCCTCCACTTACCCAATGAATCCTATCATAGACTCCAACTCCATACAACACTGTATTGAATTAAACAGGAATAGAAAATAAATGAATAGATGGGTGGACATAATTTGGCTAGCTTCATATTAGGCTAATTTCATCCACTGACTGTATGCCTCAAATTTGGCAGTAGCACAAATGAAAGTAACAATGATCTATAATCTGATCATCTCTTTGCTCCTGCAGGCCTGGCGACAGAGTTCAAGTGACAGATGATTCCAATGAAGACTGGTGGAAGGTAGGCTGTTTTCAATGCTTTCTATCCGCTGAATATTTCAAAACTTGGACATTTTCTTTTTGCTAAGCAAGCGCGTTGTTGAATAAAATATTGCCACTAAAAATATCCAGATATCCTTTGAGTGGATTTCACAGTAACACCACATTGGATGGAAAGCTGAAAGTCTTCTCAGAAAATCTGTTCAGTCAATAGGAAATGGTTTACATACAGATCACAGTCAACTTTTAATAATGCAAATGTGTTTGATAATGGGATGTACAGTGATGATAAATTTGTTTGGAGAAAAAAAGCAATCAGGAAATTCATGCTGAAGAGAGCTAGGTGACGTAGAAACTTTTTCATTTGATTTGAAATGCTAAAATGTGCACATCTGTGCTTTACAACAGACTTAAAAGATAATCATAAAAACAGTACCTTTTTCTAACTTGAGCTAACACTCTAATAACTACAAAACCAACTTACAAAACCACTCAAATCTTCCTCTGTTTTGGTGTATTCTGCTTAATAAGAATCTGATGTATGCTTAGATTATCCTATACACAGTACAAAAACAAAAACGTTACAACGCGGTCATGGTGATGCTGCATGTACTGTTTGTGTCACCACATAAAGCGCCAATTGGCATTTCAGGGTTCAACCCAATGCTAAAATGTGGATTTTCAATGCAGCTAGATTTGGGTTAGATTTTTGCAGTGTCATGAATTCTAAATGCGTTTTCCCATTCTATCTACCCCGGAACAGGCAGGAAATATCTGTTTAGACAAGCAGACCAAATGTTTGTGTACGTGTGTTCCTGTGTGGTGGTGTTTACTAGGGCAAAAGCAGAGAGAAGGTGGGATTTTTTCCAGCCAACTTCGTGCAGCGGCTCCGCCCTGGTGAGCGGGTGTGGAAGGTCACCTCTGGTTTCCATGGCAACCGCGACAAAGGCCAAATGACTGTGAAAGAGGCCCAGGTGAACACCACAAAATGCACACAAATATTCTCTCTTAGGGGGGCACACACAATCTTGAGTGGATGCAAATTAATACAGACCCTACTGAGCTCACAGGGGATGGTTTGTTATGGCTTTTAGCAAAGATCCTCAAACGTTTTTTGCACATGAGTAAATGTCAGCTACTCATCATAGTGATCCTTACTCTTCCCTCTCCCACGTTTTTCTTCACCCCTGTACTTCCTCCACACAGATCTGTGTGGGGAAGAACGAGGAGACCGACGGCTTCCTCCGACTGAGCAGCGGGAAGAAGAGGGGCCTGGTTCCTGTCAAGAATCTGCTGGAAATATGACAGCAACATTTGTCCTTGACCCTCAGTCTGATACAGGTGATCCTAATGATGGAGGAATACTCAGGAGCCAGCGCCCCACTGACAACCAACCACCCACCTCCATGCCCGTAAAAGTGGCAGCGAATTAGCAGCTTGAATGGATGGCAACCCACAGCTTTGTTTCTTTGCTGCAGAACACTTTAAGGGTTAGCTCTTCAGAGATGCAGGAGCTTCTTTAGAGCTACTTTTCTTGTAGCACAACTTCACATTGTGTGGTTGTTTGTACATTCACAGGAGAAATGTAGCAATATATCAGAGTGTGAAGGAGGTCTGGCTACCTCACGGGCCATCTTCACAGACCACCCGATTGCGAAAAACAAGACAGGACTTCTTTCTGATGATGTCAAGACATATCCAAGCTTAAATGCCATATAGAGCATACTGTCTTCATCTTGTTTGAGTAGTGAAATGATAAATTTTAAGTGTTGTTGCTTGTGAAAAGACTTTTTGTTTGAACCGAATGGTGTTTCGGGAGAGGATTCCGTTTTGTGTATAAACCATAACGGTCTGGTTTCGTCTGTTCTGACTGCAGTATATATTCTGCATGTTTGTGGCTTTGAAGCAGATTCATAGTGTGTCACATGTCAGGTCTCCTCAAACCCGAAAGTTATTTGGGTATTACATGATGTAAAAATGTAAGCCTTCTTTTGACATATTGGTTAAATGAAAGTCACAAGACACGCACACTAGTATTTTCCGCAGCACAAACTACTCTCTGGTGATTAAGATATGGCACATTTGTGTTCATCACAGGTCTGATGTGGCAAATGCTTCGCATGCACCTCGGGGAGTTCTTACTTTGCCCTTCAGTTGCACTCTCTCTACACATTAACACGTGCAAATTCTACATTTCACTGGTTACCATGTAGCTCTAAAATTAACCCAGATTCCTTCACATGTCGGTTACCTGTCCTCTATCTATATGTAATGTCCTTTAGTGATATCATGCATGACTGTGAAGATCAGAGTTAGTGATGATCCCCCACCAGGAAAGAGCAGAGCAAAGAGATAACCCAGGATAGAAGAAAAACAAAGAGGAAGAGTAATGATGATTGCAGTGGAGCAGTTCTTCACAAAAGTTATTTCATTAACATCAACTGACTATATTTCAGAATTGGATTGAATCATTTAAATTTTATGTCTTTGGGACGGTGGCAGGAACGTGACTGCTCGTTCACATTAAATTATGAGGCAGGAAATGGAACTGCCCTGGTTGTGGCAATAACGGCATATAAATACGTGGCATAATTTGTAAATATTGCACTGTATAACACACTGTATATATTGGTTCTGAATAACACTGACTAAGATGTTTGCAGGAGCCACTTAGGGGCATTCATTTCAGTTATAACATGCAGAATATAATACCTGATTGTTTTAATGTACACTGCCAGTTAAACATTTAGACATCCACTTTGCATTTGAAATGCAAAGTGTGTCGAAACCTCTGACTGGTACTGTATGTATGCATCTATTCAAGTACCACCTATATCCGTCAGCACAGAATTCTCCAGATACTATGCACAACCGTTCTAGTTCAATTACTTTCATCAGCTTATTTCCAGTGTAGCGACACATGTCTGTCAATCGATGCATACGTTTGAATATTGACTTGCAAAGTGCCCATGCAACGCCAGTCTGCATCGTGCTTTTCCAATACATCATCCTTACTGACTGGAACCAGGTTTGGCTCAGGATCTGTATTACCAATCTTACTTAACTGCACACGACTCGGCTAGTTCTCTGCATGGCTAGCTGCCCTGTGATCCTCTCACATGTCAATAAAGTTGGCTGAACTCGAGCTGTGCCTTTGTCTTTCTTGAGAAACAGTACAGGCTTTAAGTTTTAGTTGTGCTTTGGTTTCACAGGCTCAGCAAAGTGAAAGACTGATTGGCTTTGCACAGAGTTTAGCATTATCAGAGAAGGCCGTACAGCTGAGCTTTATTCAGTGTTGTTATTAATTCCAGGAGAAAGCAGCTCTGATACTGAGCTTTAAAGATCAGGAAAATGTATTTCTCACAGGTGTTAAAAAGAACCTAGTTATTAACCTAGCGTTTTTTGCCTGGCATTGTCCCCAAATTTGCAATGATTTAAAGCTGAAAAGTCCAATCTTTCCCCACATGTTCACTTGGTAATTTTACAGCTAATTTAATTAATTATTAACCCAAACCGAGGATGTCTCCCAACACCATCACATCATTTAAGAATATCGACAGAGAAATGGCTGCTTTTTCTTAATGACCGTAAATAGTATGATTAACTCCAAGCTAAATTAATTAGCAATGGAAGAGTTGCTGGCAGGTCATAGACTGAGCTGGCAAAGAGACGGCTGTATCTGTGCATGTGTTGTGTGTGTGCGTGTGTGTGTGTGTGTGTGTGTGTGTGTGTGTGTGTAAGTGTGTGTCCCTGCTGTGGTGTGAGGAACATTTCTCAAACGATGACCCAGTTCTGTTATCAAACTACATCAAATGGGATTTTTTTTTGTCTCTGCTGAGAGGCAGACAGAATTGAGTTTAACTGGCAGTGCATCACACCAGCCGTACAGTTCTTGAAATTGCTGATTTGGATGCTTAGGATGTGGTGCTCCCAACACAGCTCTCAAAGAACATGGAGTGTTTCTTTGTGAAATGCTCTTCCTTTCCCTCGAACAGTAATTCCTTCATAAATTATTTTCACTTCCATATCATGCCACATCCACTAACAAAACAAAGCACTGAAATGTTTAGTCTGGAGCCACACATTTTAAACCATGCACATAAAAGTGCCCTGCCTTGAACATGCCATGTCAGCACCAGAAAATTGGACAAGATAGCTCCTTAAAGGTGTGACTTTTCACACTGTCGTTTAGGGTTGTATTATATTCACACTTCTTTACATCTTGTGAAAACCAGCAGCAGCTGCTGTACAGACTCAGCAGGAGAAAATGATCTGGGCTCCACAACGGGAAGTTATTTTCAGTAGAAATATAGCAGTAATGCAAATTCTGGATGAACATCCACACTCAAAATAGCTTGACTATACGGCCAAGCAAAAAAGGAAGGCACCATCGGGGAGAGTTAAGCTTACTGATTATTGCTGACTAACCTTGTGGACCCGTGCATCAAACATAAAATACTAATCCCTCACCTCCTCTAAGTCTGTCAGACAGGATATTAATATACAAATCTGTGTACTGTATGCACTGTGAAACTATCCCTGTGTACCATGGGCAAAAAGCAGCGAGTATTTAGATGCAGACACCTCACATGGCAGAGATTTATTAAGTGCACACGTGTGCCGAGTTAATATCTGGTGTCTCAGCTTTCACCCTCATAATTTACTGCAGTAATGCAAAAGCTCAGCAAAACAGACCCAGGGGGTGACATTTAGAGCGGATGTAAAGCCTACAGTTTGATTAGAAACCATATTTACCAAGTAAAAAGTGAGCAAAAGCATTGCCGTTGGGTCAAATGAGAAAAAACTTCCACATTAAGTTTTCCTAAATGTAAAGCACACACCGGACGTACAACACAAAAAATCTGTGTGAGGCAGAAATGATTGCTGTTCCACATTTGAGACATGTCCTTATTCCTGTGAAGGGTATGAAAGCCAGCAGCTATTGTGTTCACTGCATTTGATTAAGCAGAAAAAGATGCTTATTCGTGCCATCAGTAATGTGAGTGATGCGTTTGTCGATTGTCCATACTTTCTTTCCACTTTAACGCCGTGCAGTTCCTCTAATCTCAGAACTCAGAGCATGCTCAGAAGAGATATCACATATTACTCACATCGCCTTTAAGTGCTTCAAATATCATGATTGCCACTGATTTTGGAATTGGAATTATTTCAAACTGTGAAAAGATAATTTTTCTGATGGTCTGTCACACATTTGTAGTCATGGTAATATCAAAAAGTCAAATGAAATTATTCTAAATTCACCAGAGTGGCTGATTTTTCAAATGGCAACATTTTCGTGCAGAGCTTTAAACACTACACAGTTCATCCACATACAGCACAAAGAAAAAAGCGTTGTCTCGAACTGAGGGCAAAAAATGATGTAACAGTCAAATCATGGAACCTGACATTTAAAAACGGCGTTCCATGCCAGCTCTCCTCAGTGTCCACAGGTTGCAGTCATGTTTACATTCTTACAGACTCCCACCAACTGGACCATTAAAGATGAAGAGGGTACACAGAAACGGCATGTTTAATGCATGGTCTCATCTCCGGCCTTGTGTTTCTCAGGGCGCTGCTTGCACAAACACACTTTCAGATGCAAAAAGAAGAATCACTTGGTCCGAAGGTAACAGATGGCGTGTTGAGTTTTAAGGCTGCACAAGTCAGCACACCAGTTCCTCTGATTTGCTCTTTGAAGTCGAACAGGACAGAGAGCGTTCGGCCTGGGGGTGACACATGAAAGCTGATCATGAGACGTATTGGAGAAGAGTAGATTTGGGTACTCACACATGCTGTTTTGTTTTTTTACTCCACTGCATATGTATCCCTGGTGATGCCCGGTGTAATTCGATGTTTATAATTGATGAGGAGCGTGTGACACGTAAACCGCCATCCCTGAACAGAATTGCCTGAGTGTCATTAAAAGAATAGTCTGAGTTGTAAAAACCTTTATGAATGGGTTTTACTTTGGAGAAGTCAGTGTAGACACATGCTCTACTGATCTGACAGTATTCGTGAGCATGCTGACTGCACTCACTTTGCCCCGAATATAACAGGATTAGTTTAATAGTATTTAGTCTTTATTATTGTGAAATCAAATTATTGAAATGTCTTTGAGGAGTTGTTGGTGAAATCTTCTATTTGTACTACAATGAGAAATCTGACTGCTTCCTACGATGAATCAGTAAGAAGCGGACTTATCAATTCACCAAAACCTTGACAAACGTTTTTTTAATCATTATGAATACTGATGTTGGTAAAATTGTGCCACATCTCCCAACATCTAGAGGTCTAGCTGGAAATAACTGTGTCATATGGTATCGAAGCTCCACCACTGAGCCAGTCCATCGCAGGCTCACACAGAGACTAACAACCACACACACTCACACTCAATATCAGGGGCCGTATATATTTGTCTTTTGGGTTATTTAAAGCTATTGTCGGTTCTTATATGTTTGGGTGACCACAGACGTTTTCTGAATTAAGCCCATGACACTTTAGATAAGGCAACAGGGCGTTTCTCAGAATCTTTCCCCGGCGTACACCTGCACACAGCAGAATAAACCCCTCAGCACTTCACCCAGCAGCCTTTAATCAGCTTCATCTTCTTCTCATCATAATGTGGCTTTGACGTGACTGTTGGGCTCTTCATGTTTCAGCAAAGAGAACATCTCAGACAGTCAAACAGCACAATTAGCATTTATGGATGTGATGGTGCAGCTCTTAGCTGCAAAGGACAGGATTGAATGTGTTTACAGCTTGAATATTACCCATTTCTTTTTTTTTAAAGGAGTTTGTTTGCTTGTTGTTGTTCCAACTTGTTCTTGTTATTGAGTGCAGGCCCTGAGGTGATGTATGTCCACATTAGGCTGCAACTCTGCGTTAGTTATGCACTCAAAGTAGAGTTTCCATCCCCCTAATCACTGAGTAAACACAACACACTGACATTTAGGTACCCCCGTTTGTCAGATATTGCGTGGTATGATTTACATATCTTCAAACAACACTCAGATGGTGTTGTGCATAGGAGCAAACAGATTTCTAATAGTTTTTCTTCATAATTTTAAATAGCAGTTTCTCCTATATCTGTAAGGTTAGTAAAATGGTTCAGATTAATGTTTTTGTTCTTTATCGAACTAAAGTGAAGATCCCTGTTGTTTGTTCTAAAGCAGTGAGACACTAAAGAAGCTTTATTTTGTGTCCTGTTATAGTGTTGTCTCAGCTGGACAGCTCTATGTGAGAGAGGTTCTCTTTCTGCTCCACATCCCAACCCATTCCCTTTAAGGTTTTCCAAATCCACCATGCTGAAATCTTAAAAACACATTTCAAAATCCATTAAGTGGCTAAAAAAAGGATTTGAAAATCAGAGGGTCAGGCTCTCTCTCCATCCCTCTCTGCTCGGCCCCCACAGAGTGTGTTTATGGTTCTGAAAGCATGCGTTTGTATGTTGCTCTGCATCCGCCTTTGTCTCAGCGTATAGAAGCACGCAGCTGGAAATTTTACACAGTGGATTGTTTTCCTTCCTTTGGTTCACTTCAGTTGATCCTTCAGTTTATCGTGATCCTCCCAAAGAGCCAAATACAATCTTCAGTCCTGCACCAAAATTGAAACTCAATCATTCATTTACTGAAATTAGTATGTTAGCAAGAGGACTTGAAGGGATGCAAGGATAAAAATAAAATAAAAAGGCACATCCATGTTTCAATGTGTGCTTTTAACCGAGGCCCCCTTTGTTCCCTCTTCGCCCAAATCAGCCTCTCTGCTGTCTCAGGACTAAAGATGAAAACGGGCATTCTATTCCATCTCACCACAGAATCAGCAGGACAGGGGAAAGAGTGAGTTGTATGTTGCCTGATGTGTTTTTACAAAAGAAAGTGTATTCTTTTGGCAAAGATGACAGAAAAGGGAATTAATACAGTCAGTGGAAAACATCAAAGGAGGATTAGGCAAAATACTACAGTTAAAATGCAGCTAAACTGATTTTTCTAATAAAATCCCATTAAAATCCATCATAAATTCCTGATCTACTCCAAAAATACAATCCCAGATATAATTTCTTTTATCTCTACAATTCAAAGGATCCTATATTTTTCTCTTGCCTATTTAGGTGCCAAAAAGTCAAAAGAATTTTCTTAAAGTCTTCTGGTTTGGTCAGAATGCTCGACCCCATCTGATCAATGCTGATTGCTTCACATTTGGGCCAGACTGTTTTTTTATGCACTGTGCCGTGCCACTCTCCACCTCAGGAACACATCTGTCAGGGTTTAGCATTTTCTCCCGATTGTCTCAGGCATTTAAGATGTGCCTGGATGCCTTTGTTCATCTCCCTCTCAGTAGCATGTTTTTTAGCATGTGATTGATCTGGTGTGCTGCCTTCTGTCACCAAAATAATCACGTTTGGTGATGTATGATGTCCTCTCCCTGAACCTCAGATTAACACAACTGTCCCTGAGCTTCTGATTTTTTTTTCAGCTGAAACTTCTCCTTAATTTTTTTTTTTCTTTTCACTACGCAAACAGAGTATACATCACACTAAATATTATCTGGATTCTCCTTCTATTTGATCATATTTATTTAACATCCTCTACCAAAGATGAAGTGATAGCATTGATAATCTCACCATGTAGCAATTGAAAATTATATGTATTTTATATTTTACTCAGTTACTGATTGATTTGCAACCTGACTGTTCTCTAGTGAACGGAGCTTCCAGTTCACCTCTGTGGCAGCAGGGTTGCATTTTGCTCCATTTGCTACTATGCTCGCCCTGACCTGAAGCTGTGGTTGTATTTTCCAAATCCTCCCTGATTGCTGCATTCGCACCACTCGAACTGCCTATTTTTAGACCAAGATTAAGATGTCAAACTGAACTGGTCACAGAGACGGAGCTGCAGACATTCTGAAAATTGAAATGCCATCAAAACTGCATGAAAAATGCTTTAAATTGTATACGCATCTACAGCACCTACACGATTATAAATAAAAAAATGTCAGTAAGAACCTCCAGCTAGTTTTTGAAGACATATTTTTCTGCACGACAAAATCTGTCAGCTATTACATGTTAATAGTCTTGGTTGAGCGTAATTTCACCATGAATATAATTATGAAACAGAGGCTGCTCAGTGTGTTTTTTCCCATGTAGGTGAGGGAAGAGAACAGAAAAGTGGTGACACTAGATTGTGTTTGGCCAAAATGTGACCAGAAAGCTCGTGTCAGTAGCTTCTAAAAACCCAAGAGATGACAGTTTTCAAAAGGTTCTTTTCAAGCAAAGCGGCTGGCCACTGTGGCTTATTTGTGTGTCTTTGTCGCAAGATTGTTAAACTGTCTCTCTTCAGGGTTGAGTGGGATTGATTTAAAGTCATAATGCACTGAGAAGTGTCCAGATATCTGTAAAACTCTGGTGTGGTGGGTAGCACCATCGCCTTTTGTGGAGAAGGTTCTGGGTTCGAGGCCCCGGGGGAACCAGGACTTTTCTGTGTGGAGTTTGCATGTTCTCCCTGTGACTGCGTGGGTTCTCTCCGGGTTCTCCGGCTTGTTAGATTGATTGGACATTCCAAATTGCCCTTAGGAGTGAGTGTAAGTGTGAGTTTCAGTGTGTGTGTGATTGTTTGTCTTGTGTGTCTTTGTGTGGCCCAGCGATGGACTGGCTGACCGTCCAGGCTGTACCCTGCCTCCTCCCCATTGAGCACTGGGTTAAGCTCCCCATTTGGGAATAAGCAGTTACAAAAATGGATGGATGGAAGATGTGGCTAAGGCTGTGTTGGATTTGAAAGGACAGTCTATCTGACTGATCTGTATCAAAGACTGCTGGTAATCCTTCTTTCAATCATCAAACGTGAAAAATGGAATTGAAGCTCTGGAAGCCGACCAGCATGCTTTCTAATGGAATTATATCCCTGCATCTATGAACTAGAGTAATTAGGTAACAGGGTGAGGTGAACATGTGAGGGAATAGACACTAAAAATATCTGAGATAGATAAGAGAGATTAAGATAGGAGGATTAGGCTCCTGTTCCATGTATGGAACTGTGTTCATTTGACATTTATGAGCACTGATCGAACCCAAAAAGACATCCCGTCCCTCACAGAACCAGCCAGAGTTACAATAATTTAGTAAATGAGAGATAAAGAAGGCAGCATGAAGAGAGGCGGCCATCATACTGACAAGAATGGGGTAATTCATCCAGTTTAATTTTTTTGTGTTTAAATATCATCTCCTTTTAATCACTTTCATCTCCACATTTTAAATTGTTATTGAAGATCTTCGGAACTCTCGAGCATGCTCCACGTGCATTTGGTGGATTGAGGGCCAAATGTAATAAAGACCGTGGCTCATATTCCTCTAATCCCATTACGGCTCACGCTTCAGGAAATAGGACCGCCTCGTGGTAATGAAGAAATACATTAATGGTGCTGAAAAAATGGCTTTGCGGCACACAGATGGTTTTTTCTCCTCCAGTAAACACTGCCATCTTCCTACAGTTCTCACATTTATTTATTTGGACGGTTTTGTCATTGGCAATCTGTTTAATAACGACTGAAATCGAATGTTTAGATAAAGTAAAGCGTCTATTAAGATGCTGAGCATGAGAATATTAAAGTGAGCAGATGCCCCGTCAGCTTTTTTGCTGTCGCTCAAGGCCTTTAAAACCCAGAAAGGTTCTCCAAACGAGCCTTTATAAGCTTTTGTTGCCTGTTGTTTATGCATGGATGTAAGGCAGCCAGAAAAATACACTACACAGACTAAAACCATGAAGAACTGTGCCAGGGAATGGAAGCTGGCATCTCTAGGACAAATGGGAGTGTGAAAAAAAATCTAATTTTGCATTACCATTATATTATTTATTTCTTTATGTTGTCAGTAGACTGCTTTCAGTTAAGTAATTTTCCAATAAATAGCTATTTGAAATTTAAGTATCAAGAGTACCATCGGCAATCATAGTATTTTCACAGATACCACATCCAGAAGAGGATAACACCAGCCCACACCTTCCTCACTGTGCATCAATGAAGGATTTATCCATGCGTATAAAAAAGAAAGCGCTTCATTGGATTATCAGTGTTATGAAAAAGGTTAGAACGAGGACAAACGTGGTGACAAACATCATTTGGAGACGTCTACAGAAATGAGTGAAGTCTGTGTTACAGATATGAGGCTGCCCCTCCTGGCTGCTGCTGCAGGTACACGCATGTACTCGGTGTGTGAGATGGAAATGAAGTGTTGACTTACTGCAGTCTTTTCTCCTTGTTTAGGAATCTCAGAAAGCCACACGTCAGACTTGAGTGGGACATCTCTCTGTTCCTCTAATGATGGCCGTTTCTGCTGACCTTTGCATGACTCCAACAGTAATAATAGAACAGGTCTGTAGGAAGTACAGGTTTGATGTGAACAAAAGTAGTTGTGTGAAGTTTTTTAAGTGGTATTTAAGGCAGACAAAATAGATGACATGAAGAATCTATTAAGAGATAACTATCCTTACATCAGTGCATTCTGAGCTCAACTGTAGCCTCCAAATGCTTCATCCAAAAGTCACAGCTGGCTTAACTAACACACTGCATGTCATTCTCTGCTTTCAGTCATCTGTACACACAGCCTGTAGAAAGACAGGTTTAATTATTTGTAACACAAAGGGAGCATTACTCACATAACTGATGAAGAATTGTATCCTGATAGCATAATCAGTCAATTCTGGCAGATAATCTTTAAAAATAGCAAAGAATGGAAAGGCTTTTCTTCCCCTCTCTGTTAGTTTAGCGGGGACATTACCTAGGAGTCGAATTTACCAGGACTGGTCCCTGCGCACCATGAGCAGATGTGTGTGAATTAAACATGAACATCCCGGTCCAAAATAACAAGTGCAAACAATCTGCATGCTGTGGAAACTTTACCGAGACTGAGGAGGTGAGCATTATATCCATGTTTTCACAAGTACTGCTGGAACTTCTTTCTGCAGAGAGGAACATGTGTTGCCAACATTTTGTTTCTATAGTACACAAAAAGTTTCAAGTTTTTGATGCAGGAGCAAAGACATTTAGCTGTGTTCAAATATGATGGAGAACATGAGACTTATCCCTGTTAAGATGTATAGATCGCATCTTTTCTTTGCAGTTGTTTATCAGCTGCCGTGCACGACAGTAGCTGAAAAATCAACAGAAACCTATGAACATATCTGCTCTCCTCACTGGATGCAATTGAAGTCACTACCATCCTGCCTGTCTAAAATGATCAGTATCCTTTTATACTGCATTTAGTGCTCTGCTGCCACCTGTTGGAGTGCTGTAAACATTCACTTATGTTTTCCTCTAGTCATACAGCATATTAATGCTGTACAGAAGAAAAAAAGATGTGCTCTAATACTTATTCCCTGCATAATTTATGCTGACTTTAAAACATACTGCTTTGAGATGAATTACTAGATCTTAGGACGGCCTGTAGCGCTCCCCTGCTACATCTTTTTTTCATCTCAATAAATCAAAGTAATTTACATGGCAAATTCACTCATTCTCATCCCTTTCTTCACAAAAGTAAGGACACAATTTGACAATTTTATCCAGATTTATTAACAACAAAAAGTTGAACCTGCCAGACTTAATATTTGTTTCATTTCTTTGCAGTCTCCTCTTCCTTTGACAAGTTCTTGATAATCTCTTCTTTCTTGGCCAAAAGACGCTCCTCTCTGCGTTTACGGGCCTCCTTTGTCTTTGTACGGCGGGCCTCAGCCTGGTCACTACACGAGGGAAGAAAAAACAAAACAGAAGTGAATTAATTTCCCCGTCAGCGAAATGTACATTTATATGAGAAAACTGGAGCAGAAACTTACGCCAGAAGCTTCTTGCGAGCCTTATCAGCCTTCAGTTTATGGATGTGTTCCATCAGGATGCGCTTGTTTTTGAAGACGTTACCCTTGGCCCTCAAGTAAAGACTGTGGTACCTGGAGGAAAGAAACATGTACCTCAGAGGAACTTAAAAGAAAGACGCTTTGCCCAAAACCGTACCTAGAGCACCCCAGATTTATTCATCAGTACTGAGAGCAGACATTCAAACTTACATGTGCCTGTCAATTTTCTTTGACTCCCTGTAGCGACGAAGAAGACGACGCAGGATTCTCATACGCCGCATCCATGACAACTTCTCGGGCATACGAGCATTGGCTGTACCCTTTCGTTTACCTGGGAGAGGGGGGAATCAAACAACAAATTACCTCATTTATGTCTTATTCTCAACAACATAGTGCACTTTCTATACACAGAATACCGTTTTTTAACTTTATATCAGTTGAATTTTCCAGGATTTCTTCCACTGCAAAGCTCACTGTTTTCCATTATGGTGTATATTAGTTACTTCAAGTCTATTGGGCTGCACATACTGGATGTTAAATTTTGTTACAGTCCTAAAAGCCTTAAAAACCCAAATATTAACAAGCATGTCAACAGCTTCCATTTTGTGATACTAGTTTGTGCAAAAATACAGAGGATCTAACCATGAAGAATGATAGCATCAACTTTTAAAGCAAATTCATTATTTTGTTACCGAAAAAAAAAGAAAATTAGTGAAGTACATTTCAGCTATCAGTCACTCACCATATCCCATGTGACGCCCCTTGCGCCGTGCCAGCGTGTTCTTGCGGCAGCGGGCACGGGAGTGAACAGTCACAGGTTTCCTGATGATCAAACCATCCTTCACCAGTTTTCGAATTTGCTGACCTGTAGCAGAAAATTATATTCAATAAAAATCACAAGACAGGACAGAACCTCATCAGACCACAAGAACTGAAGAAACTTACGGGAGTTTGCATTAGCAATCTCATTGGTTTCGTTGGGGTCCAACCACACCTTCTTCTTGCCACAGCGCAGCACACTTGATGCCAAGCGCTTCTGGAGCCTGAGCATGCTGTAAAACAAATATTTAGGTGTTAATTAGCCACAGCAATTCAGCCCTCAGCAATTAAAAATTTAAGAAAAAGTCATAACCAAGTGCAGGTAAGATGTTTAGCGACTTTCTACATTTTAAAAAAGAAACTTTTTTAAAATTTCATAGCAGTTAGGTTGAAAATACTGAAGAATCAACCAAAGTACTGTTATGTTATAAAAAAAAATCAAGAAGAACAATAAAAAGTCACTGGATAATATTGAAACGCCGATGACAGAAAAAAACTAAAACCCATTTGACCACAGCTGGGTTGTCACTTGAAGATGTTAAAGAAACGTATTTTTATTAATTTTTAAACGGTCCTCAATAGTTTGAGTGAAATAGAGTTATTTTGTACTAAATATTAAGGTAATTAAATCTCACCATAACAATTTATTTTCAATGTTAAAGGCAAATATATAGTAAACGAATAGTCGTTTAGCAGAGCAAAATGTGGTGACCCGATTGAATTTAGAGAGACGTACTAAGCACATAGTTAGCTAGGCACAATATGTGCTATACATTCTTATTCCATTTTTTATTATAATATCTGGGGTTTCTTCGACTGACTTCGCAAACACGGATAAATATTGAGTGCCAGCTGGTGTACGGATAAGCAGCAGCGCTGTATGTAACATGTTGTGGCATGACTTGGTTAGCATGTTAGCTCACCAACACAGGCCCCACAAACAAGTCTAACGTACATACGCACCTTTAGTGAGAACAGACCAAAGCCTGAGTTTCCCTTGCAGCTCAAAAATTCTTAAGTCAAATATACCTTGAAGTCTCTACACAGGATAAATACGTACAATTAAGTCTCAAAAGCCGAGCTTACCTCATGGCTGCCGTTAAGTTGATAGACACGGAGGAAATAGACAGAACGAGTCGTTACCATTTTAGCAATAGATGTGAGCCTGCCAAATGTGGCTGCTTGACCAAATTCACAAATGTATCCATACACTTAGGGTGCCACACAAGGACAAAAAAAATTGATTTTAGATATAACCGCTTGTTACTATACGCATATAAAGGTAGTTGAGCTTTATGAAAAACTATTAAAAAACGGAGCCCATGGACTGATAACCCACCCCAGTGTAATGGTACGGTCCAAACAAAAAAAAAAGAGAAAAGAAGAAGAAGAAAAAATAAATGCACACATCCAGCCACCAGATGGCGCTGTATTTTATGTTTTAAAGTTCAATTTTGAATGGACGTTTGCTTTAATTTATTATAAAAGCAGAGTGGCAACGTTAGAATCAAATGTTATAACTTTCCAGTTGCCTCGTGACTTTTACAAGTGGTAAGCGTCTTTTTCATCAATATTTTAACATCCGTCTGTCTGTTTCATGTTCCTTTTTAATCTGGGTTGACTATTTTCTGATATTGGAGCCTATCCCAGTATTTAATGGGCGAGAAGCAGGGTACAGACTGGACGGTCCGCCAATCCATCGCAGGTACATGGAACAGCATCTCAACATTATGTATTCTGTCTATGGTTCGCCCCCAGAGGTCAAACAGACTCCACGCTGACCTCTCCTGGTGGCTAGCCGAACAGCACGACCGGCAGAGGATTGCTGTAACTAACTGCGAGTGGTACTCCGTCTTGTCACACATCTATCCTCTGTCAAAGCTGGGCTGTCCGCTGTTTAGAGGAGAGTAGACCTTGAGCACGGACAGTCTGGGTTTCTGAAATATCCAGCAGCTCCACCGTTTGTTTGGTCGACGAGCTACTTACTTTTTGAGATATGAGTCAGCGCAAAACAAATTTCGAGGTAAGTGATATTTCTTCCTCGCGAGCCGGACTAGCTAACGCGGATGCTAGCAGCTACAGCCTAAGTGTTTCAGTAAGTGTGGCCAATGCGGCTCGTGTACAGTCGTAGCTACAATAACCGAGCGTACCCCTGTACCCCGGTCTCACACCCGCCATAGTCGTGCTTGTTTAGACACCGCATTAGGGTTCTTTTTTTGCGTAGTACGAGTTGACATTGTGCAGTTAACTGTACGTTGACATTGAGATGTAAAGGAGCCTTCGCATCTTAATGGGATCTCACATCTTGCCATGTGTGCCCCACTGACATACATACAGTACACCACAAGCCTTCCATTAAGGTATTTAGTTTGCGAAAGGCTAAAACGGCTCCTTTGTGAGTCCCTTAAGCCTTAGATTTGTTACATGCGGCTCAGCGGCATGCTTTGCGGGCAGTCACAGACGCTGGGAGAAACTGCTGAAGGTTTACTGTAATAACTCTGCACAAACGGCCGTTTACCCGCGTTAGAGATATTATGAGCGGCTTTGACTAAAAACAAAACGGTGCTCCTGTGTTGTGGAGCTGGACAACAATCCCCCGGGCGTGTGCCATTGTTGTCTGCTGTACCGGTTATCTATCTGCACCGGCCATCTGTCACAAAGACTTCTCCTGTTTGACCTGGTTATTGCAGACAGCTCGAAAAGTGGGAGACGGATTAACCCAGTCGCTTATGCACGGTCAGTCTGTGGGCGTATTTAAATGTCAAAATAGTAAACATTAACAATTATTTATTGGAATTGTATTGCGTGTCATATTATCAATATTTTTCAATCTTACTTCTTTTAGTTTAAAGTGTGACATTAGAAATACAATTTAGTTTAATTTGTACCAAAGGTGTAAAAGTAAATATAATCTTTAAAAATAATCTTTCCATGCCGTCTCATCAGGGTTCTCACATTGAAACTGTATTCAGGCCAACCTCACCTGTTACCTAATCCCACCACCTCCTCGCTCTTCAGCTTCTCTGGTTTGCTTCCCAAAAAGTCACCCCATTAGCTGGAGTACTCTCGGTCAATGACCCCTCTCAAAATCCCGTTTCCTTCATCTGTGTGGAGATCAACTACTACAACCTAAGCATTGCGCAAAGATGATTGTTCAGAGTGTAGTTAATCCATCGCTGGAGCTGATAAAACCGGGACATCTTTGCCAATAGGTCAGCATTTTCTGTCTGATATCTCTCTCGCTGATTATTCTTAGACAGCCAGAGCCACTGTGTCCCACCAAGTCATCTACTGTATGATGTTCAGTGGCAAATCATTCATTCATACAGTGACTCACTCAGTCTTATTTCCAAAGTCACATGTTTTATATTCCCTTTAAATAAATTGATGTAGCATTGTTTTAAACATGTCATAATGATAACCATAGAATTGCTACTTTACTCATTCCTGTATTCCTGCCAATTGAATACCAGGTGTCTTTATTTTAAATGAAAATTGAATCAAACATTAGATTTCGGACTCTTTCTAAATACTATCAGTAAAAGTCCAAACTTTGAGTTATACCATTGATTATATTGGAGCTCGGCTTTCTTTGGAGCTGCTTTCTGATAACTGTCTACACGCATCATTTGTAGAACCGAAACACGCTATCAACCTGGATGTTGGTTCAGCATATTCTCTGTGTCTGACTTAATTGACTTGGTGATGTGGTAGTTTATTGGCAAATTATGTTATCTGCAGAATAATATCATCCAAAGTCGAGAATGTGCTGGATGTGGTCAGTTTTACAGACAAACATCTGCCACCATCACTAATGGACTGGAATATAAAGCCAAGTCCACATATGATGCAATGTTTAATGTTTGAGATGAATTGAGGTACAGATTACATTATACCTATCAGCATATACAGCTTGCCTTTGATAAATTGATCATTGTCACAATGACAGAAGCCTGCTTCTCCTGAAAAGCATACAAATAATAATATTTCACTTTAACAGAAGCTGTTGTTAGTGTGTGGACGCTTGAGTGTTTTTTTTTTAAGAGGAAGTCTTTGCCCTCATTTATACAGTTTTTTTTTTTTTTTTTTTTAGAATTTAGGAAGTAAACCTTTTCTCAAGTGAATCTTTAGATATGCAAAGTGGGCATGAAGCAGAGCAAAAGCACATCCAGTATGAATGGTAGTTGTGCAATAGAATTTTCTTTGAATATTTTGTGCCCTATTTTTTGGCACAATGTATCCAAAAGGTGTCAGGTTAATGCAACCTTTAGGACAAACAACAAAAAGTGCATAATCCATCCAGAGTTACAAGCGATGTACGCAAGATATATTGTATCAAGCATCTAATTGTGGCATAATTCCTTATTTAGGGCACTCTTGTTTTTAACAGTTAAATGAGCAAAAAGAATGAGCAGGGACAGCAGCGGGAGCTCATTAGGTGTTGGAGGTCCCTTTTAATTTTCATTAAGCATTTCTCCCTGGCTAAGATGATGGTAAGGTGCTCTCACATTGTGATTATATGAGACTTTTGTGTCCTTCCAGCTTTCCTGCAGCCGGTTTCTGTGATCAGGTGGGAGAGGGAGGGAGGCAGAAACATGGAGCTGTCAGACGGTTTGTTGCTGCCTGTCAACAATGGGGAGCAGTGGTATAATCGCTGGAAGCATCCTAATGAAGACTTGGTAAGTCAGCCACGTAAAAGGATCCCTACAGAAAAGTAGGATAAGCGTTCCGCAAATTTTCAGATCAAAGTTGGTAAATGTTGTCTTTGTGAGCGTGTGCTCCTTTGAACGGTTGTCCTTTCATCCTAATTGAGTTTTGTGGTGCTTGCGTTTGCAGGACCGCAGCACCAGCCCTTCCGTCTTGCGCTCTGTTGCCAGCACGTGGAAGGAGGGCCTGCTGAACAGAAAGAGGCCCTTTGTGGGCAGATGCTGTCATTCCTGTACACCTCAGAGCTGGGTAAAGTTACTCTACAGATGATCCCTAACCTGAGCTGATAAGATGAACTCTCAACAGTTACAGCTGCTCTGGTGTGGAAATTAGAATGAACAAGATGACAACTATGCAGTTTTAAGCAAAAACAAGTCATTATGTTTGAATCATTTCAAGAATTTTCCCAGCTTTTTCAGAGTTTTTATGTGCGAAATTTAATGTGTCTTCAGAAATGAGTGAGCTTTGAGTGAAAACTCCAGGTTGTGGGTTTGAAAATGTAAAAATGATAAATAAAAAAGCTTACGGTTGTCCAAAACTTTGGATTAGTGATCCATTAGTTCATGTCAGTGATTAAAGTGTTCTACATTTTGTTTGAATACATTTTCTTTTGCTGCAGGATCAATTATTCAACCCCAGCATTCCATCTTTGGGACTCCGCAATGTCATCTACATCAATGAGACCCACACCAGGTAAACACAACTAAAGCTACTTCCTCTAGTAATATTTCGTATCCCTTTTATTGTACTTTACTCTCATCCTTCAGAAAGAGGAAGACTTTCGACTTTTGAAACTATATAGTCAGGTTAAGGCCGGTGCCGGTCTTGTTAAGAGCCCATTGTATAATGAATGACTTTAAATCAAAAGGGCTGATCTTTGAAGCAGTGGAAAGGCACTGTAGCAGTGTGAATAATTTAAAGTGTTTGTTAGTGGACACCACGCACATGCAAACAATATCTGACTCCGGTGAGCAAAACTGTGCAAGGTGCCTTAATATCTTCAACTGAAACTAGATAAACTCCCCCTGATGTAAATCAAGAATAAATTAATCTTGTTTAGTTTTTTTCTAAGTTCAAGGAAATTTAGCTGTTTGCACATATTTGATTTTTTTTTCTCCCATTTTAATCAGTGTTATATTAGCATGGCGACAAACATCCTGGCTCTAGATAGATTGCAGTTTGTTTGTATGTACATAGGTATAGTTTGTTTTGGCTTTGCACAGTTGGTACAATTTCAGCTAAGTGGAACAAAGCAGAGATTATACCAAGTGTGGATGACGGATACATCAGCTTTAAGAACTTGCCAAGAAAAGCCTGTAAGGTTGACATTCATTTGAATAATCAATTTAACCCAGCCTTTCATGTTCTGGTTGTTGTTTTTGCAGTCAGAGAGAGACTGTGCTCACATGTTTTTGTCCCTAAAGATGAATGTAGCCCGAACGCTCTTTGTTCTTTGTTTGAGTTATTGGTTGCCATAGGTCCATATGTGTGTCTATTTTCCCTCCTGCAGACAGCGCGGCTGGTTGGCTCGCAGGCTAAGTTATGTGCTGTTTGTCACGGAAAGAGATGTCAACAAGGACATGTTCACCAGGAACGTGGTTGACAATGTGCTCAACAACAGCAGGTACGAGTTTCCATGACATTTAAAGAGACACTTGATATCTAAGAAGAGTGTTGATACTCAGCCCCACTCCTTTGCAGTTTGGCAGGGAGTTTTAAAGTAATACCAAGACATTTAGAAATTATATCTGAAGGAAAAGAATATAAAAAGTGACAACAGAGAAAGACACATCTTCCAAATGTTTCCACCGACAGGACACAGAATTCTATTTGTACTGTGATTTTGTTGATTGTAGGGTAGAGGCAGCTATTTTAAAGGTGGCCACGGATTCGGAAGCGGACGGCAGCAAGCGGGCCCAGGAGCTCAAGGCTGTCAGTAAGGTGAAGCAGAAAGCCAGGGCCTTCCTGCAGGAGATGGTAGCCAACATTTCACCAGCCTTTATCAGGTGTTTACTTCTGCTTCTTCATCCAGTTTTGGAGATTTTTTTTCAAATGCAGGAAGATTTATTTGGTTTTTAGTTTTTCTATTCTAATTTTTATTTTTTGTTGTGTTTAGGCTGACTGGATGGGTGCTCCTGAGACTATTCAATGGTTTCTTCTGGAGCATCCAGATCCACAAAGGACAACTGGAAATGGTCAAGAAAGCAGCCACAGAGGTCAGCAGCAACTGCACAGATAATACAATGGTTATTAAACCTTCACATGATGAACTCGGACACTAAAAGGCCACAATATGTTAATGTAAATAAAGTCCTCCTTACAATCTACTGTGCATGATAAATGTTCATTATATTAATTGTAAATAGATTTAAATTAAAGGCAGATTGTCTTGTGTTAAAATAGAAAACTTGTAGCTTTATTAATTTTATAAAGAAATAATCTAAGTGTTATCTTTACAGCAAAATGTGCCCATGGTCTTCCTTCCTGTTCACAAGTCGCACATCGACTATCTGCTCATCACATTGATTCTCTTCTGTCATAACATCAAAGCCCCACACATCGCTGCTGGAAACAACCTCAGCATCCCTATTCTCAGGTAAACAGCTATGAAGCTTTGGGTAAAGTTTAGTCCATCTAAAAGTTTTTTTGTGTTTTCTGAAACAACAATTTACATGGCAAAGAAACCAGTCTTCCAGCAGATTTGATTTTTTTTTTGCCAATCTGCCTCGAGTTGCGTTTCAGGTTCTTACATTGATCCTCTACTTACAACAGGCACCCGCTAAAGGGTCATCCCAAACACTCTCTTTTCTTTGATCATTGGATTATTTGACCTGTGTCCACATATAGGAGGAGATATAAGGACTACAGACAACAAAATCAATCACAGTTCCCTCTAGAGGAATTAATAACAATACCACAACAGCATTCAGGTGACATGCCTAATCTTTGTTAATAAATATATGTATATATACGAATATATACGAGTCTCACAGTAAGGGACAAGATATTCATTTGAATACTAGCCAAACAAACCTGAAGCTGTTGCTAAATAGTTTGTTGCTGTTTGCGTTTTAATTTATCAGATTTTTTTAGTTGTTCATGTTTTCAAATAGATTCAAACGTCTGATGAAAGTTTAGTTTGAAAGCCAGTTAAAGCATCCGTTTTTCTTTTTTTCAGCACTTTGATTAGAAAACTTGGGGGATTCTTCATACGGCGGAAAATGGAAGAGACAGGGGATGGGAAGAAAGACATTTTGTACAGATCACTCCTGCATGCAGTAAGTCTGTTTGTATTTTGACAGCAGGAACTGGTTGTTTTCATGCCTCGCTGCTCTGTGCACTCTTTCAGAGACATGAGAGTTAAAAGCTCTCTTTGTAGCGTGGCCATATTTTCCCTGTCACTGCTTGTATTGCAGAATGAGTGCGAATTTTTATATTTGTAGCATTTTGGAAGTGTTTTGGCATCACCATATTTCTGTCATCTTTCCAGCCAACCAAAGACAATAATAATGTAATTAAAAAACCTTATCCTTAGATATTGGACATCATTGTTAAGAATAGAAACCTTAACACAGCGATTTAAGCCTTCCCTAGAGGTATGAAATGTGCTGCTATTCCGATCCTTGCTCTAATCCCTTAACCTTTAGTTCAACCTGGTAACTCACCAGCTGTCTATCAGCCTGAACATTTTTGGAAGAAAAACTTGAAGGACTACTTATGAAAATTGAAATGCTTTGACGTCAAAAGCAACGTCAAGCATGCCTGACAAGTAGAAATGTTGTAAATATGCATCAAAATGGAGAAGCTGTAACTGGGATTGGCCTAATACTTTGAGTCAAGGTTACAAATTACTGATAGGTCGTATCTGTAGAGAAAGTAACAAAAAACAAGCTCAGCATGTTGTGCCATCAAACACAGCATTGACATTGTATTGTATGACCATGATAAGTTCCTAGATAGACACATGGTCAGCTTCTTGAAATGGTGAGCCAGTGCTCAGTTCATTTCATTGTGTGCACCAGAGAAAAAACCGAGAGCACATGTTGGTCACAGCAGTTCTCCAAAGCAGAGTATTTTCATTTAGAAGAAGGTAAGATTCATTCTGGCATACCTGTTTCTTTATAGATTTTTTTTTAAAAGCCACATGGTGCTTTAGAACAGGGTAGTTTTTCCTTTTCATAGCTCGAACTTTGGCCCACAGTCAGCGATCTATTTCAGGACAAAAATCCTCATCTCAAAAGTATCATCATAGCAACAAACAGCTGTGTATATACTACTTGGAGGATATCATTACACAGCACCTGCATGCACCCAGTTCCCTGCACAGTATCAGGGTCAGTTCGTTGGTTACTATCACCCACGTTCATCAGAAATTCACCCTGTAAACCGCAGAATCTGCATAGCCTTTATTAATCTCTTCTGTTACGCTGTCATTAAGAGAGTTTAAATGTAAAAATGTCTCACTCCCAACTCAAAGAGGAACCTTTAATGAATTTATCTTCATATGAATATTTGTACCTGTTTCAATTTTTCTGCAGTACACAGAGGAATTGTTGCGGCAGCAGCAGTTTTTGGAGGTCTATCTGGAGGGTACTCGGTCCCGCAGTGGTAAGCCTTCTCCTGCGCGTGCAGGCATGCTGTCCATTGTGGTTGAAACTCTGTGCACTGGGGCCATCGGCGATGTCCTGGTGGTACCCGTTGGCATCTCCTACGACCGCATCATTGAGGGCAACTACAATAGTGAACAGCTGGTAAGCTCACTGAGGTGGTCCCTGTGGTTTATTTAATCCTGTAATACTACAGGAAAACATAGAATTCTAAGTCATTATGTGGCTTCTGAAAATTCAAACAGGATATTTAATCAGAAAATGTGTTTTTGGCAATAATGTGTTTTATTTTATTTTAGGCTCTGTCATCACAGATGTTTTTTATGACAAGCAGTCAATCTAAATCCAGCATGTCCATGTCTATCTTTTAGGGAAAACCCAAAAAGAATGAAAGTTTATGGGGAATAGCATGTGGCGTGTTCAGGATGCTGCGCAAGAACTACGGTTGTGTTCGTGTTGATTTCAACCAACCCTTCTCCTTAAAGGTGACAGACAGAATACAATGAAAATTATGTGAACTCTATGTATCACAGTTAGGGTATTATTAAGACATTTCCATTTCCACAAGCAATCTGGCTTTAAAGTTTATGAACCTGGTGTTCCTCTCCCTTTACATGTAGGAGTACCTGGATACCCAGAGAAGCCGTCATATTCCACCACCAGTGTCTCTGGAAAACACCTTGATGCCCACTATAATTTCTGCACAGTAAGGGCAAACACACACACACAGACGTGCACACACTCCTTTCTCCTCAGCTGAAGCGGTGTCTTCACGTGGCCTGCACTTCTGCACAAAGCAGCTGTCCCTCAGTCATAGATGCAACAGCCCTCATGTTCAAACTGTTCCCCCCCTGCTGCTTCACAGCAGTGTCTGTCTGACATCTGAGCACAGCCCTTGACTTTCACTTCAAAGCTGTCCCCTCTTAATAAAACTTAAGTACAGTCACAAGGGCAGCTGAGGCCCCCCTCAGCACGTTTAGGGTTAGAACTGTCACAGTGTCCCACTGGAGGAGATTAAAATACCGTACTCATTGGTGAATAAGTGACTTCTAACTTCTATATGCCAGCTTTTCATGCTTTAAGTGAGACTTGCTTCCGTGATACACATAAAGTAATTTAATATAAGGTAATGATATCAATAAAGGATGCAACTTTAGGGCCAAACTGACTATGATGAATTAACAATTATTAATTAATGATGATCTCTAGAAAGTATGTAATCAGCTCAGATAGTATTTGTTTATTACATAGATGTTCTGTACCTAAACTGCAATGGTGCTGATGATTGTGATCAGCCTTGTTGAATAGCTGCCTTGAAAAAAACTCATCGCCAGTCCATCTACAATTGTGTTTTCTTAATTATTATGCGATCATTTATTAAATCCTTATATTCAGCTTTTGACTTTATAATGGTTGTCAGCTAGTTGTAATTTTTACTTGTTCTCACTTAAAATGTGTATGTTTTTCTGGTATATGATGTAGTACTTTATCCTTTTTTTAAAACATTAATCTGATTCTTATATAGAAAAAGTGTACTCCAAGGAAGCTACTTAACAGATAAAGACTGTTCATCAGGTATATTAAGTCCTCCCTGAGTAGAGAGGAAAATGAATGCTCGTCCTGAGAAAAAAAGCTGGCGTTGTATTCAACAGCTGCGTGAATTATTCATATGCTATAATAAAACTGGTGTTATTCTTCAAGGCCTGATGCCGAGCTGTTTGAAGGGCAAGAAGAAGAGCAAATGGACAGAGAGCTGCCGGATGAAATCTTTCGACGGCAACTTATCAACAACCTGGCTAAACATGTTCTCTTCAGTAAGGAACTCAGACACAATACAGGCAGTAGATTAGCTGCTTTCTTTATCAAAATCATTCGCAGCCTTCCCCAGAATCGAATATTAATTTTTAAGATTATTGGGGTATGCTTTTGTTCACAAATATTTTCCCCTACTTTTTTTGTTCCACTGATATGATCGCAAAAATCTCCTTTTCATCCTTCACTTAAAGGTGCACCTGCTGACAAAGGAAGCACCCATGAAATACTATCCCTCATCCTCTCAGAACTAATTGAAATCCTACACAGCACAGCATCAGCCCATCCGCTTCACATCACTCAGGGTTCTTTGCCCTGGGGTAACACTCCACAAACCGGTTCTCCCCGGTTCATTCAGCTGCCTTCCCCTACTTTTTTTTCTATTTCTTTCAACCCACCCAATCACAGGGCTAACAGCTGGATGGCATGTTGTTTTGAGCCAATAGGGACAAGGGGAGGATAGAAACAGTAGAGGGGAAGAATGCAATACCGGCTTTGGTGTTCAGAAATGCTTTGCTCCTCTAAGCTTGTACTGTGCTCACGGTGGACTTCAGTAACCTTCGTCCTTATACACATTAACAATTTGTTATGTGCCTGGAGTGGTCATTAGTGTTCATTTGGTAGAGTAAACTCCTTTGGGATAAATTGAACTGTTTTAACTGCAATAAAGTAAAACCTATTTGTAGCTAACAAAAGTCATATGTAGACAGACTCAGCACATGGTATGTTTAAACCAGTTGGGTCAGACTCCACCATGGGTCTGGTTCCGTCAGATTTATTCCTGTTAAAAACAAGTTTTCGAACTTGTGTGTGTCCCTAAGAGGGAGTTATTGCAACAATATATTAGTCTATAAAGTACACAGTAATGAATAGAATCTGGTGCTTTGTGATTAAACCTAATGAAACAGTATTGAGCTTGCCAAGTGAACGTGCCATTTAAAAGTCACTGCTTTGGTTTTGTTTTACATTTGAGAGCTACAAAAGACTTCACATTGTTATGATGAAGATAGAGAAACATTTTGCAGAACAGCCATGTGGGCACTGTGATAATGTTATCTTTCTGTAGTGCAGTTAATTTTCTCTGCACCCACAGCGGCTAATAAGTCCTCAGCTATCATGTCTACCCACATTGTGGCCTGCCTGCTGCTGTACAGACACCGACAGGTAAGTCTTTTTCTGGTCATGTCTTTAGATCCAGTTTTCCTTTGTCTCCATTACAAGCTGCATTAATGCACTCAGAAGTGGATGTTTTAGCTAGACTTGACTAGAGTGGTGAGGCTCTGCCCTCTGCAGGTTCACAGATGTATTGACATTGATTGTCGTTCTAATGCAGACAAACTGGCCAAAGCGCTTTTGCATTTGTTTATTGAAGCGTTTTGATCAAGTATTTCAGACTTGTGTTTTTCCTCTGTTCCCTCCAGGGAGTGGTGCTGTCTAAGCTTGTGGAGGACTTTTTCAACATGAAGGAGGAGATCTTGTCCCGGGATTTTGACCTGGGCTTTTCTGGTAACTCAGAGGATGTGGTCATGCGTGCCCTGCACCTCCTGGAAAACTGCATCAATGTGACCAGCAGCGCCAATCGCAATGGAGAGTTTACCATCGCCCCAAGCCCAAATGTGCCGGCACTTTTTGAGCTCAACTTCTACAGCAATGGCCTTTTTCACGTCTTCATTTCTGATGCAATGATTGGTATGATTTTATGAACAGAAACCTTTAACATGATACCCACTTCAGTATGTAACTGAACTACTATTTGGTGTTAATTGGTGCAAGTCACAGGCTTAGTCTCTACCTGTGTCCTCCAATTTATGCAATTGTTTGTCTGCAGCTTGTAGCATCCTGTCACTGCAGCGAGAGCTGGTGATGGAGTCAGGTTCTGATCACCAGCCAGTGGATCCAAGCACTCTACTTCTCAGTCAGGAGAAGCTCATCCGCAAGGCCGCCAGTCTCTCCCACTTCTTTATCAATGAGGTGGCTGTAGCATCAGTAAGTGCTGCAGACATTTAGATTGAACTTCATGTCATTCTGACCAACCCAAGACCAGATTTAAGACCCTCGCACTACTTACATAACCTACACACAGAAAATGTCCCCCTTTTTTTTGTTATATTCCGGATGTGCAGAATTCTTACAAGATAACTAACGCTTCTCATGTTTTGTTCAATGCTCCACAGCCCTGTCAGACAATTTACCAGGTTTTTCACGATGCAGTGACCCGACTGATCCAATACGGAGTCCTCTATGTGGCAGAGGTCAGTTTACAGGCTCCGGCTCTCTGGATGCTCCTCATTGATGCCGTCTTGTTGCTTGTCGGCAGTGAGACTTTCTCATGGCCTAGTTGATCTGATATGTGTTTGTGGGTCAGGACGACCAAGACGAACTGAGCCCGGGCCCCGCAGAGGAACCGTGGCCCAAAAAGTTCTCTGAGCCGCTTTCCTGGAGAAGTGACGAAGAGGACGAGGACAGTGATTTTGGAGAGGAGCAGAGAGATCGCTACCTGAAGGTTTTGCACCCATTTACCTGTCGGGAAAGATTAGCACTTTCCACCCTTTTGTCATTTTCAAGCTGTTTTGCTCTACGTGCCATCCAGTGATTGATTGTGTTTTGTTGAACCACAAATCAGGTGAGCGTGTCACCAGAGCACCAGGAGTTCTTCGTGTTCCTTCAGCGACTGCTCAGCCCAGTGCTGGAGGCCTACAGCGGGGCTGCCATTTTCGTGCACAGTCTGAGTCAGCCCATGTCCGAGGGAGAGTACACCCAGAGGCTCTTCAGATACCTGCTCACGCGCACAGAGAGAGGAGTGGCTGCTTATGGTAATACTGCTGTAGCATTTCCTGCATGCCACACCAGAAATGAATCACAGCTCATTTGGAAGACTTACCTTCTTGATATAAACTAATTATGGGGAATGTTGTACCAGTATAATTAATTACAACCCCCACAAAAAATAGGTTAAAAGAACTATTAATTGATAAGAATATCTAGAACATTGAATAAACTCATCAAACTGAGTTCTCTTCTTTTTCAGGTGAAAGTGCAACTCATTATCTGGTTAAGAACACAGTGAGGACGTTCAAAGAGCTCGGGGTAAACTGGTTCAATTTAATGTGTAGACAGTCATTTTGTAGACTTTGTCTTGTGCACAGAGGCCTCCAGTTTGAGTTAACTTGTTCCTCTTGTGTTTATGATCTTGTAGGTTCTAAAGGAGCGAAGAGAAAACAAGGTAACGACCCTGGAGCTAAGCAGTACCTTTCTACCTCAGGCCAATCGGAACAAACTCCTGGAGTACATCTTAGGTTACACTCTGCTGTGATCGAGACATCTGTCAGACCACAGGCTCCTTCCAATTAAGGGCTTCTTCTGGTTACTTCTAAAAAAAAAAAAATCCCAGGTGCTACTCTGAGGAAAGCTTTACCAGGAAGTGCCTTCATGTAACAGCCGCTATCTGTTAGCGGTTAGTCGGAGGAAAGTTGAAGCGAGTCTTCCCATTTTCTTTCCAGACTCTGCAGAAGATTAATTCCGCATCGTTCTCTGAAGGTACCTCTAGGAAACGTCCTGTCTTTGAGATCATGCCAGCGAAGTCAATCTGTTTTAATGTGATCAAAATTTTAAAGTGTAAAAAAAGAAAAAGGTTACATAAAGTAGAAACCACTTTGGAGCAATCTGAACAAAGGGAGCTGCCTTTCATATATACCAGAGAACTGATGACATATGCATAATAAATAACTAATAAGTAATTGTAACTAATGGCTATTTTAAACTTAGACTCCTGCTTGTTTGTAAAGCTACTATAATTGCTTAGGTAAATCGGTAGAAAATGTCAAAAGATTGAATGAAAAGCTTATTTTGAGGATTGTTCCTGTACATTGGTCACCAGAACCATCCATCTCATTCATAGTGCTTGTAAAGACACGCTGGTGTCATTAGTGTAAAAATATTGAACTGAACGACACCCGAGAAACAATGTGTCCCAGCAAAAGTTGTATATATGTTTAAATTTCCATTAAAAAGTTAAGGTCAGCTTTTCTGTACAGTTTTTGGTTTTAGTGAAGGAAGCAGTGAGCAGCGAACTCTTTCAGCCTTTCAGAAAATATCTACTCGGTGAATTTAATACTTACATATTGTAAGAGTGTCATAGTAGAGGCCTACAATCACTTAAAAGTGAAGTGCTTTCAAACCTCTCATCTCCAAGTGCATTCAGTTACACTTTCAAATGGTCAAAAAAGACTTTGTGCAACAACTCTCACTTCTCAATGAATGTTACACCACACATGATTTAAAGATACTCGGTACATCCACTGGCATTAAAATGCATTTAGCTCAGACACTTTCTGGTCACACGTTTCAGGGAAAAGCAGGCGACTGGGATGACCACTTTTTTTTTCTCCTTTTTTAAGATATTTTTAATAGTATGAATACAGTGTTCACAAGCCTTTGTAGAGCTGCTGCTGAGTGGGCTGCTCTGCTCTGATGGCTGGGCATTTGTAAGGCAGAGATGATGGGGCAGGGAAATTATCTGAACCTGTCCACTCTGTGGGTCAGGTTGAGTTTTTGATAGTATCTATTGTAGTGAAGAAAGAAAAGAAACCCAGATTAAAGAGGAGCAGATAAGCCAACTGTTAAACACACTGTAGTCATCTTTATTTTTATGGCAAAGTGATCTGTTTTATTGTTTGTTGGCTTGACTAAAATTTCACAATCACCTCGCTTTCATAAAAGCTGTTGAAACGCATTTTAAAGCACCACTAAAGTAACGCCAGTCCTTTCACCGTGTGCTTTGTGTCAGATGGAATGGTAACAGAGTCTTGCTGATCATAACAAGCAAAGTCAAGCATTAATAAAAGTAAAGCGCCACTATAAAACAGAACTAAACTATAATCACACAAACTTAATCTTTACTTGTTTTGTTAGAGTGATTCAAAATCTAAATTCAAATTGGTCATGAGACTGATTGTGTAATATTCTATGTGTTGGGGTGTGAGCATGTATGTCTGATAGAAGAGGAAAGAGCGTGTTTGAAAGGGTCAGAGGCTGATGAACTCTGATCGGAGGGCCTTTCAATCGTACTGACCGTGTGAGGAATAAAAGAAATGTCTACAATACTGCTGGTTACGATTCACGTTTACGTGTTTTACAGGGCATACACGCTTTGTTATTGTTTATTACAATCTGCTGTGTACAAATGAACCCTTGATTCAAGTTGTGGATTTGTGAAGGAGAACTGCAGAGAAGGGTGGAACCTGATGATTGTGCAGGTGTGTTTCCATGCTGAATCTTGTCTAAATCATGTTTAAAACATGCTGGTTTTGAAAGCGTTTCTCAGCCCACAGCCTGTATGGGTTCCCTCAATAAAGGAAACCTCGACCAAGATCAAACCACTGTACGCACTGTTCTGCATGATTCCTCTGGCTGTCTGTAATCACTGACTCTCAAATGTGAACTCTGCTTAATCTGAGAACGGTATCTTGAATAATAGCGTGCAAATGACAGCATGTTTAACAGAAAGATAGGCGTACGTGTCAAAGATAAAAATCCTGAATGTATCTCAATCCTACCTGAAAGGTTAGTGTGATGTTGTGTAATGCTCTAAGGTACCGGTACTAATCAGATTTAGGTTTTATGACTCGCTGTTGGAGTTGTGGAGATTCTCTGGAGCTCCATTTAAAAACATCGTGCTACAGTGGTCGTGTGAATTGATGAAAGTCCCGCCTGCATCAGGGGAGCAGGTGCCTTTTTAATGCGCTGTAGTGTTCTTTTGTTGTATTTTTATGTTCCATTTAGTGCATGTTAACAACTCCATGTGGGAATCCAAAAGAACGCTGTAGATTGTAACTTAAAAAAATGACTTGGGTTAACAATGAGTTTTCACCAGCTATTAGAAAAAAATGTCACTTTTTTTAGTTGTTATTGCTTCATTGGAACAAAGCACAATTGGCATTATTAGATGTTGTTTTTAAATAAATTAATGGTAGATTAACAATGGTCTCATTCTTCTTTTTTTTAACTGGCCTGTTTTGGGGTTTTCGAGTGGGAGAGACATTAACTGTCAACATAGTTTTCAGTTGTTTTCATCATATCATTAAAAAACCAATCATATTTCAGCTTATAAAATTGGAGACACAATGTGTGGCTCTATGCTTAAATGTGCAGAGAATAAAGATACTGTATTTTTCTTGGTTTAAAAAAGTAGTGACGCTGTACCCGGAAACACGGCTGAATAAAGGAGGAGGCAGGTGGAATGGGTTTGTGCATCACGGCTGTATCCGTCATCCTTCCTGCCACTCCCTGTTTGGCTGCATGGCCACACGGTCATTAAGACGCCGCCCATCCCTCTGACAGGGCTGTGAAGAGCGGCGCCCTCACCGGAGGGGCCGCCGTCTGCCGCAGAATGATGACTGAAATGGGTGTGAGGGTCGATGAGTTCATCTTTGCATCAGACCAGGTGACGCATCAGCGGAAAAACGCTGGAACAGGTTCTTTGACGGGGATGAAATTGACAAATACGAACTTGTACCCCAATTTGTATTTCTTCCTTATGTCAACATATAAGTGTTCTGCCTCACATGAGTCGACATGTCAGAGGTGGTATGTTTGAAGACCAAAAGTTAATCTACACACTCTGGAGAAAAAGGCCAACCATCCCCTTGTTGCAGCCCACACGTTTGTTATATCTTTCCATTTGTCAGCTTGAGGAGGGAGGTAGGCTTGCATTCAGTTTGAGGACAGGAGGAGGATATAAGGCGGGCTGAGGCAGGCCGAGGCTTCTGTAACGATGAAGACCAAACGGACTCGACATGTGTGTGTCCTTCTACCCAGCAAGCAGCACCTGGACTGCACTGTCGGGGTGAGTAACTCATCCATGCTAGATAAATGAAAAATCCATGTCTTAGAAATACAAAAACATAAACTAAATCTACCATTCTCTGTTATACGACACATAATGTATCAACAAAAGGCTTCGAGTCAAACAGAACTCACAGTAAAAGACTCTTATTGTCTCAGAGTAAAGTGGAATTGAATTGGTTTGTAATGGTATCCAAATGCTTTTTTTTGTGCCTCCTCCTGTGTGTTTTCTGATGCGCTTTACAGATGAGGGCCACGGGGCACGAGGTGCTGACCAGCGTCCTGCAGCAGCTGGACGTCAGCGATCTCCAAGTGTTTGGTCTGGCTGTTCTCAGAGGTCGGTGAATGTCAGTGTGGGAGGAATTGTTTTTACCTCATTAACTGTGGAATGCTGAGGCTAACATAGTGATGAGTGTTATGATTGGGAGGTGGAAGGTTCTCCTAGTGTTGGGAGTATCCGTGCAACTGGTATCTCCCTATCTTGCCTTTATGATGCGCCATCTTGTTTTTTCAGAAAATGAATACCTCTTTTTGGATTTGGACCAAAAACTGGGCAAGTACTTTGGCAAAAGATGGAACAGGGGTTCCGTAAAGGTACATTGTTCTCTTTTCCCTGATTCTGTTAATAGTAGTTAGCATAGGGCTACTAACTAATGAGTGATTATTTACCTTCAGGTCCCATTTATCTTGTTTTTGAGGGTGCAGTTCTATGTGGAAAGCGGGCTGCTGATATTGTACGTGACTTTTTTTTTTTTTAATGGCCCATAGACCACAAGACAGGAAGTCCTCTGAAAATCTGCCCCCTCTCACCTTCCTCCAGGAGCAGCAAGGTGCAGCAGCTGTACTTCACGGAGCTGAGGCAGAAGGTGCTGCGTTCACAGAGCTGTCACCAGGAGGCTCTGTTCTTCCAGCTGGCAGCGTCTGCGCTCCAAGCCGAGGCCGGAGACCTGGAGCAGAGCGAGCAGGGCCCCGAGGGGCAGGGGGGGAGGACACGGGACAGAGGGCACAGGCATTACTTTCTTCCGGAAGATTACTTCCCCTCCTGGGTAAAATGATGTCCCCAAGCACCTAAATACAACAACAAAGCAAAAATCACAATGAAATGTGACATTTCAAAATTTTTGGGGGACGATGATATTTTAGAGGGGGGAAAAAAACAATGGAAATCTCTGAATACAGAAATTTCTTGTCTTAATGTAACATTTTGTTAAAATGTTTTGCTTTTGCTGTGTTTTTATTGTTTTTTTTATTTTGTTTGTATTGTTGTGAAATATGAATATAATTGTTGTGAAATAGAATATTTTTTTGTATATTTTTTCTTTTCTTCTCTGTAATATATGTTTTGAAATGCTGCATTTTGAACTTCTCTCGGCTCTTATCGTGTGTCTATGTAAGCTCATAAAGCGCAGAGGACGGGCCTTTCTCCTCCAGCACGGCCCGGTGCTGCACGGCGAGCTGAGAGGTGTGTCACGCAGACACGCCATCCTGCGGTTCATAAAAGAGGTCGGCCGCCTACAGGACGGAGCCGTGACCTTCTACCGGATGAGACAGGTCTGAGCTGTGCCAAGTTGCATAAAAGAAATTCAGCGGTCAGGTTTGACTGTTTTCTAAACTGGAGCTCACTGGACCTTCATTTTAACTGTTTTTTTCCTCGGCATACTGCATCTTGTGTGTCATGGTTTCTCCTACGAGAAGAAAAAAAAGGAGCCAAGAAGTTTAATCCTTCTTGGTGTGTCAATGAAAGGAGTCCACATTTTTAAAGTAGGTAACTACATAGATTAAAAAAGCATTTTTTTTTCATTGAAAGTTCATCTAAACTGTTAAACTTATTTTTAAATGATTATTGTCCCAAAGGAGGTGGATGGGAAGCAGTGTGCGTTGTTCGATTTCTCCTGGGCTGACGTCGACCGCTTCACTTTCCAGGTTGGCCCTAAAAGCTGTAGAGTCTTCTGCCTTCTTTATACTGATGCACCAACCATCAACAGCAGTTTTTTCCTTTACGTCCACGGCTCGCTCTCACTTTCCAGGGCGACAGGTTTGAAATCGCTCCAGTGGGCTCTGTGTTCCCTACCAAGCTCGTGTATTACACACCTTCTGCCTTCCACTCCAAACACATCCTGCGGCACCTGAGCGACAGCCACCGGCTGCACATCAGCACCAGGGACGCAGTCAGCCACGTCCAACAGCTGGAAAACACGCAAGGTCAGCAGATTGGCTTTGTTCTAGTCCCCTCTTCAGCTGGAACGCGTCAACTTGGTTAACAGAACCCCAAATTAAGATCAGCTTTGACACGCATCAGATATGACTCCCTGCCTGCCTGTCTCTGTCTTCTCAGCCACTCACTCCTACAAAGAGGCCTACATCTGTGACACAGCAGGCTTAAGACAGAAACTCTGCCAACATGACCTCTCATCCTCCATGTCTGACTGCAGTGTTGTCTTGGAAACCAAAGAGGATAGGGAGGAGAATGGAGGCACTCCATCAGGTCAGCTGAGAAAAGGACATGTTTGTTGAGATTGATAGTCAGATTAATTTATTATTCACTTTTGAAATGACAACAAAGGTTTTTGTTTTATGGGGAAGAAATAAAGTTTAGTTTTTTTTATTTTTATTTTATTTATTTAGTTTATTTAAGTTTATCAGTCAAAGTTGTGTATTTGTGCTGATGACAGAGGCTGAACCGTGGGAGGAGGAAACAGAAGAGGTTTTTGTGGATGACCCAGCAGAGGTGTCTTGGCTGGCTGAGCTGCTCTACGGTGTGTCTGTGGATGGACCTTTGGTGTTGCCCTCCTCTCACTGGACCGGTAAGTCCAAAAGTCACCATCCAAAGGAAAGTTTTGATGATGCTCTAATCAGGGTTGTTTCTCATCTGTCATGTCTTCTTCTGTTATCAGCTGTTACCATGGAAATGAAACAGGTGAGCAAAGCACGGTGTTTCTGTTTGAGAACCTCCAGCTTTGTCCTCCAACACTCAGTTCTCTGTTCAGGTTCTTTGGAGGAGAGCTGGTGAAGCAGAGTCTATGGGCCAACAGCCATAAAGAAGAGAGGAATGAAAACATGCGGCCATGTCACTGAGTTTCATTGATTATTAGCTCAAGAAAGAGTCGTTTTTAAACTTACGGTAGTTTTAAAGACCGGGATTCGAACCGGCGACTCTAGTAGGTGGTGCGTTCAAGATGAAGGAAATGCGGAACTGTGTCTGATGTCACAAAGAAACCTCATTATTGCTTCAGTATTGTTCTTGGCTACAAGAGGCTATGGTGGATTTTAATGCAGTTATCAATTTAGATTGTACTTTAATTGTACTATATTGATTCCTGTAATAATTTATAATAGCTTTTATGAGTTTAGACACATGTATATTTGAAATTTGTTATATATGATAATGAACACCAAGAATGTATTGTTTTTCTATTTGTATTTCCATAAATTCATTAAAGAAATTTAAAATACAAATGTACATTTTCCTGTGTGTGTGGCATTCAATATATTGTTTTCAGGTGTTGAGGGAGGTGAAAAGAATTTTGTAAATAAACATTAACTTAAGTATTATCAATGTAAAAAACAAATTATTCATGCAAACTGAGAACAATAGACAACATGGTTATATACTTTTATTAAGAACTTAAATAATATAAAAATGTATAACTATGTACAAATTTTCGCCGTCTTTATTTTTGGAGCCTCTTCCTCATTTCTTCCAGCCACTGCTGTTTAGTGACTGCCTCGAAATTCGGGCAGTACACCCTCCCCCTGAACTGACTATGTCCAGTCTCTGCTGTGCGAAACTGGCCGCATTTCTTGCAGGTGTTTGCCTCCACCGTCCTCCTGTACGGCCTCTTGGGTGTTGCACCAGCTTTCTCCGGGAAGACATACCGGTACAGGAGCACTGGCTGTGCGGCCCCTATAATGAGCCGGGCCGGGACGATGGGTGCTGCTGGAACTGCTGGGGCTGTTGGCTTAGCAACAAACAACGGCCTTTTTACCGTCCCTTTAGGCACGATGGGGCGGGGTGTCTCCCTCTGCCTAGCTTGACCGGCTGTGTTCGCGGGCAGCCTGTATTTATGTTCCTGCTGCGCTGCGGGAGGTTCAGCGGGGAGCGCTCTTGGCTCGGGAAGAGGCTCCTCCGACACCGGAACCACTGGAGGTAAGGCAGCGTCCTGAAGCAGCGCGGAGAGCTTCTGCTTCTTCTGCCTTTTTTTGTGCCACTGTATGAGTGTGTTCTGATTGACCTCCGCAAGCCGGATGTCCGTCCCCTGCATCACCCGGGCGTTACCGACGACAAGTTCCCCGATCTTGCGGTAGTGCCTCAGAATGAGAGTCCACCTGGACTCTGCCCTCTTGCCTTTTTTTCTGGGGCCAGGATACAGAGCACAGAGCCTGATGAACATGGTCTCCACCAGCCCGCAACAGTCTGGCCACTGAGCTGGCGCACTAGTTTCCCCGAGCACGCGGCGGGTGGTGCTCTCCACGCCAGGTCTGTTTGAGGGCCGCTTGGGTGTTCTGAAGCGACTTCTCAAAACTCTTTCCTGATGCCGTGCTGCATGGATGACCTGCTTCTTCTCTCCCTCATTAAGGTTGTTCCACAGCTCGATGATCTGACTTGCCTGCTGACTGCTGAGGCGGAGAGATTTCAGATCGCCCAGGGCAACCAAATACTCGGCAAGTCTGTCAACGTGCTGGCATCCAGGAACATTTCGGTCATCAACAGCCTGTTGAAATTAATTGGCAGAAAATAGAATGTTGCAATTTAAAACACTTAAATTACGGCAAGAATGATTGTTGCCTTAGTTTCAATAAATGATGTGTAGTAACTAGTTCTTACCATACTTTCTTCCTCAGCTTCAGCCTTAGGCTCAGGAGCCAGCGTTGAGGAGACGGCGTCGCAGGCCGGTGAGGAGGATATGTCGCCCAACGTAGAGGTGGTGTCCCGGACCACCGTGGTGGAGGAGGAAGTGTCGTAGACCGGCATGGAGGATGACGTTCCGTGGACCTGCGGATACCACTGTATCGTGGGGTCATCGGTGAGGTCGGAAAATCTCTCGCGCTCATCCTCATCCGCCGCCACATCTTGCTCCTCAACCAGCTTGGCAGTCTCCTCCGCGTCAGGATTCATGACCTGCAACGCCTGACCAGTCTGCCGGTACAAATACTGCACCCCTATGAGCTCACCTGAGAGAAAAAAAATAAATTACCACAATGCAACGGGGGAATGCCTAAAACCTAATGCTGCTCAAAAGGGATTATGTATCACCCCATATGGCTATAAGGATCACAAAGTGCATTAACAGTAACTGCACATGTAATCATTTATAAAAATCAGTCATTTGAAATCACAAATGCAGCCTCATACTTGTCTCAATAGGTATAGTTATCATGATGTAGTTCTTACCTGTGTACCGTGAGGGTGGACAGAACTCCGGTGCCAACTTTCTGCCAAAAAGCTTCTCGTATTTGCAGTTGACAGAGTGCAACAGCTCACTAGAGTAGCAGCAAGGGGAGAATGCCTCAGTAGTCAGGGCAGCAACAGCCCTGTCATGGTTCCACCGATGCAGCCCCTCTAACAGGTAAGCCTGGAAATTCAGGCTGGCGCTGGTTTCTGAAAGTACATTGACATTGTAATGCAAAATATCAAACAATTAATCACTGTTGGCATAAACATGAATCATGAACCAACATGACTCTGAGACACAAACCTGATATGAAGCGGTTCAGGTGGAGATAAAAAGACTCCAGCGAAGCGGAGCCTCTGGCACATCTCAAGACCGGTAGCCGCACACCTCCCTTGGTCAGCTCGCCAGTTTTGATGTAAAGATCAACGCCTGGTGGGTCTTGGATGCACTTCACGTGTCTCTTCTGAACCCGCCAGATGTGCTCCATCCTCTCCTGGTCAAACAGAGGAACTCCGTGGAAGTTGTTGCCACAGGACCCCATCAGACTGGAAAACAACTCCTCCAACAGCCTGACAGTAGTTTCCTCTCCGCGTGTCCTCCGTCTGCAGTGGAGAGCAAACTCCTTCCTGGTTAGGTGTTTGTCCACGTCCACCGAAGACAGACCCTGGGCCTGAAGCTGCTGGGCCTTTGCTTTGCGTAGCAGCGCCAAATCCGACGCATCCCACTCAAAAATGCACGCCGAGAGGCGTGACATAAATAGTGGGTAGAGCTGATGTGCGTTGGAGGTGCAGCCCAGGGCGAGCCGGCGCATGAAGTCCCAGGCGTCCAGCCTGACCAGAAGGTCTGGCCACCCGCTGAATCTGGCCTGCGGCTTGGTTGTCTCTGATGCCTCCACACAGCAGCCAGAGTCCACATACAGGGCGACAGGGGGATCCTCTCCCGCCTGCGCGTACCTGCTCACCAGGCCATCGGCCATCTCGTCCAGTCCCTCCTGAGCAGTTAGAACACTGATTAAAATCTGGCCATATTCATTGCCTACGGATGTGAGCCAGAGAGCGGTGCCCTCCGCTGTCCCAGCCAGCTTCTTTGTGATCTGAAGCACAGAGAACACAAACACAAAACTGAATATCACTGAGAGTAATCTAAATAAAATTAGGCAAGAATGTCATACCTGTACTAGTAGTCTATTTTGAAGAAATTAAAATTACTCAACCTTTTTTGTGGAGTTCATTTTGAGAATGGTTCCATAGATTGATGTAATGTGGGCCTTGACGTCCTCCAGCCTGGTCAGAATGTCCTGGATGTACACAGACAGCAGCCACTTACAGCTGGGTACTATAGCTGGTTCTGGGGGCTCGGAGAAAACCACGGGTAACAGCCCAGGGCGCTGGAGGAAGGACACACATTCCGTGGTGTAACGACCCACGCGATGCAGCCACTCCTCAGTGTGGTTCTCCATCAGCTGTTTTAGGACCCGGGTTGGGCTGTTACCCTGACCCCTCTCGCGCAGGAGCCGAATCACGCGGAGGTCACAGGCGTACCTTGGTTGAACACAAATACGTCCTTAATTCAATATGTCTGTCAAATGGCACACAGCAAAAGAGAAAAAAAGAGACACTACTCACTTTTGAGTCAGGATGACCCGAAATTCTGACCTGTGAGCCAAGTCCAGCTGCTGGAGGACTACTTGGCTCCAGGAGAGGTGCGAGGCTTTGCATTTCCTGCACGTCAGTGTTTCCGTGACCATATTATAAATGCGGTCAACATCCAGGACTCGCCGCGCCCCATTGTGCAGCCCTGCCCCAGTCAATTGATGCCCACCACAAGAAGGGTTCGGACAGACCACCTTCACCTTCCACAGTCTGTGGGGCATCCAGACCAATAGCGGGTGCGCAAAAAAGCGGTCTGGTGAGGGCACCTGGTGGTACACGTTGTTTGGCTGAGGTGGGTCATACCACAACTTCAAGTTTTCTTGTAGCTCCAGTTTGCCTTTGGCCCCGGTCCTGAACAACGCTTTGACCACCCACTCCTGGTCTTCCTCTGGTAAGGCCTCTGCCCACAAACATGGCGGCTGAGGGGTTGAGGGAGGGAACCGAAGCTGGGATGGCCCACAGTCGGCCTTTGGATAAGGAGACAAAATATTGTATAATCATATTTTGTATTTGTGAGATACACAGCTGAAGTTAAGCTGATTAGACAAAAAATTACATTACTTACAGACACAGAGGCAGCAGACACTGGCCATGGCACTGGAACGAGTGATGTGGAACTGCTGGCCGGAGAACCAGCTACAGAAGACTGGCCCTCTGTACCTTGTGGCTGAAAAACAGTCTTTAGTCATTTGTAGTCAATAGTTTGCGTGGGTTTGAATCCCACTTCTGACAGCAAACATTTTCCACACAAGAAACTTTACATGTGGCAACAAATGTCAGACTTCTTTAAAACGTCGGTGCGAAGTGAATAGCGAAAACTTAGAGTCGGTTTATGTGTTCAAATGCTGTGCATTGTTCAAAGTAATGTTCCTTTCTACAATCAAATCTCTACCGTTATTTTACAAACCAAGTTAATGTCTTTTTTGTTAAATCCTTTTAACAATTGCAGATTTAATACCATGTATTGTCGAAATGTTTATCGTAAAGATTATAGCAGTGTTCTTTACTTACCTTCATAGTCAACAAAGATGCAGCTAACTTGTGTGGCTAACTCTCGTGCTCAGGTACATTCGAATGGCGACTGAATTACGTCATGAAATGGTCCACCAATCAGGCGATAGGTATGACCCAAACACGGAAGCAGCCCTGACGGATGCCAAAGCAAAAGTTAAGACCCTGCCTCTGGCACAAAAGTGCACTGTAAACGGGATTTTATGTATAAACCTTGGAACAACCAAAAGCTCCAAAAGTGTATCATTACTTTAGATGGGTTTCTCATGGTTTCGTATGACGGTACCGCTTTGTTTAGCGGTTTTATCCGTAGCTCTCGCCATCATAGGACAAATACCTGGTGAGTGGCTTAGACATGATGCAAACTAGTGTCTAGTGATGTGGATGCTTCTGTTAAGGTATACTGTGGGAACACTGCAGCGATTTGAAAAGGGAGTAACTTTGTCATTTTGGCCAGCAGCGCCACCAGCTGGCAACATATTGTCGTGTGTTTCTTGTGTAACCCGGTGTCTGCCTCACAGCCATGCCGCCCGTCCTGCCCACCACCATCGGTGTGTGCTCTCTGGTCGGGATGGCTGTCATTTGGAGAGACATTAGCTCGAAGATTAAGGGCGAAAACCGGACGTTTGGCAGTCTCTTCAGCCAGTACCTGGCGGTGAAGGTTGTGGGCTTGTTAGGAAGGCGACAGAGAGCGAAACTTGAATCAGACACGCTCAAGGTGAAGCAAGCCCAGGAGGAGACTTTGCTGAAGCGGCTCCGTAAAAATGCTGACACGCTCTATGGGAAACAGTACGACTTCAGCTCCGTTAAAGGTGAGCAAAGGAAAAGACGTGTTAATGTCTGTTTTTAATGTATTTAAAAACCAGAAGAAGCACACGGGCTCGTTGTGATGTAACTGTGGTGCAGCCTATAGACTACGACTGTAGTATGTAATGTTAAGCCCCTCCTTTTTCCTATTTTTGTTTACATTATTGATGTCTTTGTAAATGTTTGTCGTCTCTTAAGATTTGCTTAGTTGATGTATATAGTAATATTTATAATACCTATCCTCGTGTGCATTTATATGACTTTCTATAGTTATGAAATGTTAAGATATTTATCCCCAAATAAACCTCTGATGTCTTCAGATGTCTTGTTTAACCAAAAGTCTAAAACACAGACATGCAATTTACTGTCACACAATGCAGTTTATTGCAAGTGTGTACAAATGTAATAATGGAGTCACTGAACTTGTTTTTCTGAAGTACCTTAACCTTAAACCTGGCTGTTCCAGACATCGATGGCTTTCGGAAGTGTCATCCCATCACCACGTACGGGCATTATCGAGAACTTATCGGGCGCATCGCTGCTGGGGAGGAGAAGGTGATTATTGCTGAGAAGCCACTCATTCTTGCCATGACTTCTGGGACTTCAGGAGCCAGCGCCATGCTTCTCAGCACAAAGGACACCAACACTGAGTTCTTCCTCCAGGTGAAACCTCTGCTTTATGACGATGATAGTGATGATGATGATGTGTGCTCCAGGTCGTACTCTGCGTGATTTTCATATAATTTTCTGTGTTTTATTAGGGCGTGACCGTGTGCTTGGATGCAATGCGACAGGCCTTTCCTGAGACCGAAAGCCTTCAGCGAACCACCAAGCTCTTCTACACCCCCACCTTTCGGCAGTCTGAGGCTGGCATCCCCATTGGACCCAACTCCTCCACGCCTGCCTCGTCCCGCCACATGCTCAACCTCTACACAACCCCAGCTCCTGCCTTTGAAGTATGATCAACCGGCTTGACCAGTGGCCACCCTCTCTGTTCATGTAATCATCCCTTTAATGTCCTCTGTCCCCACAGGTTCCCAGCGAGAAGGACACTCTGTACTTGCATCTCCTGTTTGCTCTGAAAGATCCCAGTGTGGGGACACTGGAGTCCAACTTTGCTTCTACAGTTTTCTATGCTTTCACTGCCCTACAGGTACATGGCTGCATGTCATGAGAAACCTTTGCATCAATGGGACATCTGTTAGTGTAACTTTCAAAGTATGTTTTTGTTTTTTATTACGCTGTTCTTATGGGAGTTCCTATACTTTTTTCAAACAAAATAAGTTATCTTGCATCTCTCTTGGTGATCGGGTGTGTTGATGCAGCTTCTTACATGCAGCGCCTTGCTTGTTTTATCACAGGAAATTAACATTAAAATGAAAGTAAGGCTGACTGAAATCTTGAGTTGACAAGTTTCCTTTGCCTGAAAACAAAAACGGGAATAATCGCAAATGAAATACTTTGGGTCTAATTTTCACCTAACTCTCTCAATCTTTAAGGATCGCTGGCAAGAACTGGTGGAGGACATTGCAGAGGGCAAAATCAGCAGCGCTCTGAGTCTGGATCCTAACGTGAGGGCCAGGCTTGAAACCCTGATGAAGCCAGATCCACAAAGGGCTGCTCAGCTTCGGGGCCACTTCCAGGAAGGCTTCAAGGGGATTGCCAGACGGCTTTGGCCTCATCTTCACCTGGTGCTGGCGGTGGATTCTGGCTCAAATCAGATCTACGGTGAAATGTTGAGGGCCAACTACTGCGAAGGAGTGGCTTTCTATTCACCTTTCTATGCTGCTACAGAAGGTATGAACAAGACAGAGGGGTGTAAATGAAATGTTTTTGTTGTCTGTAAAAGCATAAGGGCTGTGTCGAGCTCAGGTTGACTGTGTGTTTTCTGCAGGTCTCATAGGGGTCAACTTGTGGCCTAATGAGCCAAACAGACGGTACCTGCTGTGTCCACGCTCCATGTTCTGTGAGTTCCTGCCAGAGAGCAGCCTCGAGGAGGAGACGCCACAAACCCTGCTGATGGAGGAGGTGAAGGAGGGAGACAACTATGAGCTGGTGATCACTAATGCCTCAGGACTCTTCAGGTCGGCTTTCAGTCTGAACTTTCTTACGATTTGGGAGTGTAATGATGGCAAATTTGACTGCCCATCGAACTATTTATCCATGCTGTTCTTTAAAACACAGTATGTCATCCTTTTTATGGTGAGATGTAAAATGCAACCACTGTGGTGCTTTACCCTCTTTGTGATCGCAAACATCAGAGCTTCTATCAGTCTGATACAGAAAATAATTGCAAACTTAAGTTGAAACTGAGCTCGATAATGGCTTTGCAGCCATTATTCGGGTTGTGATTCTGTTTCACTTGACTCAACTCAATCAAAAATGAGCAGCAACACTGAATAATAATCCTTTTTTTCTCCGTGCAAGAGCCGATTAAGATGATAAATATGACTGACTGATGGAATTGGATGTGTTTGAAAGCTGTATAAGTTGTCTTGGCTCTTACTGTGTTTCAGATATCGTATCGGAGACATTGTGAAAGTTGTTGGATTCCACAACCAGTGTCCAGTTGTGGAGTTTCAGTACAGGTACCAGTAGAACTCAAGAAGTGAGCTCACATATACAGAATGCCTCATGCTGGAAGTGAAATGTTGTGATATTTTAACACACGCAAGCATTTTCATGCTGTCAGACGGGGTCAGATGCTGAATGTCAGAGGGGAGAAGGTGTCCGAGGCTTTGTTCCTCGGTGCGTTGAAGAAAGCAGTTGCTCAGTGGCCAGGAGCTCAGCTGGTCGACTACTCCTGCGCTGAGAGTGGAATATTAGGTAAAAATGTTGCCTGTTGCTCACAGCAAGAATTTGAATCTTATTACCTTGGACTGTCTTTTTGAGTTCTTGGATTCCACTGCGGTTTTGCAGGTGATTCTACCGGAGGCTCTGACCCTCATTACCAGGTGTTTATAGAGCTGAAAGGTGTGAGAAATCTGACAGAGGAGCAACGATATAAGGTGAGACAAATCCCAATATGCAGCTTGTTTGCCATCATCAGGAAATCCTACTTTAATTCTCTTAATGTTTTTATTCTTTTCCCCCTCCAGCTGGATGTTTGCCTTCAGCAGGACTCTGCTGTCTACAAGTCCTTCCGTATCAAAGGCAGCATCGGCCCAATGAGGGTGCAGCTGCTGTCCGAGGGCTCTTTCAAGGAGCTCCGTAAGCAGATGATGGCCTATACCAGCACCTCACCCAACACGTTTAAAATGCACCGCGTGCTGCGCCGGAAAGAATATGCAGACTTCCTGTTGGGAAAAACAATCTCCTAAAATAAGCAAAGGACTTTAAAATGTGCTACTGGACACTGACTGAAGGATATATGGCCAATTTTGAAGGCTTTTTATGGCAGAATTTGTGTATTGTGCCTTTTGGAGGTCTTAAACATAAAACACATTTGAATTCTCATTGAAATAAGAATTTTTGACAAATCTTTACCTTTCTGATTTTTGTTTATGTGCGTCATAATCTATGACAGTTAAAGATATGAATTGTTCTGTTTGATGTTTTTGTTCATATTTGTATCATTTTATGTAACCACAGTCAATATTTGTCACTGTAATCCTTCAGGATATGACATCTAACTTAAACCACACGCAGTAAATACTGTACCAAACAACTCCTCTGAGGCCTTATCTCTAACCAACGTTTTTACCGTGTTTAATTACACAAATTATGTTGATGAGGAAATTGTTTATATTTTTGTGTTTTTATTTAATTAAATGTTTCTATCTTAGTTTATAGGAAGAAGCTAAATAAACTGTTTTCAGCTTGTAAAGGACTTAAACTAATGTTCATTTTTATGAGTTCACACTTTAAGTAGATACCATCTGTTGTAGAATGATCTCAAACAGCACCCTCTTTTTCCATAAATGCTGCCACTGTGATGATTAAAACAACATTAATATCTAAAAATAAATTGCGTGAGGCTGCAGTTAAGCAGGGAGCAACTTTCTAATCTGTCATATTTAGAAATTAAGTCATATTTCTGGGCTTTAGTGACCTAAAGTGACTGAAGGGTTTCTGATAATTGAGAGCTTATAATGCATTTAAAAAATTGCATTATGCGATAGCATGCAAAAGTATTTAGCTCCCAAGCAGAGAGACTAAGATTCAGCCTTTTAAAAGATTCTTTTTCAAACTGACTGGACACAGCCAAGATTAGAACTTGGAACCTTCCTCCTGTAAGGTGATCCGGCAACACTGTGCAGCCCTGAGTTTAACAGGTTTGCTCTTTTAACTGATTTTCAGTTTTGATTAATTTAAAAGCACAGAGGAGGTCAGATTTTTACGGTCTTTTCCAGAAGTTTTCCTCAGAGAAAATACCAAGGCTAGTACTTTGCTTTCACCACTAGAAGGTGCTAGTCTAATAAGTCTGCTGTCAGTGCTGCTCATGCTGTCCACTCAGGTCAGTGCTCAGCTTGGATTGTTGGAACAGCTGATTCTTAGTTACAGCTCTGAGAGCTGGCTGCATGAATGGCCTCTTCATCAGAAGTCATGTCAGGAGTCAAGAGTGAGCGTAAGCATGTGAGAGTCCTGAAAATGCTGAGGTATATTCAGCAATCAGTATATTTGTGGTCATAGTTTTGTAATACTGGCTGATCCCTACGATTTCTGAGGTATTTAATCATGTTGATCTAAGAGTTAAAGAAGCACCTGAGGGGAAAACTGCTCTGTCTCAGTTAGTCCTCTCCCCTGAAGGTCTTTCTGTTCACAAAGTGGGCTAATATTTTTAGCGCCGCCCTATTTCAGCACGGATTTGACATTGTTCTTGCTTTATTTTGGTTTCGTAATTTCATAACCTCTTGTGTGAGGGAGAGTCAATATCAGTGTTTTAGCCTCAGCACACAGGCTTAAAAAAATGAATGCTCCAAACACAGTTAATTCCATATCTGAACTGCCGTTTCCCAAAGGTAAAGAAAAGCTGTTTACATGTGAATGGAAGTTAAATTTCATTCTGACAGATGTAGCCTGTGGTCCTCACGTGCACTGAGGATTTACAGTCTCAGACTCACTGTGAGCACAAATCTTCTCGCTGGCTCGTGAGAACAGCTACAATCTGAGAACGACCGGCAGGATTTATCAATGGGTTTTCTGAGAGAATGAGAGTGTGTTTGAGGAGGGAGGTTTTCTGCTGAGTGAATTAAACCAACCATGAAGATTATCTCGATCACAGTTTAAGTTAGATTAATGCTGAGGATTTCCATTGAAAAGTAAGTTGGTAAATAAGTCTTTCATTCTTTTGTTCACGCATTGATGGAGGAACTGAGAATTTTTGGCCTTGAAGCTGGCATTCTGTTTCACATGACCCTCTGTGCATCACTCAGTCATATTAGACTGCTGAGTTGATAGTGAGTATGTTTAATGGATAAGCCTCTTTATTAGTGACAAGCAGAGATGGATGAACTACAAGAACAAAGGACAATGAGAGGCCATTAAAAATAGAAAACAGTGAATGGCTGCCAAGGCCTGAATAGGATCCGCGACGGGGGGAGGATCAGTACCCCTCAACAGTCTGGATGCTGGTGTTTTACTTTCACTGTTTTTAACCACTGTTTTCTAACGCACGGGATGATTTAACTGTGCAATTCAATCTAGTTCTTTCTGAAGAATTTTCTAATGTAATCTAAATGGTGAGTTCACAAAAAGATGAAAGTAGTAAGAAGAAGCACCTCTCAATTAATTTTGTTTCTGACTGTTCTAACAATAACTGACATCCTTTGTTGGTGATGTTTTCCCTACATATTACCATTTTTATGGAACCTCTTTGGCCTGATTATTCTAATCTGAGTGGTCAGCTCTAATTTGAATAATGACATCACTGAAGAGTTCACAGAGCTACAAGATACAGGACCTTTCAGAATGCTGTATTGTTATTCTGAGATCTCTTCCAAATTTTTACTCTCTTTTTTGTGTCAGAATTGTTCGGTTCATCCTCTAGCCTGGCATAAATCCCAAAGACACAGAAGGAGCAGACAGACAGAGAAGCCCGATTTGTACGCCAAACCTCTTTTTATCTATTACTAATTGGAGAGAATGAACTTGGGTCCTGTTTTATTTTCACTGCTGTGTTGTGTGTAATATGTTTTGTCGTGTTCTCTGAAAGGTGGAATTGCTGTTGTGTGCTCACTTTGCTTTGTATTTTCTCAAATTGTGTTAATCTTTGTTAAGTCAATTGTTGTGTTTTGGGATTTTTCTTTTCTTTTCTGACTTGCTTCTTTTGTTGTAATGTGAACCCTTTTTTATGTAGTCAATTTCTGACGCTGTGTTGTTTTTGGATTTGTGTCGTAGTGTTTTGGGAATGTTGAGTTTTGCAGCTCAGTCTTTTGGTAAGTGACCCCCTATTATCAAGTTTCTTGATGCCACTGATAATAATTAATTTTTAATGTTAATCACATTAATTGAATTATTAGACGAGAGTAGTCTATCCTTGATACCAGAACTTTAATGAGATGCAAATGTGTATCAAATATTTAAAACCTAAATGCGGCTGGTGATGATAATAAGCATCTTCACTATGTAGAAGTGTTTTACTTGCTCTTTGCTGGTCAAAGTGAGTTTGATTTGGTGTAAGTCCTCGAAAACATCTCCAGGCTTATCTTTTAAATCCACTCTTAGCAGCCTTTATCCCAGAGCTTTAATTCTGCCATAGGGATACTATTAGACATGATGGAGCAGTAACGAGCACAACTGAAACACTCTGAATTTCATTTTTAGGACTCATTTAGACATGCCAGGTAGCAGCAAAATCTCTCTTTGTGTTTTTTTTCCTTCACTGCAAACTCTTGAGCCCCCCTCCAAGTGCAAAATGGCCAAACAGCACAATTAACCACAGCCAGACTGGGTACAATAGCTTTCACAGACTGTCACGCAGGTAATCTATCTTTTCTTGATTTGCAGACCAGCAGTAAAAAGCCTGGTGCTGATAGTAGACCTGTGGGGTGTAATGGTGCTGTCAGATGCTCCAAAAGAATCCTCCCATCCTCTTTTTCTTCACTTCTCCCTCCCTGGTCTTATTCCCTTTCCATACCCCCACCACAGACGAGAACAGGTCCCCACAGAGGATGCCGGCATCTCATTGGCTGGCATATCACAGGAGTGGATGGGAGAGAGATAGAGTAGCGAGGAGAGGAGGAAGCTCAAGAAGATGCAACTATTCTGCCACAGCATCCTCTCAGATCACAGAGCTGAGGGAGGCTGAAGGTGTGTGCATGTGCTAACTCTCATAAGCTCAGCAGGCTTACAGGATAACTTCATGGCTGCTGGGATCAGCTTCCTGACTGAAAGGTGTAGACAAGCAACAGCTGGGCTGACAGATCTGAAGCGCTCTGGATTTCACAATCATCTGGATTGATCTCTCCGTGTCTGAGCAGCTGCTCATGAATTTCGTTCTCAATTTCTACTTTTTCTCAGATCAACCTGAACCTCTGTGTTGCTGGAGCTAGCTGTTTTAGTCCCACCAGGCTGCACTTCTGTGTCACAAAGAGGCAGCGCTGGGGAGACAGGTGCTCCCCGTGTCCACAGCTGGACTGCCGCCCTTAAAGTGTTCTGCACCTGCTGAGACCTCCTGGACATTCCTTGCATTGCCTCTGGGATGGTGTGACTTGCAGCCAGCTGTTGGCCACCCCACGTTTGGGTCAAAATGCCTGTCATGAAGGGCCTCTTGGCCCCTCAGAACACATTTTTGGACACCATTGCTACGCGTTTCGATGGCACCCGTAAGTACAAACAAACGAACAAACAGAACACTTTTAGGCTAAGTTAAACTTATTCTGACCACTTACTCTCTAAAATAAAATAATGGTGATCTTTAATGTGTAATGCACTTGTATCAATCTGTTTCTGAACATATTCACATACCTATTGGCTTTTAGATCTATTCTATGTTCTAGTTCTTAAAATTTTTAATGGAAGCTTAATTGATAAACCTCTTCACAGAAAATATCGAATCCCTGAATGCTATTTGTTCTATGGTTTTAAGCAACGTGGATAAATCAATTGGACCTAACACTTCTTACTGAAACAAGTAACTGTTAAATCCACGGTCGATGAAAGTCACTTTATACTTCCGCAGTGATAAATTATCCTTCACAAATCCCTCATAGTACTTTCATACATTCAGCTTCAGAGTTGTCAGTACAGCCATTAGGCAGCACTGTTATTTCTGCCTGACTTGTATCTCTTGTTTTGTACCTTGCTACCCCCTCAGGAGAGATTGTGGCTCATTGTAAACAGATGCCGTGGGGACGTCTGTGTTTGTTTGTGTGACGATTTAGTCCGACCTCCCTCAGTTGGTTGGTGAGGCAAGCTCAATGAGCAGCGATCCTGAGACTCTGGGACATAAATATTGTTACGTGGGTGGCATTACCGCCTAACTAAAATGAGTTGTGCTGTTATAGCTTTGACATCCACACAGACAGTAATGAGGCGTCTCAAAACCGTACAATTCCCAGACACATTGTGCATGAATACAAAAAGCGGGTGAGAGATAAGAATAGAAAAGCTGCAGAGTTGAGCTGGAAGACAAAAGGTCATGCCCTCATGGGCCCGGCCGAAGAGTCCTTGAGCTTAGTATGGACTGCCGGGCAACATGGGATGCTCCTCAGCTGAATCCTCTGTCTGACGGTTCAGCGCTGAAGAGCAAAATGGGAAAAAAAATTCTGTTCTAATCTGTTTGCTGCTTTTCTGATGAGTTAGAAGACTATTTATTAGCAGTCATCTACCCTAACTGGGCACTTTGCAAAATGCTATTTTGTAGCTTTGAAATCATTATTGACATTAATGTCTATAAACATGTATCGCTCTTTAGGGTACAGTGATGTCACAAGTCTAAGCCGCGTGTTGTGGCATTTCAGTCCTGCAGCAATTGTAGCTTTGGAGTTGAGCCCAAACTGCTGCACGCCGCAGGATGCTAACTTCCACATAATCAAAAAACAGTAATCTAAAAACATTTCTAATGCACTAGAAACTTCAATCTGTGAATTGTTGATTGGGTTGTAGTTATGTTTAACAAATGTAAGTCCAAATGTCAGCAATGCACTTATATGTTAGAGAAGAAGTACGTTTACTCTTTCTTTTAGATCCATTATTATTATTAGATCCATTTCATTTAATATTTCACAACAAAAGATACAGCAGGAGGAATCTGTTCCATTCTTACTAAAATCAAGATTTCAACTTCTCAACAGTGTGGGGTCACAGTTGTCTGATATTCCTCTTCATAATATACCACTTATTTTCAGAGACTAATTGGACTGCAGGCAGGTCGGTTAAGTGCGTACATTTTGTATCTTTGACGCTACATGATTCTCGGTCACACAGCCTGACGTCTGGCATTGAAGTGCTGAAATAAAAACGAGCCTCCCAGAAAAATACATTGTCCTGATTGTAATGCATATCCTTCCACACTTCTGATACACAACACACCTACAGTATATCAATAGTTACGTTGAACATAAACAAGTAATACTTGAATGTGTTGTTTGCACAATCTGGATGGTCTTTTTATTCTCTAAAATGGTGATTATGAGAGTTCTTCATAGTATAGATGCTCAAAGATCAAAGTTCTTAAATACAGAGATAATTGGTGAAAATGCATTGAATGATTCTTGAATCTTTGGGTAGACTAATCCATGGCTAGATGCTCCTTTTTATAGCCAATCCTAGTTCCTCATCTTTCTACTATTGGTAGACTAATCCTGCCACCATCATCTTGAAGTATTTTATGTCATGTGTGTTGTGTATATTTTTTGTCTTACTTTAATCTTATGTATTCTTTTAGTGGGTTATTGGCATCAAGTTGAACATTTCTTTATTTTCTAAATGCAATAAAATTGGTGAGTAAATTTAATTAAATACATTTATTTTGACCCATGCATGTACAAACAAAAATTAAACAAATGAGAATTTGAGAAAATGTTGTTATTGTATTCTGGAAAATTAGAGAAATCCTTTTCAAATGAGATTTGTAGCATCACACATGTGTCAGCGTTCCTCAAGCCTATTCTGTGGCAGGGTGTTTAGTCTTAGTCTACAGTCTCGAGTCTTTATGATACAATCAACCAGCACTTTAAGTTAAAAGCTGCTGGTAAAACAAGACAAAAAAAACAACCTGTTGGTATAAACAGGAAACCAGTAACCAATTTGTGCCATTCTCAAAGCCACCATAAGGCTGCAGCCCCAAGAGGAGTGGCAAAATGCCCAATGCTCAAAATAGCTTCCTTCCTGTTGCCGGGGTGACAGGGTCCCGCCACTTGACATAGATGATGCTTGAACACTTTAGTCTGAATGAAATGATGCTCTGATAAAGAGAAAACACTTGAACTTGCTTTATAATTAAGGACTTTTAGACAGCAGCTGGTCTCTTGTTCCAGAAAGGCAGATCTTAAAACAAGCGACCACTGTGCGCCGTGCAGCTGCTGCCCCTTTTCACTTCACTGCCTTCAGCTTGTAGCAGCTCAAGAGGGCTTTCCATCCATTTTTTTGCTTGGAATGTTTTTATTGCTTATTTCGTTATTTCAATTTTAAGTTTAATCTTAATTTGTTCGAATGACGCACATGTGTACGGTTTGACATAAGAGGACCGTTGACATCACAACAGCAGAGCAAATGCTTATGCTTAAATATTTTTACATTAGGATCTTCACAGGGAAGATTTGATGTCTTAACGTGTATATATTTGGATTTAAAAAGGCTTACCTAAATGTTCTTTTAACTCACATTCATTCACATACACCAAATTTGGTGTAAAACACAGTTGAAACGCTACAGAACAGCAAAGCAAAATAAAGCTGCTCTTTAATCAGCCACAAAAACACTCCTTTCAGTCTGATTTTACACAGTGACAGCTCTGCTTTCATCATTAACGGCACATTGTAGCAGCAGAGTTTCCAAGGAAGAAAGATTAGTGGAGTACCATCATTCCTGTTGACAGATGACAGCATATATTGTCACGTACCAGCAGCTCCTGTTTTTGTTGAAATGCACTTATTCACTGAATAAGAACACCAAGAAACAAGAAGCAACACAATATGGTTTCAGTGAAGACCTATCAGCTAGAGGAAATTTTCAATTTGGTGATGCCAAGTGGTATATTTTCACTGATACTAAATAGACTGAAATTCTTTTTAGAACGTGATTTTAGAGAAATCTCCTAAGCCTTCTGCCTCTGCCACCAACATTTTCACAACAGAGCAACAATTAATACACTTTGATCTTGGTTTTGCTTGGTATTAAGAGTTTGCAATATGTATTGTTAAAAACCTTAAATCAGTTATACTTCCACATGGATCTTCTGAGCGCATTTCCCCAAACGACCAGGTCTGGATACACTGATATTTTGATTGGTTTATTGCAAATCCACTGTATTACACGCAAATAAAAAACTTTTCCAGCAGTTACATCTTGACGAAAAACTCAAATATCTACCACCATGAAAGTCAAGCCCATAATACGATCTTTTTTAAATATATTTTCTATGTTGATTTATTTCCGAAAGCATAAAATCTCTTTTACTGTGGAAGTCTGCAGTTGGCACATTAGGGAGTTTCAGTGTAATAACTCCAGGTTGTGACACTGGGTCATAGTTTTTCATCCGTGTAGATATTGACTCATCTATACTAAACCTTAACATTTCAAAAGCAGAAAGCAATTTTAACTTGATTTTAATCTAATTCTCCCTGGACTGGGAAAATTGCACACCTGAATCATACCCACTCCCCTCCAACCCCCTTTCCAGTGTAATCAAGATGTCAGAGCAGGTTTTCAACAGCACACTGTTTGGCTCATAGCAATGTCAGTGCACTCATGTGTGAAAGTGTGTGTGTTTTTGAGCTGTTGTCCTTTTAGCTTTGTGTTGTCGTCCTTTGATGTATCTGTTGATGTAACATGATCGGTGTGTGTGTTTGGGTTTGAGCCATTTTTGTCCTTATTTCTACGTTCTCAGAGGTCCAGGATCAGGCTCAGGCTGCAGGATCACCCCTGACCATCAGCAGGGGCAGATGTTTGCTGTCTCTCAGGCTTAAACCCAGAGCATCCAGCTTTATGTTATATTTTACGGTATACATACCTGTCTGGTAGACCCTCCCCCATCTCCCCCAATTCCTGCACACAACCTCCTATTCAGCGTTTTCACACCAATATCAGAGCTCTGCCTGTTAGGGAGCGTAACCACAGAGCAGCTGCAGACAAAGATAAGAGGCAGGTTTATTTTCTCCCTAAACTCTTCTGTTAAAAGGCAGCCAAAGAACCAAAGGAGGTGAGCGTGGTGGGCTGTCAGGCTGACCCTCATGGAGCTCATTGTTACCCAGCGGATGAACAGGTCTTAATGGGCGACTGCTGAGACCAAAGCTCTGAAGCCAGATGGCAGAGGATGGCTGAACCTGTCTTGTAGATGCATCCCGAGCTCGATTTAGTTCTAGAGGTTGCAAAGTGGGAAGCATTTTGAAGACCTACACATATTTATCTGATGTGCAGGTCTCCACCTTACATGACACCCGCGCCTTCTTTGGTGTGCGGATTTAGGCACAAGTGGGTGTGAGGATTTGTAAAGCATTTTTCTGTGGGATAAAAGGGCATTCTTTCTAGCTTTCAAAATTCCGAAGAAACCCATGCTTTTTGTGCAGGTAAGCTAAAAGATATGATAGTTTTAAGCCTAGAAATTTTCTTTGTGATACTTTGATTTATGTAAAAAATAGTTTAATAGTTGACGTGTAATGATGAAGAAAGTGAGTGATTATTTCAATCTTCCCCTTTTATCTGACCCCTGACCTTTTCCTCTGCAAGTTCAAGTCAACTGATGCACCCACCTCCACCACAATGACTAATCGCTTGTTACTGGGTGGCAGTTTTCCCATGGAACACAGAGGAATTGAAACACATGACTGCATGTTGTTAGGAGTAGCAGTAGCATGTAGAATCATCATGTCAGATTACAGTCGTCGCGAGTCAGCACAGATGTGTAATTAAGGAAGCTGGTACAGCTGAGCGGCCAGTCGAAGCAATATCCCTGAGAGGATTACAGCCTGAGAAGTCAGGCGATGTCACAATGACACACACATTTAGACTGTTTGCACTGTGGTTCATGCTTGTTTATAAAGTTGGCGGGGTGAAATAAGTATGCTGCTGTAGAAGCAAAATGTTCTTGTGTGTGTCTTCCAGGACTAAACAGGCAGCTGACCAGTTTTTCTTATAATTGAAAATGAGGAATAATAAAAACAATGCAGACATTGCATCCAAAGCAGGAAAGAAAGGGGAAAGAAGGAGCGTAGTTTATTAAAAATGAATAATATCATCAACATTGTTCCCAACCTTAGTAAAGCAGACCATATATGATTCCTGAAATCACAGGAATAAGCTTTAGAATCATCACTTTTCTGGATAATCACTCTCTTCTCAGTAAGTTAAAACAAAACCAGTCCTTGGCTCTGCGTAACATTGTTGTCCTCTAAGAAAATTAATGGAGGAAGATGTCATATCCCTGAATGATCTGTTATCTTAAAACCAAATCTTCCAAATCAGATTAGAGCCATTACTGCCACAGTGATGTAACCCAGTAAGGAGCAAACGCTAACAGCTATAAGTCAATGTTTATTACTCAGTGTAAAGTGTCCAAACCTTCAGACAGACCACAAAAGTTTTTCCTTTAAGACTCTGTTGTTCACACATGCTTACAAAAGTGATTAATGACTGCATCTGGCCTTGACCTGTTTAAAAGACCAGTTTAAAAATGCTGAGTAGAGATTTTTGTGCCTGTTTCTGAGTAAATATTATATAAACCAAAGATGACGGCAGTTCCTCACTGAGTTCGGCCGTCAGGAATTTATAGAACATGAAAAAGAGGGCATGTTTTTTCAGCAGGAGGCTATATCGCGTTCAGCCTTTGTTTCTGGGGCGATCTGTACACAGAAGATCTGTACACTTCTTTTTGCAGCATTGAGACTTTTTCACCCAAAAAGTTTTGAAAGTTTCTTTTCTTGAAACCAATATTTGCTAAGATCTGCAGAAAACTATAGAACAGAAATATACAGTCTCTTGTTGTTGGAGCCTTGAGGAACAGAAAGCCGTAGCATAAACATTAAACCTCTGCTGCCTTTTGTTGGATCTAAGTAAGGCCTGTCTCTTTCCATAATTCCACAGTGACAGTTTAGTTGCTGCTCACTGCACTCTCAGGAAAGGTTGTCACCGCTCAGAAAAGACATCCCCTATGGACTTCTTTTTCACTCAGCCAGGCCAATTAAAGTGCTCGGTTGTGGAAAGAGCAGGAGGAGCTGTTTAATACTCTTTTCTCAGGCTTGTTCTTTTTGGAATCAGAGGAATTTAGAGCGGTCTTGTCAGGCAATGCTTTTCCTCTCTGTTCAGGATTCAGACTATCTGCTCGGTGATGTTTGCAGCTAAGCTATAAGTTATCTCAGAACCGTTTTGGTTTGATTGTAACTCGTGCTAAGAAATATAAAGCATTCTATAAGTTACAAATAAATGTCTTCAATATCTTGATACTATGATTCAAAGTCTACAAAAATAACCGAGACTAAATGAGAAGACATTTGGCATCACTGCCTCATTTAGATCCAGTCTGCAATCATCTAAATAAAAAAACAACAAATAGAACTCTGTCATGAAAACACTGCCTGTTTCCTAAAGCTTTGAATATGAGCTTTATGGGATCCCACATCTACAGAACCTAAATATGTGATTATATAGGTTATAGGTTATAGGTGTCATGTCATGGCACATGTTGGTTCGCTTTTGAGATTAGAAAGCTTTTACATCATGCTTCAGCTGCCATTTTGCATTTTCAGTTTTCACCACAAAAAAAAAAATCAATTGCCCAGTAATGCAAGAAAAGCAGTCCATAATGAACCCACCAAAAGCACCATGGGCCGAAAAAAACCCCATAAAGGCCACAACAGTTCTTTAAATGTTTTTGGAAGCTCAAGCAACATTTTTCTCGGCCCATATACTGTACACTGGTTCATGTGACACCATCTCATACAGCGCTTAAAGTTAATCTGTACGTAACCATGGAGAATTTGCTCAGCTTTAGATACAAAGCTCTAAAACAAAGACATCTGAAAAGCTTCCAATGAAGACACAAATGAAATCTTTGTCAACACAGATGGCTGTTTCCAAGACAAACAGCCCAACAAGCTGCTAACTCTTGCTGTGGTTTCTTTTCTTTTTTTCCAAATTTCAAACAGAACATCAGTCACTATGTTTCAGTCCTAAAAGTTAACATGTTATCATTCTCACAAAGTGAGGCTTCCACAAAAATAATCACATCACAGGTAATGTTTTGAATTTCAAGCCCATTTCAAGGATTTATGAGGGCTCAATTGAAATTGTTAACATTTTTAAAGGGCTACCAACAGCTCAACCAACAACCAGCATGTTTCACCACATCCTGAAGTGGAAATAATCTCTTTTAAAGTAGTCTGACATTTCAGCAACCAATAATAACCAAGTAGGTGGAATGCAGTCCTCTTGTGTAAAAAAGTAGGAAGCCTCTACTGAACGAAAGCAAGCCATATCTAAACTCCACCAGCTTTTCTTGTGAACAGATGGCCAAAACGCTAATTTCACAAAAAAGCAACTCCTCATCCAAATGCTGTGTTAACTCAGCAAGGTGACATGCTTTCAGTAAATGGAGGGAACATGTGACGTCAAACCCTCTCAGCTACAATGATAAATGTAACTTGGCAGAGATGTTCTGCAGCCTGGAATTATTGGGATGAGATCCCACAAAAAAAAGAACCTCTGATGTGTAGCAGACCCAACTCAGTGATGAGAGCTGTCCATGGTGCTGAATGTAGGACTTTACACAGCAGGTGTAGTATGATAAGATATAGAAGCTAGCACATCTCTTTCAAATGGATACTATTCACAATGGCCCTCTTCAGTTCATTATATATGATTTTAGCATCAAGCAATGAACAGAAAAAGAGAGTTTTAACTCAAGTGTGGGTTAGAATCCCTTATTCGCATCGTTCTCCGGTCTTTCATGTTAAATGTTTATATTTGTTTATATTTCAACCGCATAACTTTATCTTGCCATTTAGTTTTTTTTATTATAAAATCATCATGAATTTATGTGGCATCCCATTATCTAATCCCTGTGCCTAGAGTTACATGAAAATGAATATGTGCTTTTCGTAAAGCCCAAGTCAGCTTTTCATCTCACCATCTGCAGTTCAGGATGCCAATTCTTTCAACTGCCCACACTGGCCCTGTCAGGCACCAGCAGCACAACTCAGATCATTAATCTGATAATGATGGCCTGGGAAAATTAATTTAGCCCTGAAACTGACTCCAGAAAAGTTTGATATATGTTTACTTCGATTGTGTAATCTTTAAAGCGCTTTGGCAAGTGCTCATTAAAGTGCAAGTTACGTACCAAATATCAGAATAAAACAAGGTGCAACTGAATTTTTTCCAAAGCAGACAGATGAATACGCTTACAAATGAATAAATAACGGAATTACCACTCTGCCCTTTTAGTTTGTTTATTATTTTTTAAGTTGTAAATTGTGCCCTTTACTAAACTTTCTTCCCTCTCATGTCCCCTTTACAGACAGTAATTTCCTGTTGGGCAATGCCCAGGGCCAACGGGGATACCCCATTGTCTACTGCTCAGACGGTTTCTGTGAACTGACAGGCTTCACAAGAACAGAGGTGATGCAGAAAAATTGCACCTGCCGCTTCCTGTATGGCACCGACACCAGCGAGCATGTGGCCCAGCAGATGGAGAAGGCTCTGGAGGGCCGACAGGAGTACCAGGCTGAGGTCCACTTTTACAAGAAGAACGGTAGGTGAAAAAAAAGAGGACGAAAGGACAAATAACTATAAATAACCTGTGGATCATGGCACTTTCTTTTGTTGATGCTTTCAAATATTTAAAAGGTGATGGATAAGTTAACATTTCTGTCACCTCAGTTGATCCAGCTCTTCTAATGACTCCACTGTTCTGGTTTGATCCTGATCAAACAGCAGCCTGATCAAACTCCTTTTTGCTCTCAACATCATAAAAAGCCCATTTATTTTTAGATGAGAGCCGTCCGTTTTGGCAGAATTATGAATGCAGAATTTTAAACAGCAGCTCAGCAGTGCAACACATGCTCTTTTATTGAGTTGTTGCTCCAAAGTGTTCATTACTGTTAATGCAAAACAATCAGATTTACTTAAAATGAGAGAGAGCATGTAATTCTTATTAGTAGCCATTTAGATCGTGCTGCAAGGGGTAATGGAAAGTATAAAAGTTGCGTGCTATGCTAATGACAAGCCTGTTTTTTTATACATCATATACATATATATGTGTTTACGATATATATGATATACATAACTATATATATATATGTGTGTGTATGTATATATATATGTGTCCTCAGCTAATCGTACTTTGTTAATGCGGGACAGAGTACTGTGTGTTCGGTTTTGAATTTAACTCCTTCCTTTTAACTTTTTACTAATCCCTCTGGAAGTCTTGTGCTAAAAAATATGTTGTCATGCATGAGAGGAGAACATGCAGCACTGCTAAAGCCCCTCTGACTGGCACTCAGGATTATGTTCGTTCAACAGAGACCAAAACCTGCAGCCTCAGAGGGCTCTAACTACTAATGATGCAGATGGATTCTCAAATCTGTGCTTAGCTTCATGTTTTTCGACTGTGAATAAGTAAGAAGAAGGTAATGCCTCCACAACTAAGGCTGTAATGGGCATACAAAATAATACGAAGCAGCCATGAAAGAGTCTCTGTGGAGGAAAAGGCTGAACAAAAAACACAATTTTAGGACTAACAAACTGAATAGCAGATGTCCAAGCATACCGTACACACATTGTCTGTTTCCTGTGTGCTGCTTGTAAGCACACACACATAACTTTATTCCTGTTGTGCTCAAACACCATTAAGTTGTCTTCCTTCTCTCATCTTTGCCCAACACATACAAGCACCAGGGACACTAAAAGAGATGTGAAGCATCTGTTTTGTAGCAGAGAACAGTTCCTGCAGATTCACTAATGAGTTTAATTGGCTTATGGTCGTCTTGCGTTTATGGTGCTTCTCACCTCTCTGACTTGTTATATCGAACCCCCGCAATGTGCTCTTTCCCTTTTGTGCACAATCCTCCAGAACAGGACTTTTGAAGAATGTTTTAGGAGATGCAGTATCGTTCCTCACAGGCACTGTTGGTTAGACATGGTGAGAGCAGCCACAATGGGTGAATTTACAGGTTGCAACGTCAAAGCTGTAGCTCTCATTACAAAAAGAGGTGACGCCAGAGGAATGAGGATGGATGGGTACAACAACAGCAGACATTTGGTTACCCCCTAATGGGCACTGTACTAAAGCACCTACACAAATTAAAGTCTTGAATTGACAATGTCTTTTCTCGCAAAGTCAATTAAGTTAATCAAATGGAAATCAAATATAACAGCACCAAGGTAACAGATGACAACACACACCCTTGATTCATATTAAAATGCTGCGTTTATGAATAATAGTCTTGTTTTTATGCACACCAGCATTAAGATTAGTGTCTAGATGAGGATAAAGGAGCGGCTTTACCAAATAAACGTTTCTGACTTGGCTCCAGGTGCGGCCTTCTGGTGTCTGCTGGACATCGTGCCCATAAAGAATGAGAAAGGGGAAATGGTTCTCTTCCTATTCTCATTCAAGGACATCACTGACATATACGGAAAGGGACTCCATGCCAGCAAGAGGGAGGGTAAGCTACAAGCCACAGTTACAAAAAAAGAAAAGCTCCCATTATTTGTTTACTTTGTACATGATTTATGAGTGGGCTCCCAGCTTTCATTTTATGTATGCACTCCTGTTCATCACTGTCATAACCTCCTGGCAGTTCTGTTTGGGCTCGTGCTTATTCATTCAGCTCAGAAATGTTTTCCAATGTGGATATTAATTTTTTGGCAGTGGTGGGTCTTCAGGTGTAACCATAACACTGTCCACCACACGTACCCAGCACTACCAGGGAAAGATGGACAGTGATTTTATTTTCAGTTTAAGTCAGATACATGTAGGTGGTTTCCTTTCTGAGTCCTGTCCGTGTAACAATAACAGATCATTTTTAAAAAGAATTTCAATTTCCTACTGAAAGTTGTTGTGATCCAGTCTTGTGATGTAATAGACAAACGTGACCTGGGGTGAGTGACTATGTGACAGTTTCAGACAGCAAAAGGTGCAGGAGGAAGAGCAGCTCTCACTTCCGTGAGGCCAGAAAGCGTGGACACACCATGCTGTACCAGCTGAGCAGCCACTTCTCCAGAGGAGGAAAAAGAGACGTCAACCTGGGAGGAGTGAGTATAGCTTGATCTGTCATACTTATGATTGTAGTGTGTTTGCAGACACAAACTCTAAAAATCAATGCAATCTGCAGACATGCTGCAAACCCATTTTTTAAATGCAAATTACAAAAGTTGATACTAAAAGATTTATTTTAATGAAAGTCTTGAGCCAGAAGTACCGATTGTGTCTTGTCTCTGGAGATAAAGTACAATATTGACCTGTGTTTAGTTCAATGTCAGCTGTCAAGATCCAGATTTCATGATTCTGTTTTAGGGGTAAAGATGAGAAGCCATTCTCCATTTGAGAATTTGAACAATGAAAAATCTATTATAAAGATCTAGGATGAAATCCAATTCTCTGCACCTGAGCTAATTTCAGATGGACTGTGGAAAGTTCAAATAAAGCTCCAATATTCTAAACTCTCTTTGAAAATAATTGATACCCTTTCTCTGGGTCACAAAAGAGAGGCACCATCATTATCAGGACATTGTTAAAAAGCAGTAATGTTCACTGATGTATGCAGGTGTCAGAGGAACATCATTTATGCTCTTTTAAGAAAGATTTGCTTAAGCCAAAAAGACATTATCTACCCATGTTGTGTGTGTTGGCCCTAAACTTGCCTGCCAAAAATCCATACAAACATGGCAGTTGTACAAAATATTTTGGCAAAGAGCATTCAAATTATTTTTTAAAAACAATTATGAAATTGAAAGCTGTGGCACATCTTCAGTGGTGATTTCATGTGAAAAGATTTTGTCAAAGAACATGACCGGTGGGATCTTTTAATCAACGGAAGAAAGCCTTTAACTATAATTAGAAATAAGTTTTAATCACTATTGAGAAAAGTCTTGAGAAGTTTCGTTGACATTGAAGGGAAAAAAAGTATCTTGAGCCCAATCAAAAGATTCATCAGTGTTTCTTTAGCAATCTGAGCCAATTAGCATGCACAGTCATTACATCTAGTGGTATTAAGACTTTCACTTCCTTTTCCTGAAATAATAACAGTCAAGACAGATTTGTGTAATTTACTCTGCAAGCAGCTGATAAGACCGAGCTGTTTGAATGTTTCATTATCGGAAAGTTTTGAGGCGTGATGCTGAATTAACGTGGAACTTTCCAGATAAAATGTGCTGTCATGACAACACTTTACAGTGCCCTCTCGATTTACCTGTTCGGCCTGGTGCCATCGCAAGCCTCTTATGACTTTATCTTCTTAATGTTAGCTCCTTTAATACGTTTCCCACCCAATGTTTCACAGGTGTGACACTAATGTCAGAGCTCCTTTTCATTTGATTATATTCACACACAGTGAGGGAAGTTATTGTGTAATTACAGACTGCAAATACTTATACTTTGGTACTTTAGGTAAGACTATTTACACCAGCTATTTGTTTGAATTTAATTGTTTAGCTTTAAACTGAATAACCTAAAATCTAAAGATGCTTTGATAACTGACTCAATAAAAAAAATCTGTGATCCGTGAACTTTCAACTTTTTTTTTGTCTTTTAACAATAATCTTTATTTTAAAAAAAAGAATAATCAATAAATAATGAATAATGCATTTTGTGGCATGTAACTGGTATCTCTGTCTTCTTTAAAACATTTTCTTAAAAAAAAGACTAAATCTGATGCAAAAAGCTGTTAGATAATGGTATAGAGCTGGTTAATATAAGATAATCCCCATATGGATTTAAAATGCTTTACTGCCCTCTTAAGATAAGTCCATGATTTTGCCCATGCATTTGGCTTCATCTTTCTCTCAAATGCGTTTGAGTCTCAAAAGGCTGTCCACTGTGATGGAAAATGATACCAGCTAAAGTCTTTTTCACACAGACTTGCATGTCTACTTTTCTACTCTAGAAAGGCAGTAATATGTGTTAAATTAAAAGAGTCATGCAATCTGAGCGATGGATTGCATGACAGCAAGCCTTGTTTTGGCTTAAGATTTAGCTGGGAGATGTTTTTCTGCATGGAGGCACTGCTTAAATAAACCCTCAAGTAAACCTCCGTTTAAAACAGAGAACTAAAACAAAGACTGGTCGCAACTGCAGACGAAAAGGGAAAGATTATTTACTGGTAATTATTGCCCTTAACTATTGTGGACTCAGATGCCAGGCAGTTTGTAACAAAAAGAGGAAATATCTGTACTCGCAAAGGGAGAATCAAGAGAGATTATATTAACTTTGTGGAAGGGTTTCAGCCAGATAACTGGAGGATTTCAGGTTTTTTCTCTTCTCCATCGAGTGGTATTGTTTTTATCTCTGTCTTTGCTTTGTTTACTACATTTTCCCTCTCTCTCCATCTGTCTCTCTAACCTCATCTCTTTTTGGCCTCATCCCTTGGAATCCTGCCATATCTCCCCACACTGTCTGTCAACCCCCTCCCATATTCCTTTTCCGAAGTCATTTTTACCACTTCCAACTCCTTTTTTATGCAGCTGAAATATGGAATCTCCATTTTTACTTGACATTTTCAGATAACTGTGCTGAAAGCAGGGCTTCTTGTTTCTGTAAGTTTGTTCTTATATCCGTCTACAATTTTAGAGGAGATTCTGTTCTTTTTCCTGCTCACAGTTGAAAGATAATCTTGTAGGAATGATATCGGGGATGGGTTGTTAAAATTATTTATACTTCTTTTCCTAATATTTGAATTGAAAAAAATTCAACTGTACACAAGAAATATCCAGCACAGAGCATTTATTTGTAGGATGTATACAGTATCTTTTATATAATTGAAATACCTTTTTTTCTTGGCTAAAGCTATAAACGTTTCAGCTCTGCCTCACTGTTCATAGAAATGGATCCTCTATTTTTCCTTTTCGTTGTCTGAGTCTTAGATAGCTAACATTGTGGTCCTCTGCCTCCGCTCCAAGCAAGCCAAATATATTCTGACTGGATTTCTATTTGAAGCGCATTGCCTTGACACAGGAGGGAAAAAAAGGAAAAGCATTGTGCATTTCCAAAGCACTTTCTGTTACCTATTTTCAGATCTGCCACACAATACATGAATCCCAGAAAAAACATCTTCAGTCAGCTTTTGTTATTGTTTTTCCTTCCTTTTTTACAAAGATTCTATTCCTATGTCTCTCTGTAAAGATTTGATGCTGTGAGTCCATGAATGTATCAACTACAGCAATTCAAGGGAAGCTGACAAGTAACATAGAGCTGATTTCATGTTGCTCCATTTTCCAGGGGGAGCAGTGTTATTAGCTTGTTTCACATACAGGGCACATCAGGCTGGTATTAGGGCATTTTAGTTCTGATACACATATATTTTTTGGTTTGCTGGTTTGCTACGACTTCATGCACAAGCTGAAGTTGTGCATCTGGCCAAAGCTCTCACTTCTTCTTTGCTTTCTCTTTGCTCAGGGTTTTCTCTCCATTTTTTGTCTCCTTTAGTCAGGCAGTTTTGCGAAGGGGATATGAAAATTGCTAATGAAGTTAATGTCTAAAAATCACCCTGTGTGTGCATCATCGACTGGGAAAGGTATCAGTCAGATAGTACCTCTAGAATACTGAAAAACAGTTACGCAGTCACTTCAGAGAAGTTTACCAATATTTTGTGACAAGAATTAAAGACCGAGGGTGTTTAATCTAATAATGCCAGCAGCTGGAGTTGCACTGAATGCTAAATTTATCTCCCTCCACCTGAAGCATTATGGGAGTTATAGGACAAACAATAAGCTGTGGCTTACAGTTTTAGTTTGTTACATGGGAAGAGCTATTATGTGTCTGAGTGAAATATGAAATATAGAGGTCCTCACAGGAAAAGATTTTTCCTCTCTAATCACTGATGTAATCAGCAGCAAATTCAAAGGTCAGGAAAACCTCATGACCTCTCTGATTTGGGGCAAATTTTTAAAGACTGTCTATCTTTACACAGCTCTTCTGCCACTGATGTTTTTCCTCACAATAAAATGTTATAAAGGTTAGTGAGCTTAAATAGTGAGTCTTCCCCAAATCAACCATGCAGCCTGAGATTAAGGCGTTATTTACTGCCATCTATTTTTTTAGCCTGTGCCCAGCTGTTTGTGAAGTAGTTGTTTATTGCTCGTTGATCTCATTCTTTTCCTGTTCCTTCTTGTAAGTTTCAAAGGTAACTTCAGTCCACACAGCCCTATTAAGAAAGCTGCAGCATTGTATTTCTTTAGAACAAGTAATAGGAAGAAAAAACACTTTTGGAAACAACAGAAATGGGGTGTCAGTGTTGTAGTTACCTTTCCCCATTTAATAGAACAACTATTGTGCCACTTGAGACTGAACGCGCTAATGGTTTTTGGAGGGGTGAACTTCAGCCATGTATGAAATTATGAATCCCTATTATTGGTAATAAGTTTCCCCTTCACTGACCACCGCTCTGTCTGCCAATTTACATTGTTCCTTCACAGCCATTTAAAAGGCTTAACATTGCCTATGCGAGGCTGTCAAGAAGAGATTACCAGCAGCATTACCATATCTGTTTCACTTGAGCTGCTGCCATGCTGAATCATCAGTGGTCAGCACACAAGAGAGGGTGTTGACATTTATATTGTCTGTTTCGGAAATATCTTGGCACTGCAAGGTCCATCTGATTGTAATTTATTTTCACAGTTCTCCACCTCATGACCATCTGTGTATCAGATTATATAGAGACAGTGTCTAGAGTGTTTTGTATAGTTTTGCCTACCTTAATCTTAAGTGGTCATTATTAATGTCAGCTGGGATAAGCACCAGCTCCACAACCTGACAACGGACAATGGATGGATGTAATAAATGAATGTTCACCTCCAGAATATCAAACCGTTTGTCGACCGTAACAAACTTTTTAATGGTTAAAATGATTTTCGTGCTTCTGCACTTTGTTTCTTTGCAGAGCATGGTTGACAAGCCTTCAATACCAGAGTACAAGGTGGCAGCAGTGCAGAAGTCACGCTTCATTCTGCTCCACTATAGCGTGTCGAAGGCCCTTTGGGACTGGCTCATTCTGCTGGCCACCTTCTATGTAGCTGTCACCGTGCCCTACAATGTCAGCTTCACACCGCACGATGACTCCGTCACAGCTGCGCGCTCCACCATAGTCAGCGACATCGCAGTGGAAATGCTCTTTATTCTAGGTGAGTGCTGAAAAATCTCAGTGAAGAATAGTAATTGTTATATATATGCAAATAGTTTTTTTATTTACACTTTATGTATGAGATTTAATCTCTACATTTATTCTTTTTTCTCGCCAACTGTTGCTACATTGAAAACAAACACAAACCAAGCCTCATTTTCCCAGGAGTCAACCCCAGTCACAGGCAACCTTCGTTTTAAAGTGTCTAGAGGATCCAAGGTCTCTGAGAGACTCTTCCCTGAGCTAATGTTTGGTAAACCTCAGAAGGAAAGAGCAGAAGTTAACAACTGAGGAACAGAAACTTCCATGTGCTTCTACCAATTAAATTCAAAAACTTTACCTCTATTTGATGTATTTATTGAAACAAAGCACATTATGGGGAAATTCTTCAGTAATATGGTTAATAATCAGTTTTAAGTTAACTTCTTCCATCTACTTTCTAATCGATTGTAACAATAATTGTCATCGTCTGACGCTCTTTAACACCTGTTTAAGTGAATATGGAAAGCGAATGTGAATGTGAGCTTTGGGCCAGCATCTCTATACATATCAACAGCTGGGATGACAGATGAGGTTTCACTGCATCAGACCACACACACAAGGGACCGCTTGTTAAGTGCTCACCACAGCCTGACAGTTGGGTCAGATCATCTGTCGAGCACACTTTCTTATCCATATGGATGTTTTAAAACCATGACATGTTCCAGCTGTTTTGTATTTTCTCCTTTGCTGGTGCAAGCATTTTGCGTTTTTGCACCTTAGTTTTATTTTCTGCTGTTTCCCTTCAGTTTACACAAATAGGCTACTGTTTGATATGAGCATGCAGCTTGATTTCCTTTTTCTTGCATTGAATGGATGCAAACATTCCCCTTAAATAGTTAGAGATTTATAAAACACAGCTTGTACCATAGTAACTATTGGTAACGTTTTGCTTAAAGTGTTTGGTGTGAGTTTTGGAATCACCTCATGGTGTTGTGACATCTCTGAAGTGAACCAGTGGCCCTCAATATGAATTTCATTCTGTTATCAGTTAGACCTCTTTTTCCTACATGTTCTCTCAGCTTTAATAGTGTAATCATAATACTTAACAGTTGTCATTCTAGATCACTTTGTCTTTGCAGACATTATCCTGAATTTTCGCACCACCTTTGTGAGCCAGTCAGGCCAGGTGGTGTATGAGGCTCGCCCCATTTGCTTACACTATGCCACCACTTGGTTCTTTGTGGACTTGGTGGCTGCCCTGCCCTTTGACTTGCTATATGCCTTCAATATCACAGTGGTAAGTGCTAAAATACATTTCCATTCTTCCTTTAATTTCCTTTTATGATCGTTGACAAGACCATCGCATTTTTACGTCAGATTCTTTGTTATGACATAATAATATATCAAATGAAAATGTATTTTCTGGCTTTTCCCAAAGCTTAATCTTACACTGTGTTTACCTAATCAGCACACTATTTGTTTTGTTTCTTTTCCCCCTCCCTGGTTACATAAAGGGAGTCCAGGAATCTTTTGGTCCTTTGATTTTGTTTTCAGAAAAAAATAAGCACCTGAAGGATCACATATGAATTTTATTGCACTTGTTCAATAAATACTGAAAAATGGTTCTAAATTTATTTTCAGTTTTGAATTTTAAAACAAAATGCTTTCATAAATCAGGTTTGTACTGCTACAACCATGCATTCTGGAGACACTGAAATATTCTCCATGTTTTTTTCTCACTCTGAAATGCCTCCTATGGTCAGACCTCCTTGGTCCACTTGTTAAAGACGGTGCGCCTCCTTCGCCTCCTCCGTCTTCTTCAGAAGCTTGACCGCTACTCCCAGTACAGTGCCATGGTGCTGACGTTACTGATGTCAGTGTTTGCCTTACTGGCACACTGGATGGCCTGCATCTGGTACATGATTGGACGCGGTGAGATAGAGACCAGTGACACCTGGGAAATAGGTGAGTGGTTGCCGTATAAAGACAGGTTTAATCAATAAAATCATTTTTGTTAAATTATTTAGTTAAAAGTTTTTTCTCAAACTCCATCCGTCTCATTTTTCCTCAGTCCTTCTCGAAACAAAATTTTGATTGCAATGCTTTTTGAGACAGTTGTTTCTTGTAAAAAATCTAAAACATACCACAGACTTCATCTCACCAATTCAACACAGACACTGTTTCCTGTGTTTCCAGTCAGCTATAAATAGAATGGTTCACCTATTGGGTGTCTAACTCTGCTCAGATGGGGAGCAGCAAACTCTGCAGCTCTAATGAGAACTGTCTGAAACAAGATCAAATGCTAAAGCAGTAGGTAGCGAGCATCGCCAGTATCTTTGTGTTACTGTCGGAGAGTGGATGAATAAAAATTCATCCAAATCCTGCAAACCTTTCAGTTATATAAATTAACTTATTAAAATCAGTAGAAATAAGTATTGTATGAAGACAATTGTCTGTCAAAAACCTTTTGTCATACAGCCTTGATAAAGGCAACATCCGTCACCATGAACATGTCAAACATGCATGTGCATCTCAAAATGTATGCATTCATGATTGCATATACTTTTAAGTTTCTAAAGGATAGGGGGGTCATACCTCCTAAATAGGACTTGGATTTATTTATCTCAGGAGAGGTAATTGTGGCCTGTCCTGCACCAAAATGCCAGGCTCTTTGCAGTATCTCTTTCGGACACATAAATACACACTTGCAGAGGAAAACATGCACTTTTGTTTGTCTAAGGCAAGACATCGCAGAATCATACTACCAATGCCATCAAGATCTGAACTAACATAAAGGAGTCATAATCTTTGGTCAATCGTCTCTCCCTCTCTCCTGTCTGGGCTTTCTAGGGTGGCTCCATGAGTTGGGCAAACGACTGGAGACTCCTTACATTAACAGCACAGTGGGCGGCCCGACAGTGCGCAGCTCCTACATCGCTGCCCTCTACTTTACCCTCAGCAGCCTGACCAGTGTGGGCTTTGGAAATGTCTGTGCCAACACCGACGCTGAGAAGATCTTCTCCATCTGCACTATGCTCATCGGCGGTACGTCTGACACCAGGTTGTCATTCTCCCTCCGGCATCCTGGCAAAGCAGGGTTTCTTTCTGGCATGCAAGTGCAAAAGATTCAGCAGGAATTGGACTGACTTGTTTGGCTGGCCTTTAAGAAGACACAGCTTGCCACCATCCCCATCTCTAAGAAGCTGATTATTTTAGTTGCATAATTGCCCAGGTGGCAATTATGAGTGCAGCAACTCAGCAGATAATTATTATGTGTTTATTTTGCTGCTTGTTAGAACTGTGAGGTAAACAAACCTGTAATCTACTGCGCCCCCTCCCTTCTTTTTTTTTATCAATAAGCAAATAAAAAACAACAAGTATAAATGATGGTTTAAAAATTCATATGAATTTATTATCACTATGGTATTTCCAATGACAGTCTTTTGTAGCAATTTTCCCCAGTAACAACACTGACAATACAATTTCAGAATGCTGGATTTGACCCATCTCAGCCTCCACATTACTGTGATACGCTCTTTGTCTCTGTCAAACAGCACTGATGCACGCTGTGGTCTTTGGTAACGTGACAGCCATCATTCAGCGTATGTACTCACGGCGTTCTCTCTACCACACACGAATGAAGGACTTAAAGGACTTCATCCGTGTCCACAGTCTACCCCAGCAGCTTAAACAACGCATGCTGGAGTACTTCCAGACCACATGGTCTGTCAACAATGGCATAGATGCCAACGAGGTGGGAGTTCCTTTCACTGTTGTCATGTAATACCTCTGTACATGGTGCTAGTCACTTCAATATCATGACTTAATGGCTTTTTATAAATGAAGCAATCTGTTTCTAGACTTTTGAATCAATTTTACAACATATGGCAGCATGTATACTCATTTAGAATTTGATTAAAGTATAAAAATAAAAGCTGTTGACGCAGTCAACTTTAAAGCAATTAATCAGTGCTACACCTCATTACTGCTGTCTCACATCGTCAGCTCCTGCATGACTTCCCAGACGAGCTGCGAGCCGACATTGCTATGCACCTGAACAAGGACATCCTCCAGTTACCGGTCTTTAAGGGGGCCAGTCGTGGCTGCCTTCGCTCTCTCTCCCTTCACATAAAAACCTCTTTCTGCGTGCCTGGGGAGTACCTGATCCGTCAGGGTGATGCACTCCACGCCAGCTACTTTGTCTGCTCTGGTTCTCTGGAGGTTCTTAAAGATTGCATGGTGCTGGCAATATTAGGTCTGTATGATGATAAATGTTTTATCAACTTGATTTTAACGAAGCAGAAAGTGATCATTTATGTTTGGGATTGTAGGAAAAGGGGACCTAATTGGATCTGACTTACCCGGAACTGAGCAGGTCATCAAAACCAATGCTGATGTGAAAGCACTCACCTACTGTGACCTCCAGTACATCAGCGTGCGTGGCCTGAGGGAGGTGCTGGAGCTGTACCCGGAGTACGCCAGTGTCTTTGCCTCCGACATCCATAACAACCTCACTTACAACCTGCGAGAAGGAAGCCAGGAGGAGGTACTGAATACATCTTCACAAAGCTCACACAGAGATGGCATCAGTTAGGGTTGCCACCTTTCAGAAATGAAAGTAAGAAAAAACCACCACAGCTCCTCTGAGCCATGACTACCATGGGTCCTCTGGCCTGAGGTGGTCACACTTCAGGTTTTGAAAGTGCTTTTAGTGGGTGCGTTTTGCAGAATTTAATTGCTAAATAAAGCATGATTTTGCATTTTACAGGATGGGTGGCAACCCTAGTGTCATTATGTCATGTCCCTTCCCTTAGTTACATTTGAGCTCATTCCCTAACTCTAACAATCATTATAACCTTATTACAGTATCTAATTCTCCATCCAATCGTATCACCCATGCTGTCATCTTTAGTGTCATATATACAGTTGAATGGCTGTCCTTTTTCAGTCTACATAAGCCAGCGGTATAAAAAACAACGGCAAAAAAACAGGGAAGATATTTCCTAGTTGCACTGGTTTACCTACTTTAGTTTGGTTTCGAGATTACGTCTTACTGTGAAAACAACTGTTTGAAAGATGCAACTTTTGTGCACGTTTTGCCCTTTTAGATACCTTTGTTACTCCTCTCGACATATGTGCCCCCGTAAAGCGCCTTCATCACCCTTCTTGACACTTGTTCTAGCAGAGTGACCAAAGGCCAATTATCATGAGTGGGTACCCTTTCAGGTGGCCATATCACTTCCCCAAAGGACAGCAGGATGGCATTACACCTTGTCAGCAATCTCTTCTCAGTACCGAGTGGTATTTTTAGCAGTTTTAAGAAAGTGTTACATAAGAGATACTGCCTTGCAAGGGCAAAGAATCACCTAATGTAAAGCAGAATCCATAATAGTCATAGGACCTAAAAGGATGCTCTGTTTCACTTTTTGGAAAAGTGTCTTATGTAATCACCAACCATAAAGGTACTGGCAATGTCCAGCACAGATTATAACCTAAAGAAAAAGAAGATAGTGATTTTCAAAGTCTTGAGACAGAGAAAAGTTTATGTTTGTTTTGTATGTTTTTTTTAACCCCCAATATAGATTTGATAACAAAAAGCCCCAAATCCTGTGTGCATGAGTTTAGGAACATTTTCAGGCGTTTCCTTGTTGCAAAGAGTTCTGAATGTAGTTTGGTCATATTCTGTTTTGCTGGACTTACACTGCACCTCCAGATGTTTGAGGGGTCCACAAGCCAGGAATTTTATATCCTGGATGTTTAACCAATTCCTCTGGGTTTCAAGAAGAAAGAGTTTCAGTGCATGCTCCTGCAAGATATCTGTCCTGTTGAGATAAAGTTATTAAGGGTCCTGTATAATACCCTGGTTTAATGATCTGTCCACATCTCTCTACTGTCTTTGTGCTTTTGGCTGCATTTTCTCTGAGTGCTTTTTGTCTTTTTCTTTATGCTGAATCATATCTTGATACCTACGACTGCTACTCCTATTTATGTGCACTGTTTAAGCTTTATTATGTTTTGTTAGTTGATATTAAACCACAAATTAATTAAATGTCATATCTATTCAATTAAATGTGAATCATATTAGTTCCTGGCCACGCAAAAAAAAAAAAAACATGACATCCAGACTATCTGAGGATGCATCTTCATACCCAATAATGTAATTATGTACAATTAAGCTTTAATAGATTGGAAAAACCATTAGTGTGACACATCATGTGTTAAAAAAGTTCAATATTAATGTGTGGTTTAAGGTCTGGTTAAAAGATATAGAGTGGTTCAGTATGGAATACAGCATTTTTGCTTATTTTCTAAGGGGAAGGGAGTTATGATCAATAAGGGCCCACCGTTCTGTCCGGAGCAGTGTGAAGGTCACCCCACTGGAAGAATCCAGCACTAAATCAAAATTTGTTCAACTCTAATGACCATGTCGCCACAGGGAGTTTTAAGTGGTCAGTAGTCGTGGAGTGTGAAGAACAAGCTGGTCAGTGGAGAGTTCTGTGAATCAGCAAGTTTATGAAGCTTTATAAGGAAGCTAATGGAGGAGATGGAAAGAATATATAACCGTGGGAGACATGAGTCGGAAGTTGTGATATGTTTGACTGGATAAATTTAAGTAGTAAATGCACTTTACAAGATGAGTTTATACACTCTGCCTGAATTGCACATTTATACCTGATTTCACACTGTTTTAAGTTTATTGATTGGGGAAATGAGCTATCTACCAACATTCATGTTTGGATTTAGGGTTCCTTTTAGGCAGCTGAGATTTAAAATGTAATGCCATTAAATATTTTCTCCAAGTGAAAGACAAGGGCTTAATTATTCAATCCTCCAGTGTGCCCCTTGTGTCACAAGTGGATTGTGACTGAGAAGAGCCTCCAGACATACTTCAGGTGCTTACCTTCATCTGCACACCAGTTTGCAAAAAGCCCTGCCTTAATGCACAGCGTGCATGTGCGAGATGTTACACGTGTGAGTGAAAGAAGGAAGTCCTGTGATGAAATCCCTGCAAACCCACTTTGCTATGTGGGGCACCTGTGGCGTTCATGCTTCATAATTGGTGCTGGCATTCATGTAGTGTCATTTGGCACCCATATTCCATGCTGGCTAGGTAATTATTGCACGTTGCCCCAGGCTCAGTTTTCCGTATGAAGGGAATTTGTCCTTGTTTGAACAGACTCACAGAAGAATTGCACTTGCCTCTCAGAGCTCAGTGACCTCTGATACCATTTTAAAGTAGATTTTTCTACTACTGCTTTTTCTTTAACTAAAATTTTTGGCTTTGGTGAAAGATTAGTCTGACACTGCTGGAGTGACAGACTGGGTTTGTAGTGTAAAGGCTCAAATCCCTGCTCAGTTTTGTATATAAAAAGTCATGAGTGTTCGAGCTTTTGTCACACACTGGATTAGTGGGTCCTGAAAAACACAGGCTGTAACAACACATCTCTTCATTGACAAAAAATTAAGTTTAAACAAATTATAGAATGTGGAAAGATAATAGTGTTGTGCATTTAATTGTATTTTCTGACACTTGTTTTTTGTTTTTATCACTGCAGGGCCTTGGCAGATTTTCCAGGTCACCCAGGCTTCCTCATGTGAGTTCAGTGTAAATGCACCCACCTTCATGTATTTCTTTCTTTCAGAAATAATTTTTTATACAATTTTAAGTTAGAGTGAAAACAGACAAGCTTGTCATCAGTCGTTTATAGAGTAGTATGACATAACTGCATTTACAGCACCGATGTCAGCATCTTGGTTTTAGCTATATGGGCTTTTCCCCCTTTTTTGGGGACGGGTAACTCCCATTGTTTTTCTGGAACATACTGTACTGCCGGTTAATTCTGCGACAGGGCCTGTGCGAGGTCTTCCCCTCCAGGTTGAAACTCATTTAGAACAGAAAGAGCAGCTCACTCCCTGGGGTTAGCCCACTAAGTGGGTCGATAGCTCCTCTAATGGGAAAATTTGTGAGCTATTTTTCTTAGCATGTACTGTATGCCTATCACATGTATTTTCTAAGTTTAAAACAATAATGCAATGCTAATAGGATACTCATTTTATCAAAGTCTTTATCATATCTGATATTTTCTGAAAATCTGCAGTTGTATAAAGCAGAGGGTCAATGTCCTGGAGGCTTCTTTTTTCATTTGGAGTGTGTCAATTGAAGGCGCTGAAAAAACACTGAGCTGAAGGAAAGTTACTGCCCCTCACAAGCATCAAATAACAAAAGCTCAAAAACAGGTGGCCCATATTTAGGGAACTTTTGCAGCCGCACTTGTTTTAATCACCGGAGCCTTATTCGAATTTGGCATCTGGGACACTGACTATCAGAGGAATCACCTTGTTCCTCTCAATCGACAACAGCATGGTAAATGTTTCCTTTTTTGTTTGTGTTTGTGCTTTATTAGTAGTTACTGTTCAGTACTTTAACTTAGCTAAATGTTACAAGTAGAGAGACTTTTTGTAGCACAAAAAAGCAGTGGTCAGCACATGTCTTAGGAACACTACACATGGTGGAGATATTGGGTATAAATCTAGATCTCCACTGAACAATAAAAAAACAGGAATTATGAAACAGAATAAATTATTATATTGAGAGGTTACAACATTACCCATCTCTAATTAGTATTAATTAACTATTTTCCTGTTTCTGTTAATTTATTAGAAATAAACAAGAAGATGCTCCCTAGAGGGTATTTCTATTTGTGTTTTATATGTGCTGAGCTGTTAGGAAATGTTAAAAATGATATCAGTCATTTGTGTAATTAGTCATCAGCACTGATACAGCATGTTTCTTTTTTTGGGGCGTGGGAAATTAAATCTTTATCTCTCATGCTACAGTCTTTGCTCAGCTACACCTGGAAATTTAATTACAATAGAACGCTGCCAGGTGCATCCAGAGATAATGAATGTTATAATGGGATTACTCAAAAAAGATTTTAACAAAGGGCTATGAGATTAGATTTTATACCACAGAGTGCCTGGATGTCTTAACTGATAAAACGGATAACTGCAGAGAAAAACACAACAGGTGCACAAAGTTAGTTCACGTGTAAATTCTCTGGGAAAAAACATTTGCACTCATATTATCTAAGCCAAATGGAACCATTTCTTTGGTAACTTGTTAAAATGGTCACTGCGAAAGCAGATGTGAATGATTATCAACATTTTTCCACCAACATGGACCCACTTAGCCTCTGCCTCATTATCTGTGGGTCATTTATGACAAGTCCATAACGTGTCTTTCTGTTTGTTTTGTTTTTGTTATTTCTATTTCTTGATATTATTTTCGTACCTTATATCCTACTTGTCGCTCCCTCTGTATATGTGCCCCACGTTTTCAGATGTTCCTTGTCGGATTGTTTCATTTTACCTCCTTTCATGTTGCTGTATTTTTCCTGTGGATTATCTGTGGTTTCTCCTTGCTTCTGTTGAATTTATGAAAAGCTTTGAAACACCTTTCAGTTCTTTTTTCCTCTGACATTCCTTCTTTTGGGTCGGCCATTGAAAAACCTGTGACTGGCTGAAGTTCTACACAACTTCTAACAAAAATTAAGTAGAGAATAAATCACTGGATGATCTTATCATAAATGGTTTAAAGGAGACAAATAGTGTGGTTAGTCTCAAACAAATATGTTCCCTTCTATGAGGCATTTCTTTAATTTGTTTTTTGTTTTCCTTAAGCTTTGTAAGTTTAGAATTGTGCATCTTGGCATTGAAACAACAACAAATTATCTGAGTGCACATTTAAGAATTCTACATGTTTTATTTCTTTTCAGCAAGAACCTAGACTTCCCTCAATTGTGGAGACCAAGGGGGATGACTTGGATGACTCGTTCCAGCTCTCTCCGGCCACACGTTCCCGTCGCAACCTCCTGCTGCCCAGCTTCACCAGCCCTGTTCGCCGTACCTCGCTGGGGAACCTGTTGGGGGATGAGTTGAGGCAGTTCAATGCACTGCGGCGCTCCCGTTCGCCCAACCTCAGTCGTGGCTTCCTCGGGCAGAGTCTCTCCCCTCAGCCACCATCAAAAAAACAGCACGGCTGCTCCGTGTCAGTCACAGCTCCAGCTTCTACGTCAGCTCGGGAAGAGTCAAATGTGGAGAAGAAGCCCACAAAGCTGCTCATTCCAACTGTCACCTGTTTTCCACCACCGGATCTTAGCCCCAGGTATTGTGGAAGCAAAAAGAGTGAACTGTATTCCCTTTTTAAATGTGGTAACTGTATGATCAAAACAGAACTATTAAACCAGTTATAAACATTTATTTGTCAAAATGTATTTTCAGATTATTCAGTGCATATGTGGTGATGATATTGTATTACAACATTATTTATCATTTACTTTGACATGAAATAGTCTGTTTTGTTACTTTATCATAAAATGAATAAGAATATGGAGACATTTTTTATTTGTGCCAAGACTTGTCTTCTTGAATTTGATGGCACATTATTTTAACCAAATTGCTAATCTGCCCTTTTCAAGCAGTATCAAACTCTATTTTGTCTCTCTCAAACGCCCCCTTTCAACATGAAGTTGCACTCATGAAGGACTCATAAAATGATCTGAAATTGAAAACTTTGCATGAACGAACACTCATTATGTGTATAAGACTCATCCAATATGCATCAATGAACTTCAAGTGACACAACAGAAACTTTCAGGATGCATTTCATGTAAACATGGGGATTTGCATTGGATTTTTCAACAGTTGGGATTCTATTTCATTATAGGAGCATTGTTTCTCCCTGCCATAACTATCCCCAAGTCACCCAGTAAACTGTAGACATAGTTTCATAGAGCTCAAGTGTCCCCCCCTCCAGACTGGGCTCCTCTCTTCAAGCATAGAGACCTACGTGGGTCTTTGCCAGCAGCAGCTCTCATGGCACGTCTCTGGGTCGCCTTAAGGCTCTGATGACAACCGAAAAAGCTCTACTGTTACACTGACCTCTGTTTCCTTCCTCCTCGCCCCTCCTGCCAGGGTTGTAGATGGCATAGAGGACAATGGGCACACATTCCATTTCACTGTGGAGCGCAGCGGGCCCGGCGCCAGCACAGGTGGCAGTACCCAGGGTAAGTCAAACCGCCCCCAGCTGAGAGGGTCACATAGGTGCCAGATAACTGGAGGCAAATTAAAGAGTTCAAACAGTGGATACCACAAGGCACACCTGCATCCTTCTGAGGAAATCTGAGAGCACAGCACAATGAATGACAGCCAAGTGTCCAAACAGTCAGAGAGCATGTTAAAGGACAAACGAGGTCAGGATAAGGTTCTCACCATCTGAGTTTTTGCTGATAGTCACAATCCTTCTTAAACACCTAAGAAGGCGTTTAAAACTGTTATTCTGCATAGATAAAGGATGTCTCTATGCAGTGCTTACACATATATGTATGTGACTTATGTCACATATCAAAATTTTGTTTTATATGAATCTTTATTAAATGTAATGTAATGTGTCTGAGTTGTGTTTTCCAAAGGCAGTCTTTTCATTTTCTCGTACACAACTTTCCAGAGTCCCCACAAGCTACGGCCGCTCTATTTATGGAGACAGAAGAAGTCAGGCAAAGCATCAGTCAACTCAGCCTTCAGGTAATGTACAGCCACCAGACCCAAATTTAAAATGTATGGGCAAAAACATCATGTATCTATATATTTCAATTCTGAAAATCAACATCTGCTAATCTTCAGGTTGTGGTCTCTTTACACAGTCATATCAGACATGTTCTGTTTCTGCATGTCTATCTCTGCTGACTTGGAGTGTGTTCCGACTTGTGAGGTTTAGTTTGATTAAAATGAACCCTGATGTGTTGTCTTTGTTCGAGTGGTTCCCGAGGCACACATAACTACTTTACTTCAAAAAGACAGATTCAGCCAGATCTCATCTTCCACACAAATTCCAAAATGAAGTAAAATATTAGTCAGTGAAACTTAGATTAAAAGTTTCTAACAAACTCATAGGAGCTAAGTTGCTTTATACAGTATTCACCATATATTTGCTACATATCCTTATTTGTGTGTGCAGCAGGAAACATGGTCGAGCTATTTTTATACCCTATATTCAAAAGATGTTTCTGATATGTCCAATGGTAAAGATGCCGCCATGGATAACCTTCTAGAATTCAATGTGTTATCTCCTTAAGATTGTGTAAGTTTAGTTAACAAAATATGCATCTAAAAATTGATGTAACTTGATGTATCTTCTTTCAGTCATCAGTGTCTTCTATGAAAAAACATTTCGGTTTGAACAATAAGATTGTTTCAGGGCTAATTTCAGCTCTGGTACAAACCGGGGAACCAAAGTATCAGTGTGAGCACACCTTTTATCTGACAGGAATCCAGTGAAAACAGGTGCAGTAAGAGGACCTAGATGGGTCCCACCTGAGTGGGTGCTGTCTAAAGTTAATGGAGATTAATCAGCAGGGCACTTCTGCAATGCAGAGCATAGTCAGAAATGCTGACTCAGCATCTTGTCCTTTTAAACATCTCTATTACCAGTTTTGAATCTTTCTTCCCTTTTTATATGAGTTACTTTTGATTAGTAGTTTTTATCCCTGTCAATAAAAGCGAGCAAATCTATTTTTTTCAAGCAGACCTAATTGATCAAATTGACTTTTACATATTTTAGTTGTGTTCCTATGTATCTAACTTAACTTTATTTTTGATAATACATATTGAAAGTATTTTAATGGCATTAAAATCTGTATTCACTCTCCAAACAGATGAATACATTAAACCAGGAGGTTTCGGAGCTCACAAAGGGTCTGCACCACATGATGCATCTCCTCCAGGCTCTCACACCTGTACATTACCACAAGACTTCATTATCCTCCTACCCCTATTCTGTCCAAACGGCGTCCAACCCTTCCACGACCCCAAATACCGGCATGCAACTCAACCCAGGTTTACTGCACTGCCTCCAAAGTGATCCTCGGAGCCTCAAGGCCCACAGCCACCAAAGTCCCACCGCTTCTGCCCGCTGGGCCTGCAGTGGAATGACCGAGTCCCAAACGGAGAGTCGCCGGCCTTCTACTCCACCCGCTAACACCTGTTTACCACATTCTGTAAACCCTCTATTTAAGCAGGGCCAATGCCACAGCTCTCAGAACAAGTCCTCGCAGCTGTGGACCTGCCATTCACTACGTAGCATGAGTCCAGACTACGCCGTTGGAAGTCCTGCTCTGGCACGTCGTGCAGGACACGAAGAGTCCACACCTCTCAGTTCTAGCCCCACCTCTATCAGCCAGTCCCAGCCCACTTTGTGCCTGCAGCCTCCAAGTGATAGTCACGAATTATCTTGCCTTTTGTCCAGTGCTCCTACAGGAGCATCCACACAGAGCTTGCTAGATGCGTTACCCTCTTACTCCAATCTCAACCTTCCACGAGCCTCAAATGAGGCTATTTACGCTCTAATGTCTGCCCCCCCACCTCATAATCTGATCCAGGATACCTCTCTCTTCCAAATCGATGACTCGCTCCCCTCCATCCAATCTGTCTCTTCTTTAGATTCAGGATCCCCACACAGGGATGTTCTAGAGTCCTGTGTTCCCCTGGGCAATGCAGCTGCTTTAGAGCACACAAGTTTGGAGTGCCTGCTGGGAAACAGAGACTCCATGGAAAGCAGGGACAGCGAAAGTGCATCATCTCGAAGGTCCAGCATTGGCGTCCAGACTCAGAGCACTGAGCAGTCTTGGTGCCTGGACCTCACAGACTGAAGTGTCCATGTTTTTATGGACAGAGCAGGATGAAACATCACTCAGAAAGACCCTACATTTATTGACACACGACTTCTTTCAGTGTTTAAAAAAACTGGAGATTGTTGGTGGGTGCTCTATTTTCCTCTTTTGATTCTTGGGCTCTCACATTTGTCACTTTCTATGCAAAAGCATGTATGTGTGCATTATGTTGGCTTTAATGAAGTGTGTCTTCTACTAAACCTCCACGACAGTGGCTGCAGTATATGTTGTATATTTTTTCCAACATCCTCAGAGCATTTTGCCATCGACAATACCTGTTACCTCCTTGCATGGTAAAGTTTTTTATTCTTTTTCCTAAGGAAAAGGTTTCCAAGTTAATGTGTAAGCATTTCACATGAAAACCTAATGATTGTGTGCACAAATACTGTATTTATAAGCCAGAAAAGTCATAGGTATGGGATATCTGAATATACAAAGGAACAAATTGGTCTCTTGACTTTGCATGTATGAAACAGAGTATGTCCACCTATTTACATACATTTTCGTTTTTACCCTAATGTTTTTCTCAGTTAAGCATTCTCATTTCTAAATTCATAAAGTTTCAGACTGGTGAGTACCATTGAAGTCTAAGTATGACTGTACAAATAACTAATGAATTCAGCTAAAATTGAATTGAACATTTCCTTTCTTTGCTCTCCAGATGATTTTTCCAGAGATTTTAGTGATTTTCCATTCATATACCTAGCATCTACGATAAACATATCTGCAGATAAATTAAACAGAAATCTGTATTTAGGAATAAAGTGGGTCCCATAAAATATTTCAATCTTTGTCATTTGCACAATATGAATGCCTTGGCGTTGCTAACTGATGCACCTATTAAGATATTCTAAGTATTCAGAAGTTTTTGTTTTTTTGAATGATTCCTGTTTGGTTGACAAAATAAATATGCAGAAAATGTGTCACTGTGTCATTTTCTGTGTTTTCACACATTCACAAGCAAACATGTCATAACTACAAACTGTACTCAGTATGCTTTACTATCAGACTGAAAAGGAAACATCTCATCAGTCGAGCCGTGTAGATGTCTACAGTTTTACGAGGAGGTGGGAACAGCCTCTCACCTGAAAAGCTTGCTTTATGAATAGCTGTCATCATTTTCAGGAGTGACTAAAGTCTGCAGTTACACTTATGTTTGAAAATCACACTGTCACCTGAACTAACCTGAATTAACTGTGTTGATTGGGTCACTATTTGAAAAACATTTCCCTCGTATTAGATTGTCAAAATATAGACAGATTGGTAGCAAAAGATGGTGATCCAATACTGCTTATTTATTTATTTATTTATTTTTGTTTCATGTGGCTTTTAAGGGAAATACCAAGAGATAAAAAATATAGATGTTTGATTTTGAATTAAATTAAAATAGACATAGCAATAGCAATAGGGTTTTGAGAAAAAGAAGGAAAGGGTGTCACAAAGGCCACCTCTGTTCTTTTCTTTTCTTATGTTCTTCCCCTCCTTCAGATTGTCAAGTCAGCAATCTAGCCATCATCTGCACTGCAGAAGTGCCCTGCTGATTAATTAATACTGACTTTAGACTGCACCAACCGGGCCCCATCTGGATCGTCTCTTTCTGTTTAGCCCCGTATTAAGGCTAAATGCAGCGTAATACAGAGGAACATGTAAATTTATTCGCATTGTTAGCACTTTTCCAGATGTGAATGTTGTCACATTATGAAACATTCCCCGAGATTCAAGCTTTGAAACTGCACCCGCATAACAAACTTTATCCAACACCCATGACTTCCAAATATAAATGCAAATTATTATTAGAACAGTTTTCCTAATTTTCCATTGAAAATGAGCAAAAGTCATGCTCTGATTGATCTGTAAAGAAATATCAAGGTTTTTGTACAAACACCAAAATGATGGTAGCAAGTGGCCATTCTCCATTCTGTTTCATTTTCACTTTACAATGCCAGTGTTGTACAACCTTTATAAGATTTTTGTCTTTATTTGCAGGGTGCTGCATTATTTGAACGTCTTTTGGAGAAACATTTCCCCATTTCCATGACCTGTTTTTATCATGTTTTTTATGTGACCAACAAGAAAACACAAAAGTGACATTTTTAAACTTCTTAATTAGAGTCTAAACCCAATTTATTCAAGAAGAGTAACATGTTACATTTTGGTGTTGATTAGAAACCAGAAATTGCTCTGTGGATCCCAAATAAAAGGAAGGTGGCAGTGGAACTGTGATACATTGAATTTCACATTTCAGAGGCCAAGGGATATTTGCTTGGAGTTTGGAAATTAATTGTGTTAAAATTAATCATTTTTAAATTAATATTGTAAAGAATAAAGCCAGGACTGTACATATAACATCGGTTTCCCACAGGAATGTAACACAGCAGTAGAAACCTGAAAACAAAAGCAGACGAGTGAAATGAGATGATTTAACCGTCTGATCGTGATAGTCTCCCCTCTGAGATTTCTGTGGCACATCCAACTGTGAAGGAACCCCAGGGAGAACCAAACCCTGAACACACCAGAGCACCATGTGTCCCCTGTGGACTGAGAAAGCCTTGATCCCCCAGGAAGAGTTGAAGACAGAATGTCTGGGCATTTTAGACTGGATGGGTGGTGTAGAAAAATTTAAAAATGCTAAATCTCATGATTGCGATCGAATATGTACTGAAGGAGATACGTGGGACATTTCTATTTGTTCGTTTAAACAAACAAACATGTCAGTTATACATGTTCCTTCTCCTGGGATTTTAATGTCAGTTTTTTTCTTGGCATCAGTGTCAGGGCTTGTCAAGAGTGTGTGTGAGAGAAACCCAGATGACTATTTTCTAGTTAATGTTAAACTGAAATTATCAGTTGTGCAAAGAGAAAAAAATACAGGGCAGGTGACATCTCAAAGAAGCACATTTAAGATTCCACATCACAGCAGGATAAAAAACCAGGTGGAATTTCTGTCACACTTCAGTGAGTGGATTATGTTCCGAATAATATTTTATGTAATGTAAAACATTTTCCGCTTCTCATATTTCTGCTTTTTTGTTTCAAAGAGTGATTGGTGTATAGAGGCTGCATATTGTGAAAACATGAAGCCTGTGATTTTTGCTGTCTGGGTGATGCTCCTCATTACTCAAAGTGAGTAAATCAGCTATCTTGCTGTTTATTTATATGTGTAAACATATCTCTTTTTGGAATTTGGTTCTACAGACACATATTTCTTGTTTATGTGTTTGCTGGTAGCTGCATGATATTTATTCAATTTGATACCAGCAATATCCTCAACATAAGTCAAGAGACAGACAATGAAAAACATTTTTGTATGGAACTAGGCGTAACTGGAAAATTGCACAATCACAGATTAACTAAAGAAAGGTGATCAAATGAGTCTCTTGTACAAAAATAGCTTATACCATCTGCTAAACTCTATAAGTTAAAACAAAGCTAAATTGCCAAATTCCAAATTGCAAACATAGTTGAACCTCCAACATCTACAGTACATAATTACTTCTATGGCCACATTGAGCAAAATGGCTGCAGAGGCTCAGAAGCTTGAAAACAGAATAATTTACAAATGTAAAACCTGATAAGATGTGTTCAGACTGAAGCTACCAGACTCCCTTCTGCACTTTTAACAGTGGAGATTCATGGTAACAGGCTGTTCCTTCTTAAAAGCTGTCTGTCCAAACTATAAACTATGACAATCAATTTGTTTTTTGTCTAATTTTCCAGACGAAGCCTTGGAATGTCACTGTGGAGGAAGAAGACAATGTTCAAGTCCCATAGAGAGCTGCTATTTGCCAGGCAGTGTTTGTCTTCATGCCATCTTTCAGAATGTAGTTGGTGAGTCTCGTCCTTCAAGAACCTCTAAATTTAAAGGAAGAAAGGTGCATAACCTTGACAAAAATGAAGAATAAGCCAGTCAGTGCTCTCCTTGTGTTTCCACAGGAGGTTATTACATCAAGGGCTGCGCAACTTTGAGCACCTGTGAATTATATGACAGACCGGGCATTTCTGTCACTTGCTGCAGCACTGACCTTTGCAACTGATGAACTTATGTTAAGCAGGAAAAGCTTCTGATTAACAAATTATCTCCTATGCATTACAAAACATGTCATCATCACATCTAACATCTTGCAAACAGTCTATTATGGCTTTGTAATTTTTTTTCAAGAAATGGAACACATTTCATGTACTACCTAAATAAAATCAAGACATGCTGCAACACTGTGTCATTTTTTATGACAATGACTTCTGTTGCTTATTATCCAGCACCATGTGTCAAATTAACAGCATGAAGAAAACTTTTAAGTTTATTGGCTGTTTGTTTCAATCATTGATGCTATTTCTTCTGCCAGTAATTGAAAGAGTTGTGTGAACTTACTTCAACATAAATTCACACAGATGATTTGAATTACATTCACAACTAGATTAAAATGTTCACATTTTAACACCATACAGATGTCCTCATGTAGAACAAATGCTATTGAATCCATCAAACCACATAACAACATATAACATAGTCAGAGTCCTTGTATGAGTGCATCACTGATTTAAAAGTAGTTTGAAATAAAATCAATATGTGGAAATAATGTAGAAAAAACTAAAGACTTCATATGTACTAGGTATTGCATGAATCATGACACTGGTTGAGTTACAATCAGAGAAAATTCCCAAAGGGACAATAGTGAGGAGGAAGAATAATAATATATAATAGTTAGAGCTGCCTGGTAAAAGTTGGATCCTGTTTGGTCCAGGTCAAGGACACATGTGGCACTATTTCTTCGGGTGGAAGAATAATTAACTCCAGTGCATTGGTTTTGGCTGCAACTGTGATCCTTTCAACAAGGTAAACAATTTTACCTGATATCAAACCTGGCAAGGTTTCACCACTCTACAATAATGTACTGAAATGTGCAAAAAGTAAAACTTTTTTTAAAATTCTGAAACAAAAAGTGAAATCGACCTATTTTCAACCAGGATGTTACTCATATTTTTTTATGAATCAAGTTTCATTAGAAGCTGAAAAACATCTCTTCTTTGTTGTCCTATTGCACCACCATGTGGTCATGAATAAATAAACTTAACAAAACTATCAAACTTTGAGGTTTACTACTGATAAAGGAACAAGACAAGACTATGTAAAAAAAAAATAGAATGGCATCTGTACCTATTTGATTAATATAAAGATGTGATATGTATATCCTTACCAGTCATAAATCGCATATTCCCAGCCTTATATTGACTATATTTGAGCACAGGAATGTTTAACCTCCTGAGACCCTGCGTCCTCATATGCAGACATTGCATGTTTGCATGTCTTTCACATGATACTTCTTTTTTCTTTCGACTTTGACCTCTTAGCCTCATATTAGACACTTTCAGACACTACTGCCTGAAATCTAAAGTAAAACGGTGTTATACATTAAACAACTATACAAGATGTTTTAAGGAGAATATAAATATAGATCTATTCATGCATGTATGTTTCTTACCTACAATTCAGTAAAATGTAGCTGCCTTGTTTTTTGTTTCCTCAGCTTATCCAATCTAAAAGATTTTGGGTTGGTTTAAAACGTTTAACATAAATAAATCACATTAAAGTAACAGTTCCAATGTTGTTTTTATTTTTATTTAATTGGAGGTCTGTGCAATCCAGAATGTAATTATTTCCTGACAGATATGCCATACTGTTTTTTAATCTTCCCCTTGTTGAAATTGGAACAATTTTGATTATCAAAATTTCAAATCAAAATGCCCCACAGGGAAAAAATCCTGTAACTTGTTCACGTGTGCACTAGATGGCAGCATTAACCTTTGTATCTCGATCCAAAGAAGCTCAAGAGGGTCTTTTTAAAAAACAAAACAAGCGTGACCATTTTTTTGCATGCACAAAACAAGAATTAATTTGTTTTTTAAGTCCATTCCAG